CCCGTCTCCAAAACCACCACGCATCAGCCAGGCCCCCATCACGTCCTCTCCCAACCCGCATTCGCATTCGCACCGCCCCAACTCGCACCGCACCAACACGTCCGTTTCTGCGACCCTATCCCTATCACTTCACTTCACATCCCATCCTATCCAACTCTGGCACTCTGCGTCACACCTCACCTCACATCTGTCCACTGGTCTCCAGTTGCGCTCTTCTTATCTTCCGGCTATGCTTCGTCGGTTAGTGCTTGCATACACGACACCACTCACCATCACCCAGCCTCACCATCGTCGATCGAGCGATCTGCCAGGCTGATCGATAAGTAGGCTATGTAAGTTCGTTCAGTCATCCATTACTCCGCACATGGTCCTTTGAGCCTTTCCTCCGTCCGTATCGAGACCAACCGAGCCGTGGCTCATGACATGATACTTGTACCATACCATCAAGACATGCAGAGGTTTACTCGTACTCCGGCCATAGATATATCAAAGACTAGCTTATCATTCTCATATCATCACCCAGTGTTTCAAATTAGCTAATTAATCATCTCATAGCATAGCATATATTCTACCTTATATAGCTACCTACATACTCACGACTCTCTCTCATCCACGTCCAACAGACAGCATACCAAGGTAACCTGCCCTGCATACCTACCTACATCAAGGCCATCTTCCTCAGCTTCCGCACACCACCTCACCACCCCCTCCTTATCTTGCCCTGCACCATACCCATGAGCGCCTCTCAAGCAATGAGCCTCTTTGCCCACCTCCAGACGCCAGAAGTTTTCTATTGAAATGCATAAAGTGCCAGTACTCCTGAATCATGTGCATAAACTCTCACTCACTCCACTCCCACACCTCACTCTCACTATTACTCCCACCTCACCACTACAACATCATATAAAACCATCGACATTATTACACTCTGTGGACAAATAAACGCATTTGTACGGAGTGTTCATATTGCAAACGCCATGCGCGGCTTGCTTGCTAATATCGCAGTACTGTAATGACGGTGCTATTTACACATCCACTAATGCCAATCCAAAGGAAAATAAAATAAAAAATATGCCACCATAAAAACAACTCTGTTGAACCCTATAAACAGGCTGCCGTCCGTAACTATGAGATCTTCTGTCTGTCTGTACCAGAAGTCAAATTTTTCCAAGCGAAGCTTCCCGTGTATGACTGGAAACAGGAATAGGAAATAGGAAATCTCATGATTGGTAGGCCTAGTCATAAGCCTCTCCTAACCTCGGCGAACCACCAACCCAATCATCACGCTCGTAGTATCGAAACACAAGATCATACCCATCGAAATCATGCACGATCCTTTCTACGCGTCGATACCCCTTGATCCTCTCCATCTTCGCGCTCCTCTCTAATCCTAATCGACTATTCAACTGCTCCTTTCCACCAGTCTCAATGCTGTTCGCCTTGGCTTCAAACAACGTCACGCTGAAACGGCCGGGCTTGAAGATGTTCACGACTTCCTTGATCACCTCGACCGTGTCGCGACCAGACTGGCGGCCTGGTACGTTGGTTTCGAAAGATGCGTACGAGCATTGTGGCTCCGGTGTGACATGGACCGTGAAGTAGTGCGTTGCGGAACCTGCTTGATCTGGAGCAGGAATCACGCCGTTGGCAGAGAAGCCGCAGGGTGTAAAGAGGTACGCATCGACGCGTGCATCGGGGTATCGGGTGGTAGAGTAGACGTCGGAGAGACCGCAAGCTTCCGAAACGATTGTGCCGAGAGCATGGCCCTCGGTGCTGAGTTCTTCTGGCAAAGAGTCTGGGGTGAAACCTCCGTTGTTGTCGGATGAGGTGTTGCTGAATATGTCAAAGCCTTCATCGGTGCTGCCGGCTGTTGTTCCGCTCAAGTTGGAGGCTGTCATATCGTTGCTGCTCAACTCGCCTAAGCTATCTGCTGCTTCCTTTCTGGCCTCATGAGCCCTCGCTGCATACTTGCCCTCCGCGACCGCACTCGCGTGTTCAAGATAGAACTGTTTAGCATTCTCAGGCTCAAGATCTGTCATGAGGACTTCAAGGGTCTCGTCATCATTGCCCATAGCGCCCTGCCCAACAGCATAGGCTGTGCTAGGAGGAAGTTTCAGTATCTTGGTTTCTGTTGGAACTCTTTCATTGTCGGGTGTTCGGGGTGGGGTGAGACCAGAGTTTGGCGTAGTCAAATAAAGATACCAATGGTCTCCGTTCATTTTGCCAACCATATAAGCGCTTCCACCAGTAAACATATCATCCAAGAATTGAACCTCACTCTTCCAGCTTTTGTGAGGTCCATGTTGCTTGTCGGGAAATAAGAAGTTCTTGCGACTGTAGAAGACTCGGTATGGCGTCGCAGCAGCCTTGACTTCCTTTAAAGACTTGCTGTTGAGACAAGGGAAGCGAGCATCTACAGCGGCGATTCTCAACATACGCCGGAGACCAAGGAGGAGAGTTGTAGTGCCGCATGTTTTAAGGATAAGTTTGTGTGGGAAGACAAACATGCTGGACTCAGAGAGGAGATAGGCATCAACATGATCGGACTCGACGACCGACAGAACCTTGCAATTGACCATATCCAACATCTCCCTCCATGTCTCGCCAGAAACCGCCTTTAGGCCATCCTTCTTGGTTCCTACGGGAAGAGTATCTGGTGAGGGAGCAAACCATACCTCTAGCAACTTCTCAGGGCCTACTGCTGTTAGCGAATATCTTGAAAGATCCCGTTGATGTACTCACCTTCAAAGGCATTGCTGCTATCAAGATCGATAGTAGCATCACGATTGATCGTAAGGTGTGGTGTACCTTCAGAAGGCGAGAATGTATACTGGGATGGGATTTCGAGGTTGACCATAACTACGTAATGGCGGGAACCAGTTACTGATTCGAGATTCTTCCTGGCCGAGATGGTCTACTGATGTGGCAACAAAACGCTTGATTGGCAAGTACTGTGAAGCACTATCTGCCACTCAGACGAACCTTGCGGTGTTCGCCTGAGAAGAGAAGGCCCACAGAACCGTGGGAAATTGTATGTGCTGGCGGAGCCAGCTGAATAAGGGAGCTATGGGAACGTCTTGTGGGGACGTTATGGAGGTCGGGTGCACAAAGGGATGAAAAAGTCCTTTTGGGAAGGAATGGTGACTCTTGGGGTTGTCCTCACTCTGTAGATGCCGATACCGTGTGTAGATATCGGGTCTAGCAGACGAGATTATCTGCGGATTTGGGTTTTTGGTTTGGTTTGGTTCGATTTGGATAGTGGTGATGGGGGTGTGGCTGGTGTTATCTAGGCCTGTAATAATGATTATTAGCATGAGATATAGTAGGAGAGGAAGGCAAGAAAGAGGAGGCAAGGGAAGGAACGAGAATAGTCTTGTGCAAGAGAAGTTGATGCTTGCTTGGTTGCTTGACCGCCACCTCTGGATATTTCCAGAACAGATGATGGGACAAGGTATGGCAACTGATAGAGAAGCCAGATGCCGACCAAGGAGGAACATGAAATGGGATGGGAAAACTGACTTGGCGGGCTTGGACAAGAATCGTAGCAGGTCTTTGGTGCTCATGGAGGAGTCAAGAGAAAGAGGTTGAAGAACTTGGTGGGGTTCGCAGTCACAGCTTCGTGTGCCTAGCGAGACGATTGGCAATTGAATTGCGAAATATTCAGAGATGGTTAATCATCGAGAACGAGGACGGACTGTTATGCAATGCGATGGATGCGATGCGATGCGATGGTGTGTAAATTAGTAGAATAGTAGAAGTCGTGAGTTCGGTAGAGTTGTGGTGTTGATGGAATGGTCGTTTAAAAAATCTTTTGATCTGCAGCGTCATGAGCAAATGCCCACCTAGCACTTTTAACAATCACCACCGCCTACAAGTAGGTACGTACCACCGGTTTCTTTGACAAGATGAGCTCGATGTAAGCTCTAGAAGCTGGCCAGGAACTGTTTGTAAACCTTGACCTAGATCTAGATGTGTAAACCTACGGGAGGTGAGATGAAAAGAGAGTTTCACGGTCAATAAATTGGTGAGTGATTTATTTTTTTGCAACCCTGTGGCTGGGCCTCAACCCCACCAAACGAAACGTGACCACTTCCCCTTTTTTCTCCAACCTCTCCGAACTTCCGTAACTCAAAGTCATCCGGGAGAATCACACTGTGGTCACGAATAAGGCCTTTGAAATTGATGCAACACAGCCCACCGAAACTCCAAGCTCTTCCCAATAATATTACGTAGTATACAATATCTAATCCCCACCCTATAATATTTATATCCAATCCCCCACGCTAAAATGCACATTTCAAAATCGCCTACCCATGAGTCTCATCTTCTTCCTAACACGCCCATCAAATCTACCGTCTAAGCATATACGAAAGATCCGGAAGGCCTTTCACAATATCCTGCACGATCCTATCCTGTTCCATCTCTTCTTTTGATTTGCGAGTTGCGTGTGAAGAGGCCCTCACATGTGTATTTACAAAACTGACCGTTTTGTTCGGAATCGTTTTCGGCAATGGTGTGGACACAGGAGGTGTAGGAGCAGATGCTGTCTCGAAGAAGGAGAAATCTGCCGAGGCCCAAGGATCACTATTGCCGGCTGGAAGAGGTTGGGCTGGGTCAACAGGGCTTGAAAATGCGTCCATAGGTTCGGAAAACAGATTTGGTTTCTCCGGAGAATTGGCACTTCGAGGGCTCTGCGTCTCTGGCTTGAGGATCTCATCAAAACTTAGAGCGGGGCGGTAGCCTCGTTTAGAATCTATAGATTGAATCGATGCCATGGTAGGATTAAATGGTTTGACGGATGAGAAAGCTCCGCCAAGACTCTGCGACTTCTTATGCCGCAAGCCACTAAACAGAGGAAAGGCCGGGGCAGTAGAAGTCACTGGGGAGGATATCATCTCCCCCCAATCATCATCTTCTTCGGCGAGATTTGCCACGGCTGCTTTAGGTGGTGGCACAATTATCTTTTCCTGTGCAGAACCTAACGGAACCTCATCTTTAGCAACAGGCGCTGATGTATCGTGGACAGGCTCCGCTGGTTTGAACGTGGCTGAGGATGAAGGGCTCAATAATGCACGTTTCCGGGGTGGGGATGGAGATTTCGTGATAGGCACTCCGATTGGAATAGACCTAGAGGACATTTCCTTGGAGGAAGACCGACTATGAGACTTATGGGAGCTCTCAGGAACAATGTTCCATCCGAAATTTGCAACTGGCGATTGCCGTTCCACCTTGGCTTCCTCCGGGCTTTTGGATGCTACTGAGCTCTTCCGACGCGCTTTGGGTGAAGAACCTTTAGATGCTAAGTGGTCCCTTACGAGGCCCTTTGGCCACTCTCGCGGAACCTCAAAAGTAGGCTCCACCGGTGCTTCAACGATCTTCTTCGCTGCCTTGCTCGCAAAAGCTGCAGTTATTGATGCAGGTGTCGCTTTTTGGTCATTCCAACCAAACATAGAGCCGGCTTTACTACCGCCTCCAAGTATAACGCGCCCACTGATACGGTCCTCTTCAATCCATCTAGCAACTATCTTTAACGTCTCAGCTCGGACTGATGATTGCTTCCAGTTAACTCGGGTGTAGTTCTCATCATCCCCCATATTATGCTTCCTTAACGGGCCGTATCTAGAAATTCTATACCACGTCTTGCGTTGCTCGGTTGAAGTAAATGAATCGTGAGGCATTCGATCTGCGATGAAGCAACTCTCACTGGGTAACTCATCCTCGATACTGGGATACAGTCGGCTCAACAGTGAGGCATCTGGGGCATAGTCCACAGGCCCATACTCTTTTTGGGGCGTTTGCATTTCCGGAGACAATTGCAGTTCACGTTCCATGACTTGCGGCGGAACTTTGGAATCTGGTGTGGTAGGACGGGCTGAAGTCTCAACTGGTTCGCTTGACTCGATGGGCCCATCCAGGTCAGACTGCACATCCTCAAAGTCCCCAAAGTCATCTATATCATCTTCATCATTATCCGACTGCTGCACGACTTCAGTACGTTCATCACCAGTAACCTCGGGTGATTCATCCTCTTTGACCAGAGTATCGAAGTGTTCCACAAGCTCTTGCACTTTCGAGGCTTTTCTCGGCATTTGGGACCGCGTTGGATCCTCCTCCAACGATGTTCGTGGGGATTCGGAGAGGATTTCATCGTGATGACTTTGTTCCGAGGGCGAGGTCGATGATCTTGAGGACATGTGATCTACTTCCTGGGATGTTGAGGTCTGTGTAGAAATAGGCAATGGTTTGTCAGGTTGTTGAACACTTTCAATTCCATTGGGCATCGCCGCCTCCTCCCGATTCCTGTCTTTGGTTGGCTTCTCGGGTCTAATATCCTCCACTTCAGGTAGTAATTCAAATTCTAGATCTTGAAACTTTTGATGATCCTGGGAATCCGCTTCCACGGGTCTATTTGCAGTGATTCCTGTCTGATTTCGCTTGAGAACCTCCAAATTCCCATTTTCTAAAAGTTCCTCGGCTGGGACGGCCTTTTCGATAGAATTATCTCTCGTCCGGGGCCCCGATTCCAACTCCCCATTTGTTGTTTCCAACCCGACATTCCCAACAGCAGAGTTCTTGGTCTCTTCTGGATATTGCCCCTCTTCCAACCTAATTCGCCCCGGTATCTCCTCAGTTGCCACTACAGAAGCCCATGGGTCCGATGAGGGCTGTCGCGTGATATTCGTAGGTTCACGTAGGAGACTGGGTGCCAATTTCGATATATTGTCCTCTGCAACTCTCGGCACTGCATTCCAACCAGCAGAGAGCCCATTCGTGTCCGGCTTCGTCAAATGCGTGTCGGCGACGCCAGTACCCATCCCCCACCCATCATGCGCCCCGTCGAGGCTAATTCCTGTCTCCGAGGGTACCGCGGCCCAATCTCCAAAGCCATCATCAGCGCCATCGTTCGGGTTATCCCAAGGTGTAATTGTTTGCTCTTGCAGAGCTACACTGGACGCTTTGACCGGCGTCCTTGATCCTAGCTCTTCAGCAACATCATGGCTTTCTTTGGTCGCGACGGGATTCTGAACTTCGTCTGCCCACGGTGAGCCCCAAGGGTCGTCCATATCCATAGGGGCGAGAGAAGGCTCTCATATTGATGTTGAAGTGAGGATAAAAGGGTTCATCTTTTGAGACAACAACGCCAATACTGAAGTTGTGATACCGATGTATAGAAGTTGTCGCGGGAAGCGTCGGATGTTTTGGTTTGGTAGTTGGGCGGCGGTCTGACTCGGCAGAAAAGGGGGTCTCTGGGTGCAGGTGGGCCTGAAAGCGTCATTCCGTGTTCGGCCAGGAAAGAACAAAGATTGATAATCGATAAGAATTTGTATTTCCATCTCCATTTGCATTTGCATTTGCGTTGACAACACTACCTCTTAAAATGCGACAACTTCATGACACATATGATTGACAAAGTTTATAATAGTTAAATCAAAATGTCTCTTGATAAAGTCAAGCATATTGTTCTGGTATGTTATTCCAGAAGCCTCAATATATCAAGCTAATAGCAAAAGGTCCTCTCAGGCAAAGGTGGAGTGGGGAAATCCTCCATCACCACCCAACTCGCCCTCTCCCTCTCCCTAGCCGGCCATTCCGTTGGCATCCTTGATATCGACCTCACAGGGCCCTCTATCCCACGTCTCTTCGGCATCGAGAGCGCCAAAGTAACACAAGCCCCCGGTGGCTGGATCCCAGTTCCCGTCCACTCTGCAAATTCCACCCCTGGAGTCGGATCACTCTCGTGTATGAGCTTGGGATTTTTGTTACGAGAAAGAGGCGATGCAGTGGTATGGAGAGGACCCAAGAAGACGGCTATGGTGCGCCAATTCTTGACGGATGTGCTATGGAGCGAGCTTGATTACCTCCTCATCGATACTCCACCTGGAACTTCCGACGAGCATATCTCTCTGGCCGAAACACTATTAAAGAATGCACTTCCAGGACAAGTTGCGGGTGCCGTCGTAGTTACAACGCCGCAAGCCGTGGCAACCGCAGATGTCAAAAAGGAACTCAATTTCTGCGTCAAGACGGGCATAAATGTCATTGGGGTGGTAGAAAACATGAGTGGGTTTGTGTGTCCGAACTGCTCGGAATGCACAAATGTCTTCAGCAAAGGCGGTGGTCAGGTTATGGCACAGGAGTTTGGGGTGAAGTTTCTTGGAAGCGTACCTATCGATCCTCAGTTTGTGATGTTGGTCGAGACTGGCAGGAGGCCGGTATATCCAGTCGGGACTGAAATTAACGGCCACGATATTGGAAGCTCTGAGGCTGCCCATACTCTGGCTGATACGAAGGACTCTAGCCTGCTGATTGAGAAGTACAAGGACTGCTCTTTGTGTAAAATCTTCAGAGATATCACCAAAGACGTTATTACTGCAGTAGAAGCGCAAGCGGTTTAAGGGGCTGGTGCAGGTAACGCATATGGATTGGGGTTTCATGCATAGCGACGGCGTTGGGGGAAAGATGGACAATGCCTGAGCAGCAATGCCTTCGTGTACGAGAAAGTATGCTTGCATGAGTCTAGATTGACTCGACCATATATCTTGAACGGGGAATTTATCAGTGCAGTGAGTAAAATGTTGGATAGCGACTAGACTCAAGTCATCCACTCCTCCAATTCTCACGAGCGGAGCACTTGCACCAAGGTGCCTAGTGTACAAGCGCTCATATCCAGTTAAAAGCACTGGAATGTTGAAGAATCTTCTACTTTCCCGTTTCCCCTCGCCTTGTGACAGTCAAAAATGCTGAGAGCTTGCCTGGACGAGTCCGCTAGATTTCAACTACCGCCCATCCCTTCTTCTTGTTCACGTTGCTTTTTCAAGTGAAGAGCAAAATGCTCAGACCCATTTGGGAAGTTCAGAAGACCATTGGATATTGATCTGTGTTATGGGCAACCCATAAGTAATGCCTATACGTGCGTGGATAATATAGTATTAGTCGCAGACTTCGCGACCCGAGAAATCCCATGCCCATCAAGGAGATCGCCAGGGTTTCAAGGGCCCCGAAACAGTTACGAGTTAAATATTTTCTCCATTGCAGAAACCATCCCACATGAGCAGGCAAGCTTATTCACGGGGCAACTTCTTTTGGTTCCCTCATCATAATCATAATAGTATGCTCTTTCCCCCCAACTTCTCCAATCCAAGCACGATCTCGTCAACAGTCACCCAGCCGTGCTTACAATACAAGTCATACGCAGCAGGTGTCGACTCCAGATAGCATTTTCTCTTCAAGGCATCCGCTTGCTCAGTACCCCATCTTACTAATGTCCCCGCGTAACCACGCCCTTTATATTCGGGGAGTACGGCTAGATTATGAAGAGCTGGAGATATTAGATCAGAGCAGCATAAGTAGACTCATAGGTCTGCACGTACAGAAGTCTACCAAGTGATCAGAGTACCGCTCTCGGTTCCCCGCAATACCCCTCCTAAACGCCGCAAACAACTCTTCATCTCCACCCTCAGGAACTTTCAGGATGCCAAAGGTTTCACCCTCACTTCCATCTCTGCGTTCACTGTCCAAAATGCCTGGAATATCGGACATACAATCTGCTGGCACTTCCCATTTTGCGTACGCCAGCATTGTTTCATCGTCATCCATGATTGCAATAATCCTCTGGGACTTATCCTCTGAATCGCGCTTCTCTCGCTCCGCAAACCACGCCTCGAGGATATCTACGGGGACTTGACCGTAGAGACATTTGTTGAGGGGGTTGTCGGAGAAGGCGCGCTGCCGGATATGCGCCATGGCAGTATAATAGGTGGGGGATGTGATGAGTTTAAGATGGGGGGCCATCTTTAGAGCGAGAAGAGGCTTTCCAAATCGATACGACAAATGAATTCGGAAAAAAAGCCCATAATCTTTGAATTGTATGTTCTCCAAGGTATATATAGTTGCAGGAGCCAGCTTAGCTTCATACGAACTAATGGTGAAGCACGTGACTCTGGTAATACCTACGTCCGGTCCGGAAACCAATCGGAGGACATCATCTCCCGCTTATGCCTTCACTTCCACTCTCTATGGTATAGTACCTCCCCAGTCTCCATGCCACCAAATATCTGATATCTGCATGGATCAGATCAAAATATCTGAATCCTGAAGTCATACTATTTAGACGGCATGTCCCTGGGCGACAGCCACTTAGCTGGGAACGATACAAAGGTGGCGGATCTTGGCACAGCCTTGCTGTGCACTCCCAGCTGAAAATGAACATACATGCCCCCTCCTCTTTACTCGGATAGATCAAACATATATCAACAATACACATGGCGGATACCAAACCTCTTTATGCACCCCTCTCCACAATCCGTCTCTTCAGACTTAGCAATGGTCCATCCAAGCCAGCAGGCGAACTCGTGGCCTTTGCTCTGGACTACACCTCCTGCCCGCCATTCGTAGCACTATCCTACACCTGGGGTCAAACCATGGATCCCAAAAGCATCAACATCAACGGCCACCGTTTTGAAGTCCTCGCTGATCTCTACCGATTCTTGAACATTCTGCCCCAGTTGGAGGAATTCTCGGCGCAGACGTGGTGGTGGATCGATTCGATTTGTATTAACCAAGCAGACGAGAAAGAGAAGAGTGAACAGATGGCGATTATGGGAAGGATTTATGAGAAGGCGTCTAAAACCGTTGTGTGGTTAGGCGAGGAGGGTGATTGCGGGGGTGCTGTTGATGGCCTACGTCGTCTATGCAAAGAGATGGACAAGGCGACTCGCAAGGATAACTCGATGGACAAAGAAAAGCTGCGTGAAATGAGAGGTGAGAAAAAGGGCATTAATTGGAAGGCTATTGAGCGGCTGCTATTGAGGCCCTGGTGGCGTCGTGTATGGACGTTGCAGGAATTCTTGATCAGCAAACGAATATCATTCTTTTGCGGGAAGAAGAGTATTTCCAGACGAGACTTCCAGGATGCGATTCTCGCTACGTGGGTTTGTAAGGTTTGGAATGGCCTCATGGACACCAAGGCGTTTTATGCAGGTTGGAACCGTCGCCGTATGAATCAATGGTATTCGCAAAGGCCGCACGAGATGAGTCTTGTTGCCATGATGGCTTATGTTGGTGATAGTGGGGCAACTGATGAACGGGATCGGGTCTACTCTCTTCTCGGGGTTGCGAAAGACTCTGATTTGATCGGGACACTTGATCCCAAATCCACCGTATACGATGTGTACAGTGAGCTTGTCGGGTCCTTTATTTCCAAGTATAAGAGCTTGGATATCATTTGCTATGCCCATCTCTTCAATTATTCTGCCAGGAAGTCCAAGGATAATAAGACACTTCCTTCTTGGGTTCCAGATTGGAGGGCATCTGTCGAGGGCAAAGTCATACCTGTCATGGCTTGCCAGGGCTCAAGTCCAGGGACTGGAAACTTCCGTCCGGCATGGGTTACTGAGTCTGAAGCAATATACAAAGCTTCCGGAAACAAGTCTCCGCGGTACAGTATTTCAAAGGACGCCAGAGTATTGACGTGTACCGGCGTAGTTCTGGACAAGATTGATGGCCTGGGGGGTTCCAAGTACGAGGATGCCGGCGAAATCAACGAGACTAAGAATGAGCTGCCTTTAGAACAATCAACTTCTGAGCAAAGTATCCAGTTGGATGGTAAAGCCGCTTCAACGTCTGGCCTTATGAAAATAATTTCCCGTTGTCTTGCTCTGGATCGCAAGGACCGATACCTAGCAGAACATCTAGCGCCAGGTCTCTTTCGAAAGGATTTTGAAATATTCTGCAAGGCATATTTAGAGCATGGCGCAGACGAAAGAATTCCTACATATTTTCGCGAATGGTTGGAGAGGAACAAAATGCTTCTCCTCAGAGGTCGGACGTTGGGAGAGCATTGCCGAGATGCGACACTGTATACTCCAACAGCCAAATGGGAAGAATTCTGCGACGGGCCTCTCAAGTATTTCAATGGGCGGGTCGAGGATACTGTAGTGACAATGGCGAGGAGGCTTGCTGTTACGGAAGAGGGACACCTTGGCATGGCTGCCAGCCGAGCGACTCGGGGAGATTTGATTTGTGTTTTGTATGGGTGCAGCATTCCAGTATTGCTACGAGAACAGAAAGATGGTACCTGCGAACTGATTGGGGAATGTTATCTTGATGGATTCATGAATGGAGAGGCACTAACCAACGCTAGCGGACTAACTGAAGTAGATTTTCAGATTGCATAAACGGGGTCTTTGATGTCCGCTGCGTGAAAGATTCAGAGTAACACTTGCACGGAAATCAGATGACTGCTTTTTAGCCTAGTGATAGAGAACGAAGAAGAGCAAGGCGCTTACTAAACAAAGGATAAATAAATGACTGCAACGGTGAAGCCAAGCGATTCTTTACACAATAATTTGCGAAACACGACCAGGAAGAATTCGGAGAGTAGATCTGAATGCAGATCCAGATTTGTAGACTTTCTCCTGTATTGTACAATATTCTACACATTGTTATCGATATTATATGCGCGCTATGAAACCCCCAGAGGCTTCAAAATCTTCTCCCTTGCAATTTCATTTGCAACTGCTCCGCCCCTGTGCAATGATATGGCGCCAATTATCGCGTACAAACAGGTAGTAAGAATCACGTCAATGCCCGAATGATCGAGTTTGTGTACCTGTTAAATGTCAACCATGTCCTTCGGATTTTCATCGATTATCATACCAGTCTTGGTTGCCATCTCATGACCTCCCGCATCCCCACTTGCGTTGCCAAAGCGGACAGTTTCTCCTTGGTCAATATCTCCCCTACCGGCGCACTCGATAGGTTTTCAAGGCCTTCTAAGGCAGGATGAGAAAATGGAGTGCGATCATCCGAGGGGCTTTCGTTTGTGTGCATCCTCGTAGCTATGGTGGGCGAATTGAGAAGCGCCAAATTCGTCTGCAGTGTGAGGATCCGTCGTCCTGCAATGAATCAGAATTAGTGCCATAAAAGCCTCAACACGCAAGCAGAACCCATACCAAAGAATGCCAACCGGTCATTGAAGCCTCTCCGCCCTTGATCGAAGCTCTTGTGTGTGATTGCCAGCCATTTGACCTCGTCTGACAGCATCGTATCTCCTCCTCGTCCTAGGAAGTTGTTGTAGAATCTGTCCAACTTGTCGGGATCCTCGTTGCAGTGAAACGCCTTGCTTGGATCCGGCGACTTCCATGGATAGGGCGCCTTCATCTCTTCTGGGGTGTAGGACCATCGTGGGCGTTGGACTTCTGATTGTTCTGCTCTGGAACGGGACGCTGAGAATTGCCGTAGGGAGGAGGTTTGCACGCTAGCACATTCGCAGGAAGGTCGTACTCGTTTTATAACACATTGCAGTGGTCGGGTAGCCGTTCTTGAAGCCATTATAAATTGTATTTGTAGAATGTAATGCTCGTTTGCTTGTTGCTTCCTGAACCGAAGTAAAGCTCCAGAATTTAATTTTAGTGCTAGTCCATTTCAAGCAATCCCAAGCGCGTCTCCCTTTGTCGCGCTCCAACTTCATTATATGGTATGGCTCAATTACTCTCCCTCACTACCATCCAACTTCTCTTTCACATCCTCATGTATACTTCATGAGCTTCCATCTTTTGGTATGTTAATTCAACATGGCTGCTCCTGAGAGGCCTATTGCCAAAATATCAATTGCCTCTCCTACTTCTACTCCTACACCCACCCCCCTTACATTGCTTCAACGACTGGCTACTGTGCTTCCTAAAGATACCAACTTCAACATCTACCATGTCTCAACTCCCCCAACTCGAACATCCGCAATCTACTCTGCACCTCCAAATACTCGTCCCGACCGAACATACTGCGAGAACCACTTTCTCGCTGCCTCTATAAATACACCTGCCAAAGCTCATGGGGCGGAATCTAAGGAAGTGTTGGTTTATGCCATTGAGGTTTTAATCTACTCCACTGCGTACGACTCGACTTTCTTCGTCTCTAAAGCAGACTCGACTGGATATATGCACCATCTAGAATTGCAAAAGGGAACGCCTTCGCCTTTACGAGACATCAGTGCTACTTTTCTTCAACATCTCATTGAGCAGCACCAAAGACCCAATATCCGCTGCGTTATATCACTCTTTGCACGAGCACAAGATCAATACTTGTTCCCTGGCAGCGTAGAATATAGTGGCAAACATGTTTTGGATGACCGTGGGTTGGTACGTTGGTGGTGCCGTGTTCTTGACCCTCTGATCGACCATTCAAAAGCCTCCTTATCCTCGAAATGGGATAAGGTGAAGGGATATTTGACCATCCCTGGCCTAGATTCCCACGAGACACTTTCCTACATCCCGAAAATGAATCCTCCAAAATACTCCTGGACCATTGGACACCCACTTCAGGAAATTTCAAGGCATCCAGACGATGTGCCTCCGCGATGTCTGATTCCCCACTATCCCGATGATCCAAAGGCCCGCTATTTGGACGAACTTGATGATGAAATTACTAAAGGTAATGACGCTAGTAGTGGCCAGTGGAAGAGCGTCCGAACTATTGATCAGTTTTGGGATATGATGGCTTTTCGCCAGGAGTGTTCGGCTGGCAGGATGGTTGGTTTCATCTGGATTGTTTTCACTCCTGAAATCCAACCTGAGCCTGCCCGTGCAGTCATCCCCGATACCCAGAGTACATTCATGAGTAATGACAGTCAGCCTTGGGATGAGTCTGTTTTGCTTGGATTACCCGACGGGTCATCATCATTGCCAATGACCCCCGCAACATCATTCAACGCTTCTAGTCAAGTTCAACCATTGAGCTCGCCCCTCAAAGCTAACGATGATAACGAGCCTCCTGCTTCACAACAATCAGTCCAGTCACCCTACCCTCGTCCCTCGAAGAGAAAGAGGCTCACTGGACCTATCAATTCAAGACAGCCAAGGATCAAAACCGAGAACACTAGCATCAAAAGCGAGATACTATTGCGACCTGAAAGCACACCATACTACCTCTGGAAACCCGAAGGCAGAGGCCAAGTCATAGTAGACGAGTCAGACTATAAGCGCGTCACCGAATTACTACTTCGTCTCGACTTCGCCAACCTAGAACTTGCAACCTCGAGTTCGAGGCGCTGGATCAACGAAGTGCGGTCTAATGCTTTCGGAAGTATGGCCGAGGCTTGGGGTCAAAATGTCATTGGGACGAAAGCCGTAGAGCGAGTTTACGTTGCTGGGGCTGCGGGTGTTAATTCGCTCAACATGGGACTTGTTAGAAAGAAGATGAAAGCTGCTCCTGATGAGTCGAAAAGTTCATCTCCTGCGCACAACGATATAACTCCTGCAGTTAACGTTCTTGGGGCTAGCATGATTCGCAAAAAGGCGAAGAGTTGAGTCATTTTACAGGCGTTGGATTATAGAAGGCCCAGTGGTATCGGAAGGGAAGGCATTGGGTATGGCATGACTTCGGCGTTTATCATGATATTTTAGAATACCCAACAGGATAGTGGAGCATACGATAGGAAATATCAGTTTGCGTGCAGCTTTCTGCTGTTTTAAACCAGCTTCTGCATACATTTTATGGGCGCGGTGTTGTATTCCTAGTGGAAGGCGAGCGCAAGTTTCTCAAGACTTGCTTCGGTGTCTCAGGTGCAACTAGCAAGTATTTACGCTTTAGCATTACTCCCCGAGATGAAAAACCCACACCCCTGAATTATCAGTCGAAGAAAGGATACTACTCAGACCGGCAGTTGGAAAGTGCCGACCCTTCTCTCATTTTCCTGAAGAGTTTGATATTTCTTAACCCTTAGCACTGATCTCGACCTGAGACCTCCAGCCGAGCAGTCCTTGAGAACCACCCAGCCCCAGCCCCAGCCCCGGCCATATCCGCAGTCGCCCACCCGTGTCTCCAACTCCCCAATCAGGCACAATCGCGTTTTTCATATATTGAGTCTGTCACGTAAAATATTCGCCCCCTCGCTTATCGAGCCATAACTAAACGAGCAGGGTAGAAACTGTACGTATTATAAATAGGCTGCAAAGGAGGAAAGATAGGTTTGACCAGTTTGGAGATGAAAAGTGCTGCGTTTTCTTGTCATGACTTATTGTTGAGCAACGGTTGCTCTTGAATCGGGGTAGGGGGCCGAGAGATTTGCTTGCGCTGAGGGTAAGAGGGTATTTTGAGTAGCTGGAGGCGACATAATATGCAATAGAAGATAAAAATGCGGCAAAGAGATCCCTAAAACTTTCATTGTCTCTTCTATGCGCCGAATAAGGCTATAGTGGAGGAATGTTAAGTGAAATTATCCTATTCAAATTTGCCATTTGTTAATATCTGCTGCCACTCAGCTAGCCGCGAAAAGCCCCACTACAGAATACAGAAGATAGCAAACCTACATATCCATCCATACATTGCTAAAGCAGAGTGTTCGTATACACATAATGTGATAAGAGCAGAGTATATGCACCCTACCCAACTCCAAACTCCCCACGCTAAAGGTATCCCAATTCAGAACTCTCCACCATTCGCACCCGAGCCTCCTAAAGCCCTCGCGCCCCACATCCCAGCTAATCCCCACATGCCTACTCTCCAACCTCTCCACAGCCCGTCAACGCCTTGGCCCTTTGTTTCAGCCTTTTTCCCCTTCTTCACACTTACTACACTAGAAGATCTGCCTTCTTCTCGGGCGATTGACCACATTGTTCCCAAAACGCCGTGGTATGGTCCTATATCTACAATGGTCTCCAACCTCTTGCCATCTTCCGATCGGTAAGGCGGCGTAGCCAAAACGGCCATTTGGCTTCGGCGTAGAACTGTTTCGAAGGGGAGTTTGAGGAATAGCTCGGTGGTTTGGAACAGACATTTGGAAATGCCATAAGTGGTGGGCGTCAGGACAGGGTCAATACCCAGGTAAGAACGTAGTAGAAGAGGTGTGGAATGGTGGATAGTTGGTGTGATGAGACTGTGGAGAATCGTAGGAGCCATCAAGGGGGCAGGACAGAGATATGATGGTAGATTTCGGAGGTTGTGTGTGAGCGACCGCTTTGTGGAGGAGAGGGGTGTAAGCATGAGTCTGCGAATATCAGTATAGCACTAGTGGCTGGCAGAGCGCGAAACTCACTTGGTTCGGATGAGATCTAGAGGGGCTAGAATTAGCCCAGCGCTGACTGCTGCGGCTACTGCTACAGCGAGTGAGGCCCAGGGGTATGGAGTATCAAGCAGCTCCGTCGAGAGATTTATTCCCGTTGTTACTGCAGCCTCTGGTACGTTGAAAGCTGCTGAGTATAGGCCTCGGGACCACTGTTCTATAGTCTGCAGTAAAAAACTATACACAAAGGTCGCATTCGTCGCCTTCCACACGCCCCAGGCCCCCTCCTTATTCCATAGTTGGGATATCACTTCCATGACCGAGTCTACTCTCTTTAGCGAGAGCTGGTGCGGAGGTATGGAGATTCCTTTTGGTGAAACTGGAGGAGAGTAGTCTTTTTCGTAGTCCCGTTCACTCGCATGCCGTCTTTGTGATTTTGAGGGGGAGTGCCATTGGGAGGATGGGGCGGAAGAGGTAAAGTATGCAGGCTCGTCTGGATCGGATTCGTCCGAAGGGTACTGCATAGCTATTAGAAGCCATTCCATCCTCTCTCATATTAGGTGTAGAGAAGGGAGCCTTGCCTCGTTGTACATCGAATCCCTATACCCCGAAGGCCGCACCTCTGTTGCTGCTGGGGTTGCTCCCTCGGCGGCATCCTGACTCCGGACTTGCAAGACGGTTTTTGCAACATCAAATGGCTGTGCCAACAAGATGCTGAAATATTTGTAGACCCAGTCGTCCAACGTCTTCTTCATTGCCTCTACCGATGACGGTGAAGAGTCGGACAGGTAATCGCTGTAATCGAACATGTCACGCGCAGACGACGCGTATGACGCCGCGCTGCCATTCTTTGAAGATGATCCATGCAAGCCCGAGCTGCTCATCGTCGCCGCCATATTCCCGGGAGCATCAATATCCTGTGGAATGCCGATGGATGGAGGTCTGTAGTACGGCCTGAGGGGATTTGGGATATCTCGTGAGGTGGAGGTGGACATGTTGGTTGTATTATTGTTGAATCAGGGGTGGATTATGGAGGGGGGAAAGGAAATGGTGTGGTGTTGGTGTTGATGGTGGTAGTAGTGGTGGTTGCGGTGGTGTTGTGTTGTTGAACATGAAAGCCAAGTTCTGTGTTATTGAAGCTTGTAATGGACCGTCCACATCCACATCACATCAGAATCTCGAAATCCACATGCAGAGTAAGTGCAGGGATGTTGATACTATACTGTATCACCGATGTCTTCGCGTATTTGATAGGAGATAGTCGGCATCAGGATAAGCTACGGATGTAAGGTCAGAGAAAAATATATTTTGGTTGGAGCAACAGCTCTACAGTATCTGCATGTGCCACCAACCAACATATCCTCATTCTCACCTCACAACAGCTGTTGTTATATCCAATCACATTCACAACATATCCAACTCCAACTACAACTCCAACATGGAAAATGCACTCTTTCATGGGTAAAATCTCGTAGTTTATCTGTACATTTTATAAACATCCCTCGCTCCCTCACTGCGGCGCATCACCAACCAATCTTTATATCTGCCGACAGTCAGTCAGCAAAGCCTCCATTCGACCCCACCCACGACCCGGCATCATGTTGGCTACAAGAAATACCATCCGAAGTCTAGCAAGGCTGCCAAAGAGCTGCATCCAACGTACCTCCAAGCTTTCTGCGACTCCTGCAACTGTTACCAGCAGGTCTTTATATTCAGACGCCTATACCAACACAGCAACCCCCTTGTGCCCATCTGCTGGCTCCTCTACGTCGCAACGTATACCGAGCTCGAGGCTAAATGGCAGCTTCCGCATAGCTCGTAGGGATTTTTCTGCAACCACAGCTGTTTCCCATGGTCACCTTGACCCTCCCAAGCCTGGCGAAGAGTTTGTCGCCTCTCACCTTCTACAACCACAAGAGTACATTAGTACTGACCTTGGCCCAGGCTCTACGTGACATTCATCGATAAGGATGGCGACGAGCATAAGATTGCGGTCAGCAAGGGCGATAACCTGTTGACTATTGCACAGGCCCATGACATCGAGATGGAGGGTACGAAATCTCCTCCTACACCCCCACCTACACCACCGTATCCAGACTGACAATTGGTGAAATAGGCGCCTGCGAAGGATCCTGCGCCTGTTCGACATGCCATATAATAGTAGAGAGCGAGGACGCCTTTGACAAAATACCCGAGGCGACCGACGACGAGAATGACATGTTGGATCTAGCATTCGGCTTGACTGAGACATCGAGGCTTGGCTGCCAGATCGACATGACTCCCGAGCTGAATGGATTACGAGTGCGGCTGCCCTCTAACACGAGGAACTTACAAGCCAAAGATTTTAGCGCATAGTAGGCGTGCATACATGATATTTGAATATGTAGAATACATTAGGAGGAGAGGAAAGGAAGCATGGGCATAATCTTGTATCATGGCGCAACTTGTGGTTGGGAATGTGCACTACTTGCGCGGATTTCCATTTAAGGGTATCATTTTTGCCCATGTACCATAAAGACATTAGGCGTTTGGCCTGTATAAGATGATCCAGGCTCTCGGCATCAAAAAGATGCTCATAATGGAATACCACTCCCACCTCAACGCCGTTCATTACATGCAGATTTGCCATTTTTGTCTAAGCCTCCTCAACCCCACCAGCCTTCAATCCTCCTCCACCCCCAGCAATCAAGTCCAAAAAACCTTTCTTGCTCATCTCGTTGACCTTCTCCTCACGTCTCCCCTGTCCCACCACCCCCTTCAATCTCGCCTCCCTTGCAGCCTCTTCCCCTTTAACCTGCGCGGCTCTAACAGCATTGAATAGCTTAACCACACCCCTCTGCGCCGTCTTTCTTAACCTCTTCTCCAACTCCATAGTCTCCTGCACACTCTCACCCGTTCCGACCCCATGCGCAGCATCAAACGCCGTACTCGCTCCGAGCACATCCTTTACCCTGCCTTTCTCCAACGCAGCCTTCTTGTCCTCCTTTATCTTATGTTTGGCCTTCTTCTCCAATGCTTGATCCGTCATCTCTTTGCTAGCCTCAATAGCTGCTACACTGCGGGACAGAACTGGATCGTCGCGTTTGCTCGTCGATAGTTTTGAGCCCAAGATCTTGGACATGGACGTTGCGAAAGCTTCGGGGTCATTTCGTTTCCGCTTTCGTATTAAGTTGGGGTTGGAATTTGTATCTGATTCGTCGTCATCGTCCTCTGAATCGGAGTTTGAACCGTCTGTGATTTCTTCCTCGACCTCTGCAGCGATTGCAGGTTCGTCCCCCACATCTGATAGCTCTGCTGTGACAAGATCCGCGGTGTCGAGTCCTTCATCGTCGGAATCTTGCAGATTGACAGCCTTGAAATCTTGCTCTGGCTCTGGCTCCGGTTCTGAATCTGCGGTGGAATCGCTGTTGTAGTCCGTTTGTTTCTTAAATTTCTTGACGGGTCTCGAGGTTTTCCCTTTCATTCCCTCTTCAATCTTGCGTTTTTTTGAATATGAGCCTGCCATTGTGTTGAGTTTACTTGGTTATGGTGTTCTTTTCTTTAACCAAATGGTGGGTGGAGGTGGTTCAAACTTGAAGATAGAAAAATAATTTTTGGTTTCGGAGCGGAACAACTCGTCGGAAATCCACCCCGCCCGCCCCACCTCTTCATCCCACCACATTTGACATTTGGCCATCCACCAAGGCCAACGAACGTCTAATACAATCGCAGTCGCAACAACTCCACCTACCTACCTACAACATGGTTCTTCAAGATCTTGGACGGCGCATTAATGCCGCCGTCAGCGACCTCACCAGGTCAAGTAATCTGGATGAAAAGGTTTGTCTCCAACACCATCACCATCCCTATTCTCATCTTCATCCCCATCCTGACACATCATACCTAGGCCTTCGAAGGCATGATCAAAGAGATATGCGCCGCCCTCCTCGAAGCCGATGTAAATGTACGCCTCGTAGGCAACCTACGAAAATCCATCAAATCCTCTGTAAATTTCAAAGAGCTACCTCCGGCCGTGAACAAGAAACGTCTCATCCAGAAAGCCGTCTTCGATGAGCTGGTCAAGCTCGTTGATCCACACGCCGAACCATTCAAGCCGAAAAAGGGTAAACCTAATATCATCATGTTTGTTGGATTACAGGGTGCCGGAAAGACAACGACATGTACGAAGCTGGCGAGGCATTATCAATCGAGGGGGTTCAAGGCGTGTCTGGTTTGCGCCGATACCTTCCGTGCTGGTGCTTTTGACCAGTTGAAGCAGAATGCGACCAAGGCGAAGATTCCGTACTACGGATCCCTTACACAAACTGATCCGGCTGTGGTAGCAAAGGAGGGAGTAGAGAAGTTCAAGAAAGAGAAGTTTGAGATTATAATCGTAGATACCAGTGGACGACATCGACAAGAAGATGCCCTGTTCCAGGAGATGGTGGATATTCAAACAGCTGTTAAGCCTGACCAAACTATCATGGTTCTGGATGCAAGCATCGGACAACAAGCCGAGGCGCAAAGTAAAGCTTTCAAGGAGACTGCAGATTTCGGTGCCATTATAATCACTAAAACCGATGGCCATGCAAGTGGAGGTGGTGCTATTTCAGCAGTTGCTGCAACACATACTCCCATTGTTTTCATCGGCACTGGAGAGCACATGTTGGACTTGGAAAAGTTTGCACCACAGCAGTTCGTATCGAAACTACTGGGAATGGGAGACATGCAAGGACTGGTGGAACACGTCCAATCTTTGAAGCTTGATCAAAAAGATACCATGAAGCATATCGCCGAAGGAGTCTTTACCGTACGCGATCTCAGGGACCAGCTATCAAACATCATGAAGATGGGACCGTTATCAAAGATGGCAGGTATGATCCCAGGAATGTCAGGCATGATGCAAGGTATGGATGATGAAGAGGGCTCCATGAAGCTCAAACGCATGATCTACATCTGCGATTCCATGACAACAAAAGAGCTAGATAGCGACGGCAAGATGTTCCTCGACCAACCTACACGGATGACCCGGATAGCATGCGGAAGTGGAACAAGTGTCCGTGAAATTGAGGATCTGCTTACGCAGCACAAGATGATGGCTGGTATGGCAAAGAAGATGGGTGGTAACATGAAGAACATTCAAAAGGCACAAGCAGCCATGGGCGGTGGAAACAAGCAACAGCAAATGGCTGCGATGCAGAAGCGCCTGGCAAGCATGGGTGGCGCAGGCGGTGCTGGAGGTGGTGGAATGCCGGATATGTCATCTTTGATGAAAATGATGGGAGGTGGTGGTGGTGGCGGGATGCCAGGAGGAATGGATATGCAGGCGATGATGAAGCAGATGGGCGGAATGATGGGTGGGGGTGGTGCCGGGGCTGGAAGAGGACGACGGTAGTAAAGAGACAGGTGTAAGAAAGAATGTCAGTGCATAGAGCGAGGCGTTCGGGATGGTATGGAGTAGTGCTTTTTAAAGCCTCCTTCGCTAGACATAGCGATTAAAATCATGTTTGGGTTTAATGTCTGTTGTAGCTCTGCGTGTTTATTCCCCCGTGATAATGCTAAATCTTCAGGTTTGCTCTGGCATTAGTTTACACAAGAGTCTACCTAATGTCCTAGGCGCCAAGGGATCACGTTTTGAACGGCAGGGCCCTAAGCGAGCCCCTGAGCCTGCATCGCTAGTCCTTTGCGCGCTTCGAATTTCCCCCTGTGTCCATTTCAAGCAACATTTTGAGTTCAAGAAAAATAGGCAGCCCTTGATGAAAAGTGTCGGGTTGAACCGTTCCTCTCTACAGGTAGTATAAAGAGTCAGGGTGCCTATCCTGAATCTCCTCTACCCCCAAGCGGCGTAGAGCTGCAACTTCAACTGTATCTGCTGCTGCTGACCTTTTGGAAGTTCTCCTCATTAACAGCCAAATTATTTACAAACGTGAGAATAAAGCCAAGCACGTTGAATGCCAGAGCATATCCGTTTCCTTTCCTATAGTATAGTGGGTCACTATCGACATATGACGCAGAACTGAATTTTATGTGGGGGGGATATTTTTGTTTTGGATGGGCAGTTTAAATGGTAGTCCGGGCTTACGACTATGTATTAGATTACGCATGAGGTAGGATATTGTAGAGCGTTTTGAAATGACGCCCTGCTAACCTTTCTGGGGGGATTACTCGAAGTATGTTGGACCACCAGGATCTAGTGGACTTCAGTATTGCTTAGTCAACAGACAAATTAACCTTGATCGCTAGCGTACTTAACACATAACCACCTACATATCAGACAATACACAGACTATACTGCATCAGATATTTCTAACAAAGTACCTGACTTGTCTAGTGCACGTGATGAAGACTCTACCTCCTTGGTTGACTTTATCTGGTTTATTGTTCCCTGTTCTTGCATTGTTTGTTTTGCTCTTTTATACATACCAAAAAAACAAAGAAACAGGATAGCCATGATTGTATAGATGAAAGAAGGTCGTATCTTTGAGTCAAAGGCCCAATAGTAAATCCATCAATTATGGTGTCGAAATGGATGACTGTTCTGCCTCTGTTGAGACAAGATTATATCATGTCCTTGGGGGTATTGTTCGTCGATAAGCAATATGGAACAGTGTGAACGCTTTATTGATAAAAAGACCATCTCCGCCCGCGTTCTATATTCTATCAACCAACTTCAACCCACGACCTCAACCTACAGCTGAATACCAAACAAACTTGATCAACAGCTCGCTCATCTACACACTGCTAGCCATAGCAAACGCACACAACAAGCTCCACAGAATGTTCCATCCTAATCCCACGATAAGTTTTGCACTCTTTCTCCTCACACTTTCATTGTCCTTTCAGGGTGCTGTTGGGCACGTTATCCTGAAAACCCCAAAGCCGTTTCTCTTCGCGGCCTATGGTCCCAGCAATCCTATCTCGCCAGATGGGTCAGACTTCCCGTGCAAAATGCCACCTGGGACCACCAAACTCGAGATCGACGGCAGTCTTACGGAGATGACCATCGGCCAAGAACAACAAGCCTCCTTTACAGGACTAGCTGTTCATGGTGGAGGTAGTTGTCAATTTGCTCTCACTCCCAGCTTTATGCCCAACAAAACATCCGCATGGTCTGTGATTGAGTCAATCGAAGGCGGATGCCCGGCCATCAACAAAACAGGCAATTTGGAAGACCCCGATACACCCAGCACATATACCTTCACGATCCCGGTAGGCATTGCCCCAGGCGAGTACACATTTGCGTGGACGTGGGTGAACCGCATCGCTGGCTCGCCCGAATTCTACATGAACTGTGCACCGATCGTGGTCAAGTCTGACGGGCCTAAGAGCCGTCGGGACCTACAGCGTCGAGCGCAAATTGAGAAGCGTGCGCAATTTCCTGATCTCTTCCTGGCAAACATCGGGGATGCGAGCAAGGGGTGTACGACTACTGAAGCCCACTATGTACAGGCTGCTATTGCATTCCCGCATCCTGGGAGTAATATTGTTCATCCTAATGGCGACCCGTCTGGCTCAGGCCTCTCCCAGTTGTTTCATCAGGTGTGCGATGGCAATCCTAGGAATAGCGGGAGCGGGTTACAGCCAGATCCATCGACACCAATCCCTTCAGCACCAGTACCTTCGGTGTCATGCGTTCCGGTCTTGAGTTCAACCCAGGTTACCTCACCTACGACTTCGCCAGCCCATGTTACCAGCTCGGCTGCGTCGGTCACGGCTTCTGGCTCAGCACCAGCGGCTTCTCCGAGCGGGAAATGTGGGGAGGGTCATCTGCTTTGTGTCAATGGCAACGAATTCTCTACCTGCACGGGTGGAACCTGGACGGCTCCGCAACCACTTGGCTCTGGAACGCATTGCACCGGTGGCGAGGGTGTCGGATTGACTATAATTAAGTCGTGAACACTGCTAGTTAGTAGTTACTTTATGCACAAGGTAACGTAAAAGAAGAATAAAGCAGTACGTTTCAATATATGGGTAATGGGAGGTTTCGTCAAAGATAAAAAATTCAAATCACTTTAAAGAAAAACAATACTGATAATGACTACGCTTCTATAAGAATCTTTCTCTAATCGTGACAAGTGTGATGGCCATTGATAATGCATGGAGTGTCAGCAAACATATAGATTAGTACTAATAAGAAGACATGTTCCACTTACTAATAGTAGTTTGCGAATACTAGTGTTATGATCGAAGAGGAAGATTAGATGTAAGTCTCAGTTCTGCGGTGGAAAAGGTGAATAAAAACTAGCCATTCAATAAAGTATAGCTCAAAATAAACAGGTTGTCCATCATAACAAATAAAGCATAAATCTCTAGAAAGATGGCGCAACTGCTCTCAACTTGTCTATTAACATTATGCTCTGAACTCTCCAAGACCGCTACCACACACTAATTACTTCCATGATCCACGGGGAGAAGCATATTAGCTAGGCATTAACCATTGAGGAGTCTAGAGTGAGAGATAGAAGGCTTCAAGCACCACATTACGCAGTGTTGCTTGGGGGAGGATGTTATCCGAGTTTAAAGTGCAATTAGGAGAAATCTGAACGTAAGTTAAACTTAGGTGGACCTTTTATATTATTAAGCTTAGATTTGTCTCCTTTTTCTTTTTATATTCTTTTTGCAGATGTTTCCTTCTAGAAGCTAAGTAAATTACTTTGTTATACTGAATAGCAACGTGTGATTTTGGCGAAAAATATCAAATTAAATCTATCCTCATCTATGTCTATGATATTAGTCTATGATATTATAAATACATGCTCCTACTTAACACACTTGCATATTATTTTCATTGGTAATTATTACACCAGCCCCAGATCCCGTCACACAATATCATCACCAACGCTAACAACATTAATTGTCCTCATCTCCCGCCGCAATACTTTTCCAGGAACGCCGACGGCGGATTGCAACGGCTTCTCTATCCTTGCGCCAACCTCCAAGCTCGTAATCGTGCTCGCCCGACTAGGAATACTATCTGTCATGAGACTGGGCACACAACTCGTATTTCCAAACGCCAAACTTGGTACCGCCGAATCCTCAGCCGATGCCCGCTTCGGGTAAATAGGAGGCGGCATAACCAGGCTCGGCGTCAGCGTGTCAGGTATTCGAATCTGCTTGGAAATCGGCTCCATAGGTGTAGAAGAATGGCCAGATGTCCTGGAATAAGCCATATCCTTCTTCGCCTTCCCAATCCACAGCATCTGTTCATGCTCCCTCAGATACCTATCCCCACTAAAGGATTTCTGCACAATAGCCCTAGTGCGCATCCCTAGCGCTCTCCGAGCATCCTGCTGCTCATACATACGTTTCGTAATCCGCGCTACATCTTCAGGTGTCGGCTCTTCCGGGAATGAGGCATCTTTGGTTTCTTGAGCATGGTCGGAGTATTGCGCCCATTCGTCTAGTAGTGCCAGAAGCTTGATTTGGGCGCGGGCCATGGCGAGCGCATCGTTGGGTGCTACGACTGCGCTATAGCAAGCACCGTCAGAGGGATTGGTGAGGACGCGGAGGGAGGCGCCAACATCAGTACAGACGACTGGGGCACCGGTCAGGGCTGCTTCACCAAGGGCGAGGGGGAGGCCTTCGGAGACGGAGGAGTTGAGGAATACCCACTACATAAGAGTTAGTATATGAAAGAGGTGCAGGAATACAAGGTGCGACATACGGTGTTCTCGAGAACTTTGAGGGGGTCCGCTTCTCCTTGAAGCTTGACTTGGTGCCGTAGGGACTTTGTAGCGATAATTTCTTGGCACTGTGTCGTGTATGAAGGTGCTTTGTCAATAGTACCATAAATGTCCAATCTGAAGTCTCTAAAGCCCCATTTATTAACGATTATGTCTGCAGAAAGCAGCGCAGTCTTAATATCTTTGGCGTACCTAAGAATGTGAATTAGCAAATGATATAGCAGAGGGAGGAACGGTCGACACGTACCATACATGCGATAGCATTGTAACAGTTGGTATTGTGGTCTTGATCTCTTTTACTGGAACAAAGCGCTTTCATCTGTTAGCAGGGGTGATGAAGCAACGCGTAATGAGACATACCTGCATATCCGTAATGCCATTCACGACAGGATCTATCTTTCTCTTGAACGCTGCGCGATGCTCAATCCTTCCTTGGCAAGTGCCAATTTCAAGCTCCCAATTCGGGTTAAAGAAATCAGCACATGGCAAAATCGTGTCCGCATGATGCAAAGTTAGGACTGAAGTCATTCTCATCAAGCCAAGTAGCGAGTTCCTGACAAATGGTGAGAGTGGACAGAGCGCTGAAGAAAGATACAAGTTCGTTTCTCTCCAGCTAATAGCATGGTCCCATATCTGGAGGGTACAGCCCCGCTTGATTTTGCATATAACACCATACGAAGCACTAACGCTGTGATGAGATGCTTGAAAAACGGCGGGCATCTTGTCCGGGAGTGGGATAGCGAAGATAAATAGATACCGAGACCAGAGCTCTAGTCCTTGATCAAGCTGTCCTAGTGTTGGATGCTCTGTCTTCAGCCATTCCGATGAAGGCCGGGCATTTGTTGTAGTTTGGGAAAGCCATAGCCGTCTCCATGCAGCCTTCACCACTTCACTCCTCCACGTTTCGCTCCAATGCTTTGTTTCCTTGAAGTATGAGTTTAGATTCACAAGTGACCTTGTAAGTTGCTTGATATCGGCCACTGACAATTCGATTGCTCGAGCCCCTTTGATCATCGCCTCCAAGATAGGAACAAAGGCACGCTCAATTTCAAGGAGTGTGGCATGCGTGGTTATGTGCTCCACCTCTGAATCGAGCTTGTTATTGAAGAGACCGTGGGTGGGTGTCATCAAATCGAGGCCCCAGAGAGGGATGATCTTTAAGGAGTGCACGTTGCGCTCGATTTGGCGCTTGGGGAGCCCGAAATCGTTGGCGGATTCGGCGACCATGTGCCATTTAATCGTACGTAAATTGTTGACCACATCACTGCGGCAGGCTGAGACGCCACCACCCTGTTTTTAGAGTTAGGGTTGTTTTATAAAGGGAATAGAAGGATGATTTACCTCGTTTGGCCATGTTCCTGTATCGACGGCGATGACATGGAGCTGCGTTTCGTCTTCCTCTTGAGTAGTAATATTCGATCGGGTCCTGCTGACGGAATCTCCACCTTGGCCAAAGCTATACATGTCATTGATTTTGATAGAAAGCGGGGTCATGCTGGATATGCTGTTGTCAAGGTCTACGCTTGCCATAACCGCATCTCTATTTTGGTCAAGATAGTCTTCGGCAGCTTTCAAGTTGCCAATGTCACGCTTTCTCCAATACGGACGGAGAATTGGGTCACGACGAAGCAAGCGCTCATCAAGCCAACGTACTACTACACCGTCAAATGTGCGATCTTCCTTCCAGGCCTTCCAAAGCCAGGAACGGGTTTGCGTAGTTGAGACGGGGTATTGTCGAGTTGAGCGTCCAAGGAAACGAGCGAGTGGATTGAAGTCAATGGTACTAAAACCGAAGAGTGGGTTGTCGTCCAGGATAGAAACATGTTTGGGCCTCTTCAAAACATCCAGATGATCATATAGAATTAGTGGAGGTGTATCCACGGGTTGTCCATTCAGTGTGGTGACAATTATGGGGTGGAATTTATGGTCGTAAAAATACTTGCTTTCCCAGACATCTCTATCAACAACAAAGGTTGCTTCTGTGACTTGTGAATGTGGGACCTAAATAGTTAGCCCAGTATTCATTGTCTAGGGGTTGTCAATTACCCAAGTTTCGAGCTTTTCTGGTTTTCGTCGTGGAGGCGCACACCATGAAACAGTACAGCTCAAATGCGGAAGTACAAACACGGCGCGTAACAGTGCCCCAGAATGCTTCGGGCCCTTTTGGTAGTGATACTGGAATCGTATGAGGTTGTCGTCTTTGAAGTAGGAGCCAGAGTCGATCTGCCCTCTCGAATTATAGCTGATAGACTGTAGCGCATTTTTGCCAGCGATCGCCTTTCTGGTGATTGGAGTGTTGAGAAGGTCGGTCCTAGAGAGCCGCGTCTGTGCTGCCACATCAGAGTCTCTATAATCGTAGATGTAATCATTTACCGTATCTCCGCCAGATATTTCCACGCGGCGCTGCAGAGTCATGGTAGTTGAATATATGTTGACCGCGTATGAGTCCATCTTGGTGCTTGGCTCTATGGTATGATCACCGCGATACTGGATGAGCTTAAAGCTGTCTTTGTCAATTGGGTGGATGAAGCCTGTGTAGACACCGTCCAGATTACGGATCAAAACTCGACGTCGTTTGATAGTAACTTGGACACCGCGGATATTCTTCCACACTGCGGCCAACTTTGTACGCTTGTGGAACTATCATAGTCTTAGTATGCGAAGTCATAAACAGGAATGTGAATTGCAGATATAAGAAGAAGCCCTTACCAAAAATATTGGGAGAAGAAACTGTTGAATGCTCTTGGACCACATCCAAATCCCAATGAGTACTCCTCTTACCAAATAATTACCCGGATGAGACGCGCCCGGGAATCCATATCTGACCTCCCTTTGATACTCTGGATCTGCCACAAAGGCAATAGAAAAGAATTTGCAAAGTTTTCCCAAGTAGTGGTACAGCTTCCCAGTGTACATGCGAAGCTTCTCATAAGTCGAATATTTCGGAGGAGTAGCGGTATTTTCATGCAGGTCAATTACAGGAAGAACCGGCAATGAAGCAACTCTAGCAAGTTCGTGCGATTTGCTTGGGGGGTCTCTAGTGGCCCATGAAGTTGCACGCGCGAGTGAGACCGCAGTTGCAAATGCTGCATAATTGCAGCGAGCAATGTGTGTTTCCAGTCTAACTCCCGATGAAATGTTGAGTTTTTCCATAAATATTGGTTTCTGCTCTTCTAGGACTGAAGTTGAAATCCCTACGCACCGATCGATGAGATAGTGCCGCATCTCTGAAGGGAGCGCTTCCCATTCAAGGTCCGGGTCAACTCCAAGGCATAGGTCTTTCAGCAACTGTTTTTGGAGAACACTTAGTAGCTCAGGAGTATTTCCTAGTTTGGAGTTGATCTTCAGTTGGCGTTCTAAGGCACTTGAACAACCAGAGTTCTCTCTCCACCCTGCGTTGTTAAGTATCAGAGTTTGTGCAAGAAGAGCATCGCGAGTCTTGTAGCCCAAATATTGTTCAGCAGTAACCTGAACAAGAAGTTCTACTACCCTATAAAGGCGTTAACAAATATCTTAAGATTCCGAGGTGGTGAGCTTACTCTTGGTAGAAGCCAGGGGGGTGATCCCGACCCGTAGAAATACATTTGGTCTTGCACCCAACCAAAAGACTAACTGAGGTATTTCCAGTGTGGCTTACCGCTCTCATTGCATGGTCATACTTAGAGAAGTGTTCAATGGAGACTAATTCAATCTTGACTTTACCCTCGTTGAAAAGCTTGCCACTGAGACGAAGTAGATGTTCCGCCTCCGGGAAGGCTCGCTGTGCAAGGTCGGTGAGTTTTGAATCGCCACATCGGTTTAAGAGCCGAGAAACTTGGTGACCAGATGCTGACTGGGGCTCAATGTGCATTTTCTCTGCTCTTGGGAGCCCCTCCAATTGGTGGTAAAAGCCTTTGAGTTCTGGTTGGGACCAGGATTGATCGACACCTGGGCCAGAATATTCGTCATATGATCCTTTGGTGATGAGCGGGATGTGATCCTCAAATTTCCCAATGATTTTTCCGGCAAATAATGAGAGAATCGCTACAGTCCAAGTTGCTGATGCAAGAGCGACTACATCTGAGTATTTGAAATCTGGTGCTTCATGTTCGAGTATAAACCCGAGAGGTAAGCCAACACAGACACCAATTAACAGAGGCTTCAGAGCATGGGGTCCGCAAAATATTTTTGTGTACTGTCGACGTGTGAGTATTAATGTAATGGTGATAGACTTGCTATACGTACCTGGAACCACAAAAGACCTGCGTAAAGATATCCCTTTAATAAAATACACTTCAAAGGCTTTGGCCAAGCGAGATCTGGAGAAGTGACTTACCGGTGTAGGCTCCTACATAGCTTAGAAAATAGATTGACTCTTCCTTCTTCTTGGCAAACAACCAGATTAGGATCGATGTTACAGCTAGACCCCATATATGCCACAGCAAGTATCGAGAAAGTGTCTTCCAATATAGCAGCTTACGATTCTGCAACTTCATCTTCATGGCGTTTGCGATATCAGCATCAGACGATACGATCTCTTGATCACCAGTACCAGCCAGTTCGTGCAGCTTAGTAGCATTGAAATCAAGTAAGACCGCCCCGATCAGATAATAGGCTAGCCCAAAGCCCACGGGGATTCTCAAGGAGATTGAGGATGAACCGAGACCGAGAACATGGCGACCGTCGATCAAAGCGACCCACTTATCAAGAAGCGCCACGATGAAATATAACATTGTGCAGCCGATCTAATGGATCTTTAGAAGGAAACGAGTGTACTCCGGAAGTTGGCCTACCTCATCGCCGGCCTGTCGCCAGTGGATGAATCCAGAGTGGAATCTTATACCAAGTTGGGACTTTTGCAGAGAATCTAAAGCGACTTTAGCTGTATTATTCCATGACGAACTGAACATTATAGGCTTCGGAACACCAGTAAATCGGCAATACCAGTCCTAATTTTGTCAGGAACTTGTCAGATAAGAGGACGGTGCACATTACCATGAGGAAGATTGTTGATTCATATGATTTTACGAGTTTTGATACCATGGGATCGGTGTTTCCCTTAGCAAAAGCCGACTTCCGTAGTTCTAGGAGAACAATTTGTTGTAAAGATCCACGGGCCAATTTCAAGACACTTGGATCTGTCATCTTCTGGATGTCTTCTCTCTCACGAGGCGAGATAGTATTCATATGCCAACTCCTGAGAGCAGCGTCATCGATCAAGGCGATTTTCTGGTACCACGTTGTCCAACGTGAGCCAGTGCGTCGAACTCCGAGAAATAGCATAAATATGAACACGTAAATCACGGTTAGATAGATGGTGACATCGCTATGTGAGATGAAGATCGAGACCAGTGGCGAGATAAAGAGTATCGGGATACAGGCAATAATGATAACGCGACCCTGAGTTGAAGGTTAATACATCAAGACGACCAACGTTAGGAACATGTGGGCTATATTGCGTATTACTTACCGATTGAAATCCGGACCCCGTAAACTGGTAGTTGGCGAGTGCGGCCAATAAGCAAAGATACGTCGTTAAAGCAACAAGATACAGAAAGAAGACAATGGCTGCATGAGACCCGCTAGTGCAAAAGAATGCAATGAACCCGATTAAGCCTGCAATAAGTGTGAACGCAAATCCACCCAGCAAGCGTGTGACTACAAAATAGTTCATAGCAGAGAAGGCCATTGACGCCAAGTAGTAAGTTCCACCGCATGTAATCCACGTTCCAATTGCACCAGATAGTAGCAGAGATACCATCAACGCAACCGTTGCGCTATGCTGTTCTTGATAGGACATCTTTCCACTCAGGTAAAGGCCGTGACCAGTAGTAGTAAGCATTAGGATATCAATGAGAGCCGGGATGGCGAAGACACTCAAGAACGTGAATCGTTGGTACGTAGGCATTCCCATTGCCTTCTGATTCTGGTCAACGTCCATTCGTGCTTCCGAGTAGGCTGAATCGAGAGCTTCTGAAGTGTCCATAATTGTAGGAGGCTGATATCTAGATTCGCCATAGTAATTGCGGAATTTCTTGAAAAGAAGTTGTCCAAACTGACTCGGAGTGATATCAAAGTATGCCTCACATCGCGATCCCAGTGCAAAGAGTTCGGCAAAAGCAGCAGCTTGATCGGGCTGATCGTTGAAAAGCGGATTTCTGTCTGTGACTTCGATGTACACCTCTTCGAATGCTGCTCTTCGCATGGTACAAAAAGCCGAAAGAGCGAATATGTCGCCGATAGCGTCTGGATTTGAATGTTGAAGTGACAATTCAAGAGCTTCAACGATGGCGTTCAGATTGTTACGGTTTCGAGTTTTGAGGGCCCTCAAGACCGTCCCTTCGACTTCTTGGAACAAAGACATTGCGGCTGGCAGATCTGGATGCGAACGTTCGGACTTACAGTGCCACTGTAATCTTGTTTTCACCAACTCCTCTGCGTTTATATCTCCACTGATGTATCCAATTGTATTCAGCGCCCTGAGCTGACTCAGACTTGGGACATCAATCAATGCCTCGGTTGCCGCAGACGTTACACGCCTTGGAATTTCTTCGTTATTTGATTTCGGGGCAAGGGAAAGACGTTGCAGTAGTAGGATATTTTCATCTGGAGTGAGCAACGAAATGTCCTGAATCATCCGTGGAGGCAGATCATGAGGCGAAACGAGAGTGTCTTGCCATTGACCAAACGAAATCTCAGCAGCAAGACATTGATCCCGTGTTAAGCCTTCGCTTGACAAGAAAGCATGGAGCAGGACGCTCAATATATCATGCGAACTTTTGGAGATATATATATCGGTGGTGTTTTGTGACTGGTGATATACTGCCCAGAATTGCTTCCTTCCCTTCTTTTGGAAGCCGGAATGCAGCCCCAGGAAGACTTGAACGTTACCACAGCTATCATCGAGAGTCTGGGATAACTCCATTGCCAAAGTCTCGATACTTTTAGACGAGCAAGATGCACCAAGATTCGTAGACTCCGTCCAAAAGTCGGTTTCGGCGATGAACCTTCCCAATTTCTCTCCATATTTTCGGAGTTCGGGAGGACCGACTGCGTCCAGAAGTTCTAGCTTCCTGAGATTTCTCTGGGAGAAAATGATATCTCTAAAATCGTCCTCCGTGACATCTACTCCCAAAGGGCAACACCCCAGCCCATCAAGGCTGCTACAACCCCTTGTCGGTACACAAAGCGGATCTCTCAACTCCGCATCTCGCAGAATAAACCACTCGGAATCTCCCAAATCGGAGGCAGTTGCCTCTGGAGCTGCTGTTAAGTCATGGCGTGTGCACAGGCTACCCATCTCAACGTCCTTCAAAGTAGGCAGCAAGTTTTCAAGCTGCTCATTGATGCAATGATATTGATCGGAATATTGCACCTGTTTTCATAGATTGTTAGTCTGGAATAATAATAATGCGTTGGAGCCACTTACAGCTCGCTTGCTTTTCCATTGATCGTGCAGCTCCATTACGCGAGGTTCTTTCAGCCAATCAAATGCACTCAGAGGTTCAAATGGAACAACTTCAATAGACGCATCAACAAGGGCGCTATGCGGGCCGATCCAAGGAACAGCATTGTAAAAGCTACACCATGTAAACGTTCTCTTCAGAACTGCGCTGGAAGGTACTACGCCATCTCCCAATGTATCCCAGATCAAGACTGTAAAGTCTCTCAGGCAGGCTTGCGAAACAAATGCCTTGAGTGTGGTACGCAAAGATTCCAACCCAAAACAATCGCGCCTCTCTCCATTTTCCAAGATAAGGCAGTTACGGATCACGAGCCCAGAGATTGCGTCACAATCCAAAACGTTTGAATCATGTAGAAAGTTGGGAGCCGAGGTCTCCAAGTAGACTTCAAGATCGAAGACGGAAAGTGCATCAATCAGCGCATGTAAGACCTTGTTCGATATCGCCTCCCAGCCTGCCAGAAGGACACCAGTAAAACCAGTGCTGCGCCCTTCGTAGTCCTGAAATCGTGTAGCAATGAGAGTCATCAATTGATCAATCCCCGAGATAAGCAGGTCTCCTGACTGCTTGGTTGCGATTGGCATATGTAATATTTCGCCAATATCGAGTCTGCCAATGACAGATTGCGATTTGTGCTGCTGCTGGTTATGCGGGCGCTGCGCTAATGCGGCAACAACATTGCGCCCAAGAGGATCGATTATTATTGCATCTTTATCGGAGAGAATTTTTTCTTGGTCTGCCGAAATTTTTTCATCAAAGTGTCCCAAATAAATCCCAAGGGACTTTGGTTTCAGCTTGTCGGATTTCTCAAGCGTCAGTTGTGACCGCGAAGCTGTGTACTTTTGTAGATGACTCGCAACCTCAGCGGGGAGAACATCAGATGCTTGGTTCTAGTGTAACAAAACTATAAGTATGATTTTTGGTATAATCGGGAAACAACATTAAGTTTCAAGAACTAACCCCGATTGAAAAATGCTGGTAACACTTTTTGAGAAGAGTAAAAGCGATGTAAGTGGAGCCAATAGTAATGGACGTGAGGGCAGCACCGATGAGAACCTATATTGTTAGTAAAGTATATAAAGTTATGACGCTTAGCTCACCCATTGCCACCAGTGATCAAAGAGTTGAGATCCGCTGCTTGCATCGATGGGAAGGATGTACGTGTTGACCATTGTCACTAAAAGCGAAAGAATGTGAAGTTCCGCATATAAACGACTAAAAATTAAATAAGCTACTGCAACTACAACATCCACATAGGATGTTGTGTGTAGTCGAAGTACCTGCAAGCCTACAATAACTTCTTTTGCAAGGCTGTGAGGATACTTGGACGGAAAGGGGTGGCGGACGCCGCGGGAGGAAGTAATATTCGTGGTGATGAGTTTCTGGTACCAAAATCTCCTTGAAAGGTTGGTTAGGGGAATCTATAAGAAGGGCCGGCTCAGTCCCTACCTGCCAACTGACGTAGGCTGTCAATAGAACACCCACCATGGACTATTAAAAGCACTTCAGCACGGAAGCTGAAGATAGAGACCGGGGTGAGTAGAAAGACATAGACGAATCCTGATCTTCTCATCCTCATTCGAGGACTTCAAATTTCTAGCTCTAGGAAGAAGCGGTGACCACTATCCGGGTCCGAGAGCTCATGAGCTGGCTGCAAGTTTTACCTCACACCCCCAGGCGGCGATCACATAGCTCGTATTGCTCTGATGTTAAATCTTCCATGACAACAATGCATTAGCCACGAGCTAGGTACTTGAATTGGGACGAAAGCGTTGATGCATGCGAGAAACGCATGCAAGAAACGCATGCAAGAAACGCATGCAGGGCTCTTCCGGGATCCTAGCAATCCACGATATCGTCATGCATGCACGTAGAGGATGTCAAAAGAGGATCAGCCACTCGACGCAGAACTAGGAAGCGCTGAATTGGACAACTTTGGCCCTCGTGCCGGGAGTAGGGAGTCACATAGCGTGGAATGGAAGCGCCAAGAATAGCGCCAGGGGCCCAATGCGATGGTTGCACTGGGACTGTGAATAGAAATAGTATATGATTTTCCCAGGACTGTGGTCTGACAGACAATTGCATGTCTCTGGTAAGCTGTCGTGATCGGATGGATGTATCTGCTCCATGTCGTCAAACACCCTTGGCGTACCTTCGTACCGTACTCGAGTACGAGCAGTGCACTGGTGGTGTAGATTCTCCACTTACTCGTAAAGCAGCGAGTCACAGGGGTCTAAAGCGCCGGGTCCAAAGGTTAAAATCAACGTTCCACCGCCTCAATGCAGGTATTTATTCCTTTTTATTCATCTCCACGCTTCACTTCACCCGTGAACCAGCCTCCATGTCTCGCGTTTTGTGTTCCCACGCCGTCGTACATCCGTATCGGCATCGGGGCATCCGTAAACGGGCCAGAAGATGCACGGGATAATTCCATTTCGCAAACTTCACCTCTTTCGACCTCCCTGTTGGCCTATTCCGTATAACTTGCGCCTCAATCCCAGTGCTCCCCCCCCCCCCCGTCGTGGCTGTCAAGTAGCAGCGCAGCGCAGACGACAACCCTGATGCTGACCCGGGATGAGATCTGTTCACCTCAACCCGGTCAAAATCAGAAAACATCATCTTTGGCATACTATACTGCAAATCGTCGATAGTGGGAGCTGAGTGAAGGTCACGGCGTCATACAATTTCAGCTATAACAACCAAAAATAGGATCCACGCGTCTATTTGTCATGCTGGCTCTTACCATTATGTTATGGAACCCGAAATCCGAGTTGCGGAATCGTTCTTGTGTTTAGATCCGTCCCGCGAATCACTCTAAAGAACGTTCTGTTCGTCAGCCACTGGTGCCATGACTGAAAAAGCATTCTAGAAGTCTAGGTGGTTTTCGTATTTCCACGAACTTGTAAGGAAACCCCCTGATCGTCTGTGATCTAAAAAGTATATACATCCGCAGAGAACGCATAGCTGCTTCTTGCTCTCCCATAAAAAAGTTCCCATATTTTAGAGGGATCTACAATTTCACTTCTTTACCATCAACATGATTTCCAAAGTAGTTTTTCAATCTGCTGTCTTGGCAGCGTCCATCTCGTTTATCACTGCCGCATCTGCATCCCCACAGGCGAAAATCAGTAATGCCAAACCAGAGGCTATCGTTATACCCTCCGCTGTTCGCGGACCAGTTCCAGTCGTACAAACAGTATCTGCGGAAATCAACAATGTCGCCGTCAATTCTAATACTTCAGCTATAACCTCTAACGTGACCACTCCAGCTGCCGTCGTCGCTGCAACAACAGTGAAGAGTACTGTTTTGATACTCGCTCGAGATACTGCATCTTCATACTCTGGATATTCTGGTCTTAATGGCTACGCCATTCCATATCAAGTTGTTGTCGTCCCTCAGGCTGGCGTCACTCTCCCCAATCTGAACAGCAGTGCGACTTCTGGCAATTATGGAGCCATCGTTATCTTGTCAGAAGTCAGTTACGACTATGGAGGCACACTGGGCTTCCAGAGTGCTCTGACTTCAGCGCAACTAGCTACTCTCTACCAGTATCAAAACACGTTCGGTGTACGGATGGTTCGCTTGGATGTTTTCCCATCTGCAGATTCTGGGACAACAGCTCTTGGTGACTGTTGTGGCGATGGGGTGGAGCAGCTTTTGAGCATATCTGATACAACTAAATTTCCTACTTCTGGTTTGAAGACGTGAGTTCAAAGCCTTCGCTCCTTTACGGGAGTCTCCACAGCATCTAACAACAGCAGTGGAGCAGGAGTGAGCACCCAAGGGCTCTATCATTACCCGGCAACTATTACCAACTCCAGTATTGCTACTGAGTTTATTCAGTTTGCTCCGGCTGCTGGTTTTAGCACAACATCTACAGCTGGGGTCATCAACAATATTGGTGGCCGACAACAAGTATGAGACATATCACGTGAAATGGGCTGCACTAACATCAAGCAGATGGTGTTCTTTATCGGTTTTGCAACAGACTGGTCCGCTACGTCCAACCTGCTCCAACACGCATGGATTCATTGGGCTACGCGAGGCTTATACACCGGGTTCCGTCGTGTTAACCTCAATACACAAGGTTTGTTGAAAATCTAGAGTTTAGCTCTACTCTTGCTAATGATTGGGTTTGAATAGTTGATGATATGTTCCTGGAATCGGATATATACAGCCCCAACGGTACCACATTTCAAATCACGCCTGCTGATTTAGCCCAGCATGTCACCTGGATGGCTACTGTCAACGCTAAGCTGAATGCTGGGAGTAATTACTTTGTCGAGGTTGGTCATAATGGTAATGGCAACATTGAGGTAATTGACTTTGATTGGATTGGTTATTCGAAAAATACTCACGTGACTCTAGGATTCCAGTGATGTGGCGACAGGTACACGTAAGTACACAATTCCTTGCTGAAACATAGTTCACGTTGAATTTTGGAGTTGACGGCCTTTTCCTACCCAACCTTTCCTGCCAATGCCTTATATACTCCGAACCGTTTGGTTTTGAAAGATTTGACACTAACTCCAAGTTGTTGGCACTTAGAATGCGGAAGTGGCCCAATCGAATACGGGGATCAGATAGACACGCCCCTCGAGTTTCAAAAGCCACTTGGCACAGGGACAAATCTATGGCCAGCAAATGCACTTTTGTATCCATATACCACTGTCTGCACTAACCTTGACGCGCTTAAGATATGGTGGGCAACCCCCGCAAACCGCGATGTCTTTGCGCACGTTTCCCACACTTTCACCCACGAAGATGAAAACAATGCTACATACTACGATGTCACTCGGGAAATTTCTTGGAATGCCGCTTGGCTCTCACAAGTCGGCATTGCATCAGCTTCTAAGTTCAGCCCCAAAGGTATAATCCCTCCAGCCATTACTGGTTTACATAACGGCGATGCTCTTAGAGCATGGAAGGATAATGGGATTGTTAATGTTGTGGGAGACAATACTCGCCCTGCTTTATTAAACACTGTAAGAAATGAATCAATATCCTGCTATTTTCCATCTATCCAGACTGACTTTTGGTCCTACAGCAAAATGAGCATTGGCCACTAATCACAACTGTTACTGCAAATGGATATGACGGAATACAGATCACTCCACGTTGGGCTACCAACATTTACTATAATGTTCGTCTGATTCCGTCTTTAATTGTATCGTTGTGCTGATATTTTCAAGTGTAATCTTCCTGATTGTACCGTTCTCGAATGGATCAACACATCTGCAGGCAAGGGAGATTGGTACGCCTTGTTGGCAGTTGAAAAGAACACAAATACGCGCCATCTCCTCGGGCTCCACCATGACCCTTTCATGTTCCACCAAGCCAACCTGAATTACCAGACAGCTAGCGAGACCGTTATTAACGGAGTCAGCACAAAGTATTCCATGCTACAAGCATGGGTTGAAACCGTGGTACAGGAGATGATTAGAGTGTAAGTCGCCCGCCGTTCGGAAACGCTTAGCTTCTCGGGACTAATCTATGCTTCCAAGTGTCAACTGGCCTATCATCTCATTGAAGCACGACGACGTGAGTAACCTCCGCTTGCCATTGCATGGACATATACTGACACCACGTCCGCAGATTGCAACGGCGTTCGCCAGCCGCATGGCGCGGGATGCCTGCGGTGCCAGCCTCGCGTTCAACGTGGACCCAACCGCCCAAACCATCACAGGTGTAACACTTACAACGACCGGTAACACGTGTTCGACGACGATCCCCGTGACCGTCCCAGGAGCCGTGACGAGCACCCAAGGGTTCAGGACCGAGCAGATTGGTACGTCGATTATTTTCCTTCCAAGTTCCAACTCCACTCTGGGTTTCCAGTCATGTGTGTTAACCCTTTTATAGGCTCCGATCCTCTTACCATCTGGGTACAGATGTCGGGTCTTCCAGTCACGTTCACCCTATCTACACCGATTTCTCTTTAAAGAAAAGTCTCAGTTGTACATCCAAGATGAGTAATATTAGATCAGCATAGCACGCGAAAAATTACTGTCAAAGGGATTCGCGTGGGGTAATACAGGGCGTTATTGTATTAATTAATTAGACCAATCACGTCGTCTTTAGATGAGTCATCAAAAATCGAATGCAATAATGACCTTATGTCAGCGACCCCATCATCGTGAATTTAATGACAAACCGCGGGCACATAGTCCAGACTTATCGGTATCAAGAGTGCAATGCAGTGAGAAATATAATTCAGCCTGTTATCCTTCAGTACAAGTTTGTTTTTTTAAAAAATAAAAAATAAAAAATAAAAATAAAAAGCACCCCGCAATCCTCTATCAACCCCTCAACCCCAGCGAATCTCGGGGTAAATACCGGGGTACAGTCAGTACATGCGGGGAAAATGATATGAAATGAAATGCGGAGACCTGAGAAACTCCAGTATCCGATTCCATCCTTCCAGAAGACTCCAGCTGAATAGTACGGTGCGGAGTATGCTGGGATGAAATAGATCCAGGTGCACTGTGTGGCGGTAACCCGGACAAACACCCACTGGCACGTCCACGTCGGCCTACCTACTATACGGTAAGTAAGTACCTGCCCTCGTTCTCTGCACCCGCCCGCCACGGCCGGGTCGTTTAGGGCTGAGCTTTGTCTTGTCTTGACCTGTCTTGGTTACTTTGCCTTGACTTCGCCCTTGCTGCGCCCTGGCTACAGTACAGTACGCGACAGCAAGTCTGTCACTAATACCCGTCCCGTGCAAGGCCGTCATGCTCCAAATCGGCTTCGATGGACGCCGGGCTGGCAAAGGGCACGAGGAGAGGCTATTGCGACGTGCCACTGTATTTGCTTTTCTTTTTTTCGGGGTAGTTATATGATCTGCTATATCACGAACGGCTTTCTTTCTTTCTTTCTGCATGCAACCGAGGACTCTGACCCAATTAAGCGAGCCGTGGTGAACTGTTCTGTACTACGTGCAACCCCATTTTACTGCTGGCGGCCTTAACTCCTCTCCCACGGTACGAAGTACACTACGAAAGTGGATAGAATACTGTGTAGAGATAGATGCGCGAGAACGTTGATTTGATCAATGAAGCGGTGCTTGCATTGCAGAGCATGCTTGCGTGACTTCGTACTCGCTGCAATCGATGCTTCCCTCCGTACCACCGTCCCCAAGCGGGCGGCGGGGCGCTGCGCTGCTGTTCTAATCATGTGCAGGAATACGGTCACGCTGGGGACGGAGTACCGCGGTGGCTATGCTTGTGGTACCGGATGGAAACCCGAAGTGAGACTCGAGAGGCTAGTGCTTCGAGGAAGGGGTTGGTGATGAGGGCAGCTGAGACTTTGCAGTTGGGGCTTTGCTGTGACGGGAAGAATTAAGCTTTCCTCGTCGTATCTGGTGTCATGGATCTTTCACGCTTCAAGGGATCAATATATTTGTATAAAGATCTGGAATGCTTGTGCTATTTCAAGGGTTCGTTTCGGGTAGTACAAAGTCGTGGTTCACGTTCACGCTCTCGCATCCTCGCATTCACATACCTTCATTCGCTGAATCATTATATCAAACTTCCCAGGTTCATAGCATGTCTCCCTCATGGATGTCGCGATCTCGTGGACAGGCCGATCAGGTTGATGGGCCACTCAAGGCCTCTGAAAAGAGATCCTGCCTCTCACGCCAGTCGAAAACTTTCTGGATGCTGCTCGTCGCAGGCATCTTCCTCCTAATCATCGCCATCGGGCTCGGAATCGGTCTCGGCATTGGCCTGACGCGAGGCTCCTCAGGAGGCAACTCGGGAAATGGAGGTGGGGGATCAGGCACCCCTTCAAGCCCGAATAGCACCACCAATGCTACCGCTGGCGAGTACTGGAAACCGGCCGCGGGCACATCCTGGCAAATCGTCCTCGAAAACCCACCTACAGACACATCGCTAAACGTCGCGGTCTACGACATCGACCTTTTTGACAACACCGCCTCTACGATCTCCAAGCTACACGCCAATGGCCGCAAAGTCATCTGCTACTTCTCAGCCGGCAGCTACGAGCCCAACCGCGCCGACTCGGCGCAGTTCAAGAAGAGTGATTACGGCAAGGGACTCGATGGCTGGCCCGGCGAGTACTGGCTGAACACGAACTCGGCCAACGTCCGCGCCATCATGAGCGCGCGACTGGCTCTCGCCCATAGCAAAGGCTGCGACGGTGTCGATCCCGACAACGTGGACGGCTACGACAACGACAGCGGACTCAGCCTCAGTCCCAGCACGGCCGAGGACTACCTGCGCTTCCTGGCCATCGGCGCGCACAGCTACAGCATGTCGATCGGGCTCAAGAACGCGGGGGCGATCGTCAACGCCACGCTCGACTTCCTGCAGTGGGAGGTCAACGAGCAGTGCGTGCAGTACGAGGAGTGTGATCTCTTCCGGCCCTTCATCGCAGCTGGGAAGCCGGTTTTCCATATCGAGTACCCTGGTTCCGCACCGTCTATTTCGGCGAGCGCGCGGAAGAGTGCGTGTGATAATAACGAGGCGCATGGGTTTTCTACGGTTATGAAGGAAATGGATCTGAATGACTGGGTGGAAGATTGCTGAGAGAGAGAGACAGACTGACAGGACAGGACAGGACAGGACAGGACAGGATAGGATGCACATAGGATGCACATAGAATACTCGTACAGCACATAGAACATCTCAGCTCGTTGCAAATGCACTTCCCTGTACATACAATCTCCCACGTCCCTCATATTGAAACCTGACCGTTTATTTCAACCCGTCTGTCTTGTCTGTCTTACCTTGAGGTACTTTACCTTGCCTTGCCTTCCAAGCGGCCCTTGGACGACATGCATGCATATGACGCTAGCTAGGGCCCTGATCCTGGTCCTGCTCTAGTCCTGTCCTATCCGTCCCTAATGCAAGACATACGAGCGTCTGTGATTGCGCCATCGTATCTCGTGACTTACAGTAGCTTACTCTATGATTATAGTAGTACTGTAAGTATACTGTAGGGTACTTACCCTTAATATAGATTAGATGAATTAAGCCAACTTCCCCGCAGTGGCAGTGCAGTGCAGTGCGCCCCGGTATCGGTGACTGGCAAGCGCCGAAAGCTCGATCAGTGGCTTAATAATTCAATACCATTATCGGAATCCGTCTGAGTGATTCATTCATGAGATTAATCGTCAATTCCTCAGAGTCTCTCACCTGAGTTGTACAATACAGGAAAGTAGTGTACAAGTACTGTACTGTAGATAACCAACCTCTCCTGTGATACCCACCATCCAACTACTACCTACCTACCTACATGCCGTGTTCTAAACTCAACATCATGCAATCTTACATATTTCCATATCCAATGTTCTGTACATACATACATCTGTTTATAGTTCCCAGCTCGACGGTCCAGGGAATGTAACGTACCGTACCGTATGAATGCATGCATGCTGTGCTCGAGTAACCAAGCTACCTCGCGCGTGCAATACGCATGAAAGCGTGTCTGTTGTACGCTCCAGCCACGCGCACGCCCGCTCCGTTGGCGAGAGTGAGCGCTCTAGCAGTGGGGAAAACGTGAATGGGAGAAAGGGAGAAAGAAGAGTCCGTCAGTAGTGCGACGTGGCGGGCCATGCATGGCAAGGAAGTATTGTATTGGCTGGGTTTGTACAACTCGTAACATTGAAGGTAGACGGGTTCTTGAGTGTTGTAATCATGATGATGATGAGATATGGAAAATCCCGCTCGCTATCTATCTATCTCCCGACGACGATACATGTCAGCTGAACCACGGGGCGCATGTTTTCATGGTGATCCTTTCTTTCGCACCATACGGGCAGCATGTCAGCTGGAGATTCCGATGGCGCTGGGTAGGTACCGTGGGGAGTGCGTCGGTCGGTCGTATCGTAAAGGACATTGGATCCGGAGTCATGCTCAGGCTATAGCTAGATGTGGTAGGTAAGGCAAGGCAAGGTAAGGAAAGGCAAGGCAAGGCAAGGTCAAGTCCAAGGAATCCAACACCTGCACGGAATCCTGTATGGAAGGAGCGTGCGTGCAAGTGAGACAAGTAGGGTCCCTACCTACAGCAAGCACGGACTCCTTCTATCCGGTCTTGTCTTGTCTTGACTTCGGGTCGTTGATGGCCGGCCAGCTACGAGAACGACGGTCTTGACTCTTGGTGGCAGGACAGGCAATGCGGCTGAGATGATCCCAAGCCAAGCCACTAGAAAACGTTACACGTACGTACATGCCTCAACGTAGTTCCAATTCCAATCCTAGGGTGTTTTTTAATTACGCGCTTTGTGGAACAACAGCCCAGGACCGAACAATACGAAGAGGCTCATCCAAGCACAGCTGAACGATGGATGGGGAATCGGTTCCGTACCCGTGAATCAACCTTTTCTGGAATTACCACTGCGATACAAAACACGGTTACGGACAGAGAGTATACGGTTACGGTTACGGTCCTGATAAAGTTAAAGTTTAGCTTATTTCATCTCTCTTCTCTTCCACGCACGGGCCGGGGGGCTGAAGATTCTAGCGTGGGGCCACGCTACTGTACGGGGATGTTGACGTTTCCTTGGCCCCTGGGCGCGGGAATGGGAATTGCTAGCGCCTGCCAAGGCGCGTTGTCAGATACGGTACTCATATGGGTAATGGCCGTTGAGCTTGTTCGGTAGTCATCAATCAGCATGGCAAGGGCAGCGAGCAGCGAGCAGAGTGTCGTGTCTCTAATACGGTACGTAAGATTTTATGCACGGCAGATGTATAGTAATCAGTGGGATATATTTAGGGTAGCAATATGACTCAGAGAAATCCCCCAAATCCATCCACGAGGCTGAATGGATTTCTGACGAGTGAGGACCCTGACTGAGCTTTGACGGCAAATATTGTCTGTACTCGTAGAACTTATTTGGAATGCCATCCGATCATACGGTATCATCCTATCTGGGGCTGTAATAATGTGAGGCAGAGCAGATTACTGCACTGCAAGTGAAGAATTGAGTCGCACGACAGACATTTCTTCGGATTTAACAACTTTTTGCTTTCAATTTTTCAATAACCCCAGGTTACTCGAAACGTACGCACAGTCCGGTGCCTCTTCTTAAACTAGCCAGTCGCATAAGTCGTGAAAAGGAGTAGACGAAAGGAAGAACAGCGCGGAAGTATCCATCCACGATATCAAACAAAGTCCCTACGCCTGAGTCTGTCCCGTATCAATGCTTGTCTATTCTGCACGTTCTTGGTCTGTCCTGTCATATTGCATCATCGCTGCCCATCAGACGAAGTTATGCTGCCATATCAATAGCGAACCCGAGCCATCCTTCCCAGAAACTAGCATAATAATCCCCGGATAAGCCTGTGATGAAGACGCTGCCACACGACGACCGAAGATCCTTGACGAGCGCACTTTCGTCAAGCGTTGACGGCAGCGAGTGCACAATGCACGCAAGCGCATCGCGACCTGCATTCGACGAATCCCGGAACGCTGTCATGGTTTTGTGGAAGCCATGCATCTGATACGTTGAATAAGCCCCCTCGAAAACGACGGTGAGGTTGGCCGACTTCATGTATCTTGAGTCAGGGATTGTCCCCGGATTATGAATTATCTACTTATAATTAGTTCGTGCGTCGTCGATCACGGGTGCCGCTTTGAAGAGGGGTGACAAACACTTGCTGCTTTATCCGCGCGCTTGGATATTTCTGAAAAGGGGGGTATAGAAACGTGACAACTTGAAAAATTAAAGAATCGACACTTACCAAAGGGTCCTTTCCAAACCCAGTATCGGAAATTATTGAATCCGCTAGGGTGTCAAGGAATATTGCACTGGCAGCTTGGTATTGGGAAGGCGTCTCGTCCAGAAATATGCCCTGCATGCCTAGTCCGGCAATGGTAGAGTTCTCGGACCAAGCCGAGTATGTTTCAATATCCCGCAATGCCAGTGAGATGTTTCGATTGGTATAGCTTGTTGAGACATAACCAACGGTGCGCACATTAGCGTGCTTGTTGAGCTTTGGGATCTCTCTCGTATAGTTGCTGTCAGGTCCTTGTTCCACACCTGGCCCGCTAGCAGGATTGATTACCACGGTAAATTTGAGGCGCGGATGGTTTGTGATCCTATTCACCGTTAGCTTGAAGTTATCTGGTGCTAAATTTAAAAAGTATTGGTGGCGTACGCAGTGAGCAAAGGGTCCCACGCTCCTGGAGAGGGATACACGTAGAGGGGAACTAGAACTGTTCCTTTCGGTGTCGAGTGTTTTTTCCGCCCAGACATGACTGCAATTGGCACCACGATGACTATCAAGACTAATCCCAAGAGGGCCCAAAATAGGTACTTGGGAATACCCCAAAGTCTAGACGTGCAGCAGTAAGCTCTCAAGTTTCTGGGCTTCATCGGATATATGATTTTGGGTTTCTTTGGAGTTTGACAAGAAGAAAGGAAGATGCGGTCGAGATTTATGCTAATGATGGTGCCAAGAACTTGATCTATTTTGAGATAGGATTGTCACGCATATGGATTGCATTTTCGCATGCTTATACGACGGCAGGTTTGTGAGACCTTCAGTGTCTCTCAACGGGCACGTTACGGAGCTTCGTAGCTAGTCCAAAATAATAGCCTCTTGCAGGGGTATGCAAAAGAACAGTTCCATTCCAAGTACAATGTGTTCACCAATTACCACTAGGTATTTATTATATATTCAAGTACCCTCGCTGATTATATATTTCTCAAAACAAAAACATTTTGAGACCATTGCAGTTGATTGAGAAAGTTTCCGTTATATTTTGAAGATGGCCAGTACTACTGATTCTGGCTCTTGCAGCCCTCGACTATCACTTTCGACTTCGGACTCAATCTCAGATATTGGCACACCAGAGACGGAGAGATCAACTCTTTTCAGCGGCTCACTGAGCAACTTCTTATATCCTGACCAGCAATTCATCGCCGTGGTTGGAGGACTTGGATACATTGGAAGCCATACATGTTTTGAGTTATTGAAAGCGGGGGAGAATATAATTATCATCGATAACCTGAGCAACTCATTTCGCGGTGTGTATGATCGCCTCGAGTTACTTTCCAAGCTCCACTATGAAGGGCATGAGATAGATGCACCGATTATGAGATTCTATGAGGCGGACTTTCGAGATGAGACAGCCATAAAGTCAATCCTCAGCGAATATTCGCAGCCAAATCGACGCTTTGCAACCACAGATGACGACTCCGTCATAACTTCAAGAATCAAAGGTGTTATACATTTCGGCGCATACAAATCAGTATCAGAAAGCATTCGAAATCCCCTCAAGTACTACGCAAACAATGTTGCTGGCGTGATTGAGTTATGTGCAACTTTAAGGGACTACAATATCAAGAATTTCATATTCTCATCCTCAGCGACAGTATATGGCTCTCTTGCCAACTCTGGTGTCCCCCTGAAGGAGGAGTACTGCACTCATCAGACGGAGAATTTTGTCGATCATGATGGCCTCATCAAAACTACCTTTGGGGGCTGCACTGGCCTCACAAATCCTTACGGTCGATCAAAATGGATGTGCGAAGCAATTCTTTCGGATCTTGCGCTGGCAGATCCCGAATGGACAATTATCGCCTTGCGATATTTCAACCCCGTGGGATGTGACGAGTCAGGACTTCTCGGTGAAGATCCTCGCGGTGTACCAACAAATTTGATGCCGGTGGTCTTGAATGTTCTTGCGGGTACCTTACCTGTACTTGATATTTTCGGAACCAATTACCCCACTCCTGACGGCACAGCAATTCGAGACTTCATTCACGTTACCGACTTGGCTCGGGGACACATTGCAGCCCTTGCGGCAACCTTCAACGAGCGAGTGCCGAAAGGTTTCAGAGCATACAATCTAGGCAGTGGTACTGGGAGCTCGGTTTTAGATGTCGTTACTGCTGTAGAAGCCGTATCGTCTACGAAAATTCCGATTCGGGCCGTCGACCGCAGAGATGGTGACGTTGGAATATGCGTTGCGATGCCAAAAAGGGCGGAAGTTGAGCTGGACTGGAAAACGCAGAAGTCACTAGAGACAAGTTGTCGGGACATATACAACTTCCTGGAGAATAAAAAGGGGGGTCCAGTTCCCATCGGCTGATCCAGCAAGAGTGTGTGCAATCAGATCTGTATGTTTAGTTAGTTACGATTCGTGAAAACAAAGGACAGGGATGATATTGGATTACAGATTGAGTGGCTGTCGCTTATTTATTCCTTAATAGTATTATATTGATAACCTTTTCAAAGAAAGGGTCTTATCGTGATGAGTTGTAGATGAGTATTATGATGTTGAAGAGGGGAAACTGGCGTAATGCGGAAGTCAGTGGTCTACGCTGACGTAAACGACTAAGCGAGCAAGGGGAAGGAAGTCACCATCCACCACCTTGGTTTAAAGACAGAACTGCATCAATGCTAAAGGTGAGAAGGGTACTGTCAGTAATTTAGGCACTGAGACTGGTGGCGCTTAGCACCTTCAACAGTCTTGAGTATCAAGTTAACTCTAGATAACCTCCTATGGCTAGCTATCACTTCGTACTTTCCATCCGTCTAGAGTCTTTCATAGATACTTAACTATGGCACCTGACCGTATCCTTTTCCGAACATCTTAGGGGGCCGCACTTTAAGCAACGAAGCTCTTCAGCGTGCCGTTTCGCAGTATGCGAGAAGGTTACTCTACCTAGGGTTAAAAAATAACATTTAAACCCAGGCAATTACAGTAATACTCCCACTTGACTTTGTTCCGAGACTGCTCAGACATTTCAGGTTATATGTCATATCATATTATTGCGATTTACTCCACACTCCTCCAACTAGATCTCCCTACTCGAGAAACTTCCTATAAAAAACTCCCCTCCACCCCCTCTCAAGAAAGCTCCAACTCCTTCCTCTCCACATACAGAACCGTCCTCAAATGCTCATAGCGAAGCGGCACGCCCTTATGCTGACTCAACAACTGACTAGTCTTCAACACATTCTTAATCTGCCTGCCATTAATATCCACGCTCGCTAGCCGCTCAATCTCCCCCTCGCTCAACTCATGCTTAACGCCCCTCTCCAAGAAATTACGCCACACTTGGACGCGAGCGCTCTTGTCGAGACCTGGGTATTCCATACTAATGTGAATGCGAGATTGGAAGGCCGGATCCATGTTCTTGACGCGGTTGGTGGTGAGGAAGAGAATGCCTTCGTAGTATTCCAGGGTCCGGAGGAAGATGGAGACGATTTTGTTGCGTTCGAGATCGTGGGCGCTGCGTGCTTCGAGGAATACATCGCATTCGTCGAGGAGGAGGACTGCGTTCCATTTGGCGACCATTTCGAGGATGGTAGTTAAGGAGGATTCGACTTCCGAGCTCTTGATGCCGAGATCTCCTGCGGACATCATGTATAGTGGGACTTGCATGTTCTCTGCTACAGATTCGGCAGTGAGAGTTTTACCAATTCCTGGTCCACCTGACAGAAGCATAATGATGCCTTTGCCCTTGCCGGAAATGACATCGTCGAAGCTGTCTTTGTATTTTACTTGTGACTCCGCGAAAGCAAGGATGAGCTCCTTTTGGTCGGCTGGGAGGACGAGATTGCTGAATGCGGCGTTGTTCCAGATAATTTCGGAGATTTCGTCTAAGAAAAATGATAACCATCGTTTGGTCTTAAGGGCATAGCCTTTGAGGAGGGAGGAGCAGTGCAGGAGATGCTCTTCAGAGAGAGCGATGAGCTTTGTGTCTGTGCGGGAGGCGGCAGCATTATGGGTTGAGTAGTGAATTTGCTGGTCATAATCATCATCGGTCTCCTCCTCTTCCTCGTCGTATTCCTCGTCGTATTCCTCGTCGGAATTTTCAGGTGTGTCGGCTTTGGATTTCATTTTGAGGGGTTGAAGGTGCCCGATGCTGTTGGGATTGAATTTACCGTATGCGTGGGTGTCTATGATGATACGGGAGTCGATGGTAACCTTGATGTCTTGCCCACACATGTTCTTGCCGATTGCAAATGATTTGTAGGATTTGTAATGGTAACCATGGTAGTGTTCAAAGAGCTTACCGCGCTTGAGGAGCTGGGCACGAATTTTCTTTTGCTCAGGGTGGAACTCGAGAGGGATGGCGTCGAGTGCGGAAATAGACATTGTGCCCGCGAAAGATGTGACAACATGTTGGCAATTTGCGTAGCCAAACTTGTCGCCGTCCCATTCAACTTTCTGACAGTTGAGGCCATAGACTGGACCATACTTTGGGTGATCATGGTAGGATCCTTGAGAGAACTTGGAACCACAGTGACGATCCCATTCGTTTGTATAAATAGTAGCACCGGGCTGAAAGATGGTCCACAAGTAGCCAAAAGTGATTACCTTGTTCTTGACGAAGTCATTCTTCGCCTCGATGGTGTCCCTGAGTTCTGCCTCAAGGGTTGTATGCAGCAGTTGCAGGTGGCTCTTGGTCTCTCCTTCTTCTTGCTCTTCGAGAGCTGTAGTGAATTGAGTCCAACGATGAACAAATGGGTTGAAGGGAGCCTGGAAGACGAGTCGCTTTAAGGTAGTTGTAACACCTTGGTTGGTGTTAGGTGGTTCTTCAAGTTCTGTGAGTGAATGAACTTACCGGGGTAATCCTTTAAAACCTTGGATAAGACTGTCTTCAACAAAGGGCTTTGAACGACGATGCTATCGATCTCAAGCTTTTTTCTGGAATCGAAGCTCTTCTTGTTTCGAACAAGAATAGCAAATCGAGCAGTGATTTCGTTCTCGGCAGCCTCGTCGAGATTGTCGGGGTACTTGTCAGTCCATGTTGTGCGACCTCTTGCATCTTCTTTCTGGTAGAGGTTTTTGATGTCGCACTCCATACCGACTTCAGGAATGCTTTCAGTTCCGTTTGATTCCTTTGAGGTGGCTGTCAAAGCAGTGACGAGGGCTTCACCACCCCCGTTTTCAGTTGCACCTGGGGCCATCGTGAAGTTGAGGAAATTGGAAAAGTTGATGTTATGGAAGAAGTGAGTAGATGCGGGAAGAGATATTGGATGATGGAAGAAGTGAAAGAAATAGCAGTGTGAAGCAATGGTACTTATAGATGGCTCTTCGACGAAGTTAGGCAGGCAAGGCGACTCAACCCTTTTATGCCATAACGCGGCGCAGAAATTGTTGGTTTGTTAGTTATAGCGAGTATCTTCAGACCAAATAGGAAAGTTTACAAGTTTCAGGGTTCAAATGACTCGAGGGATGACTCTTCGATGATCCAACTAGGCAATAAGGCTTCTGCCTGGCAGCAGACCATCGCAACCAATAAGGCCATAAGTCTGCCCTGAGCTTCACATGTTCTCTAGGCAGCTTGGATAGTTGGAAAGCTATAGGTATTGTCATGAGTAACAAGTAGGCAGAAGGAAGAAGGATGAAGGATGAAGTCAGAATGTGGAGGAGGAAGGAGGGGACGGGACAGGACGAGATGGGCGATGTACAGTAGCAGATTTATGCTCGGATCTGCTCACGTGCTCACGTGCTCATATATCGGTACGTATCTTTTTAAGTGGGGCAAATAGTTCTTTCATCCTGATTTAGCCGCGTGGATTTCGCGTTTTGCCACTTTGCAACCCCGCGATTCCAGATGTCACCTTAACATCGATGAATAAGGTATAAGGTATGAGAAGATGGCGTGCAGGTCTGTAGCTGCCGCTGAGCGCGCAGCCCTGATGGCCCTTGAAGGCGAAAGTCAGAACTGGGACAGCCAGACCTGCGACGAGCTGGCCGTCTTGATGCTCTCGGTAAGAAGATCCCCTGTCTGCAGCCGCAGCCTTCCAGGGTGAGGATTTGGAGTCTGACCTATAGCAGAGTCCACATCAAGTCGCGTTGGCGACTCCCGGCATCGCGTCCACCATCCAGAACGACATCGACCAGGCTCCGACTGCAGCAGCGTATTCTGCGATATCGCGAGCCGTGGAGTCTGAACCTGAACCTCAAGCTACAGACGACGACGAGGCTGGACCTGAAGTTCTCCTCGAGTTGGACTTTCACGCAGAGCCATCTCCAACACGCGCTCCTAAACCTGGACCTGAGCCTGCACCCGCCCCTGCGACTTACGACGACCAGCAATTCCTCCACCCGCCTGCGAACTTTGCAGAACTTCCCGAAGCACCTCCCGATAGCGATGTTACGACCAATTCAGAAGCCTCGAAATACGTGGGCCGTGACTCCCTCCGCCGATTGAGGCTATTCGATCAAGAAACGCATCCGCAGATCGCTGCAGCCACTCAGGCGCAACGATTCCTCGCCACCATGGAAATTGAAAACACCCAATTGAGCACTCTCTCTCCGACCCAAGAGAATTCTTCCTCGGCCTACGATCGCTTTGATATCGAGAGATCTGTGCCTCCACCAAGCTCCGATCATTCCCAGGCTGCAATTGAAGGAAATGCATTTCATACTCAATCTTCCTGGAAGCAACAATATTCCACGCGAACTGAATCGACAATCCACACATACAAGGAGAACGATACTGGACACATCGACCTTAATATTGATCTCGAACCCGAGGCTCCCTACGAGGAACCCGAATCGCAAGATGCTTCTTACGCAGTCCAAACCGTTGGATCATTTGTTGGCCATGGCCATCCAGAGCCACCGGAAACTCCAGCCCCTCCAGTCAATCCATTCTCCCACAAGGGCTCAGTACTCAAAGAACATGAAATGTTTGGTGCGACCCAGCCATCAGTAGGCCGAGCCGCAGAAACTCCATCATCTGCACGACCTTCGCCCAACATTTATGACGACTTCACATCTCCTGCTCGCAACCGTTTACTCTCATCTCCGCTCGCACAGCGAAATAATAATCACGAGGAAAAGGAAGAGCTGACACCACTACAATCTTCCACTCGAATTCTTCTCTCCCAATCAATGACGGCCAAGCCTAGATTATCGACAGTATCAAAACTAGCGCGAAGTTTACAGCGGACGAACTCTTTACCAGAACCCCGAAAGTACGATTCGAGGAAAGATAGCCAGGAGAGACGGCGCGGAACAGAGGCTACGTTGGATTCAGACTCAGGCTCAGAATCCGATATTGAGGCTGACGCAACAGACAAGAGACTCCGGAGAGAACGTGATATACAGAAGAGCATATCGGAAGTTACGCTCAGCCGACCGAGGTCATCGAGCGCTAGAATGGAAGACGACATACCCCAAATATCACGCCAGCAAAGTATCCAAGAGGAGTACGTTGCACAGTGCGATGGTTTTGATGCAAGAGATACGCAGCAGGACAGCAGTGCAAGGAACACACAGTCTTATGATGGTCCAAGAGATGTAGAAGATCACATCGTCATTCCAAATTCCCAAAGAGCTCAGGAAGGGGGTGTTGAACCTTCATCATTGTCCAACATGAACCCCGTGGATAAGTCTGTTGTACGCCAATTACGAGACGCGTCTCCGAAGCCTCCTGCTCCTGCGGACAATCAGCGATCTATTTCAAACTCACAGCATGGTTCAGAGCGTGTTCCAGCCACTGAAACAGAGTCAGCAGACCAGGATAAAGTCGTAGATTCATCGAAAGACGAGCCTGATCACAGTCTTCCATTACAAGAAATGTCTTCAAATAGGATGGATCTTCGAACACCTGCAACGAGCAAGACTGCAAACAGGGCTGAAGGGCCTGATGAGATAATCCTAGAATCGAGTCCTTCTCACAACCACGTGCGTCCTATGGGAGACATTGGACTTTCCTTCGATGGAGATAATGAGGAAGATGATGATCTCTTGAAAAATCCACCAGGGTTTACGCAAGATGAGGGGTTTTTAGACGCTATTAAAGAACCGCCTCTTGATCTCCCACGTCCAGTCATGCCCCCCGAATCTTCCGATCTATCCTCTATAGAAGATCCTGAAGCGTTGTTCACTACTTTCGAGACCCCTGACCTAGCGCCAGATTTTCCACCACAACCACTGAATGAGACACACAATCTGGACAAGGAGGAGGCTTTTCCGCCCCATACCGACAATGAAAGCATTGCGCTTCAGCCAAATCAATATCACTTAACGGAAGTGAAAGCTCAAGAGGAGGCTCCAGGTCATTCCATGAGCAGAACTCCAACACCAACGATCCCCGAAAAAGGAACTCGAGATGAGTTGCAGCAAGAGATTGTCGAGCTTCCGAATAAGAAGGATACTACACTCCAGGAGCCAAGAAGTACTCCTGATCCATTGTCGACTAAATTGGAACAACCGGTAGCAAAACGAGAATTGAGAACAAAGAGTGAATTTAAAGGACCATCTCAAAGTTTAACGCGATCTGCAGACTCTGTTCAGAAGCTTCTGGAAGACACTGCCACTCCACGTCGATCTAGTCGCGCTTCTAAGTCATACACAAAAAAGAGGTCTATTATCTCTGAATCTCTGAAGAAATCCACCTCGGCAAGATCTGTAAAATTTTCTTCCTCAGTCTCCAATGACCTAATTGCAACTCCGCGGTCGACCCCACGCCCTGCAGATTTTGATTCTTTAAGTGTAGCCTCGACCGCACAATCATCTCGACGAACAGCCGCTACTAAAACCAACCAAAACCAGCAGAGCCTGATCTCGGCTGCCCCGAAACGCAATGCAAAACGAAAGTCTGGCGCCATCTCTTTAGCCGGCGGTGAGCAAGTCATAGCGCCTTCTCGTTCCTCTAAGCGCCAATCGGCAAGTCGTGCGTTGCGAGATGAAAGTGAAGACCCCATAGCCCTCACTTCCAAAATCACCACCGCGAAAGAGGCTCAGTATCGAAGACTATTTAGTGGAATGGCCTTTGCCGTGTCTTACGTTAAGCTTGAACAAGAGAAGGATGCTGTAATTAGGGCTATTTCCGAAAATGGTGGCCAGATCCTGACCGATGGGTTTGACTGTCTTTTTGAAATAGACAGCTCTTCTGCAGACGAGCCCCAGCTTTTACCTAACTCGGCAGCGAAATCGATGGGATTCGTTGCTCTCATTGCAGACGATCATTCACGAAAACAGAAATACATGCAGGCTCTCGCACTGGGCTTGCCCTGTCTCTCGGGTCGCTGGATTTCTGCGTCCGTAGAAAAAGGGTTGCTTGTGGATTGGGCGCCATATCTCCTTTGTGCTGGCTCTTCCAGTTATCTGAACAATGCATACCTTAGCCAAAAGGTGGAGCCTTATCTTGCCACGGAAGCTACTCTGGAGTCCACACTCGCCGCTAGACGTAAGATGCTAGAGGGCAAATCCATTCTGTTAGTGATGGGGAAGGGTCGAGCAGATGATAAAAGAAAGACTTACATGTTTTTGACACGTGTTCTAGGGCCTGACCGCCTTGGACAAGCCGTGGACTATTCAGATGCGCGTAAGAAGTTGCTTGATGCGGAAGCTGAAGGTCGCGACTGGGATATATTATACATCGACAGCAAAGAGAAGGTTGCCCAGACTGCCGTTTTTTCCCCGAGTACGTCGACTGGAGGGTCACGTAAGCGGAAACGTGGTCCAACAGCAGCAGAAGACAGCCATACGCCGCCACCGAAAAGGATACGAGTCATCACCGATGAGGATGTTATTCAGAGTCTGATTTTCGGGCAATTGATTGATGGGTAGAGAGGACGCATTGTAGCAACACTCTTATGTGTATATAGAGGAGCATTTGCTAATTATCATGGCTGATAATGGCATCAGACTGTCCGGCGAGACAGATCATGGACGGTGTTTCGGAGATACCATTTTACTTTGGGAAGATAGGTCACCTTTGCTATAGGGATATGTGTACAAATTAGCTAGGAATCCATCAGCATTTGATGAAGCCCTCTGCGGCTTTGCACCGTAAAGACGTCCGTAAGTTTACTATACAGGTTGCAGGTTGCACAAATAGCTCTTCTTCCGGCACATGTTCTATAGGGTTTGAATAGGGAGACTTTTGATCGGCACATTGATTCGCAGTTATGAAAGTTGTTTGGACCATACAGTATCTCTAGGTCAGTCACCACCAAGTCTAGATTTCACGACTTGCTGTAATTGTTCCTCGGTATTATCGCAGCCTCTTTAGTACTCGCTTTGTACATGTTTTTATAGCCTGCTTATAACTTCTCGTCCATTTTCTCCAAAGAACAAAGGGATTCTTGTAAAGCTCGCGAAGAGTGAATCCAAAGGCGGCTTTTTAACAAAGACAAAGATTTCTTGAAAGCGATTAGTGATTTCTTTTTTGAACTATCCAACCTCAATTGATAAAAACAAAGTCTGTATGTAATATTACCAGTACGGCAGCAACTGCTGCTCAGCAGACGCCAATGGGCGATCCTATTCCGAAAACGCCTTTCGCAAAGAAGTATGGCGTAGCGCCAATCGATCCAAACAATTTGTTTCGCCCGCACGGGGAATCAGGTTGGCGATGCCAACTTCATTGTATATCTACTTCCACTAATCTGAGTTCTAGGCTTTACTCCAACCGAACCACTTATAACCATCCTCTCTCGAACAGCAGGTGAAATCAAGGGTATTGAGGCGATCAACACGTACCAAACGAAATGGTTCTCGGGGTTCTCCTCCCGGATGCTGGAGGATATGGGCGCGTTTCCTGATCCGGATGCTAGTACTGCACCGCTCACAAATCCGATTCAGTGAGTTGTGTTTCTAAAGCTATTACACTCGCTAATGTATGAGCAAGTCCGATTTTCTTGAGATGGGAAACTACATCTGAGAGAATTAACAACAGGCCATCTATACCATTAGACGTGAGAGGAGAATGCTACACCATATCTCCGAGCAACATTGGTCACTTCACGTTCGATAAGCCTGTTGTATACGACGTCCTGGATCCGGTTCTAAGGTTAGCGTCTAGATTCATAACAAATATACATACAAGCCAATGGGTAGTAATTCCCTTTCCCATACATATTCCGTACTAACATTTTATAGATCGATGCCTTATGCGGAGAATACAAGCCCCTACCCTCCCATCTTGACCCCCGTCCCCCCTCGCGCAAAACAACCACAAAGCTGCAAACTTTCCACTGGCGGCCCCAATTCTGGATAGACCCCTCGCAGACGCGAAAGCAAGTCGAGCAATGGCTGCCCATCCTGCAACGGAAGATCTGGTGGACCATAAGCGACGGGCGGTACCACGAAACAGATCGCGTGACGCTGCAGCCAGGCGGTGTGTGGTTGGCGCGTATGGTTGGGTCGGAGGTTGATGTCAAGGCAGGGGATGAGACGGCCATGGCGGCTGTGCTGGCTACGGTGAGTACACAGGTGTTGATGCCATTGTTGAGGAATGACTTGAGTGCGAGTGAGAGGTTGGCCGAGCAGGCTTTTTGCGCGCTGGTTATTGTGCATGAACTTATTGTAAGTCTTAAGACATTCCGTCCATCCTTCTGCTTACCACTCATCTTCTCCTCCTTTTCTCCTTTTACATAAATCGGTTAGCTTTCCTTGCTTACCAGATCTGTGCCATCTAGCATGCAATCAATCTCGCTTTGATAGGAACACCGTCTTTCAAAGGAAAATTAAGTATCAACGAACCCTTCTTCGAATCCGAAGCTGACGCTGAGCTCGGCTGGTCCTTCACCTCCACACTCCTCGGCGGCGCGATCAACAATTTCCTCTCCCGCTCCCGCGACTATCCTATGCCCGTTCCCCACTTGGGGTTCATCTTGACCGATTGGCCGAATGTGAAATACTTCCAAGGCGACGGAACGGTTATCGGTGGCATTGCAAATGTGAGACCCGAACCGGCGTGGAGGCCGATATTGAGTAAGTGGTATGAGAGTTTGCAAAGAGATGGGTTCTGGGACTATGCAGTGGGGAGGCTGGGCGTTGAGCTTGTGAGGGCGTGGGGCGTGGGCGGGAGTCGGGTGCACTATGAGGAGCGGGGTGTTTTGGGAAAGGTGGGGAAATATGAGATGGTAGATGGGATGGCAGAGAGGGAGTGGGAGGCTAAGTTAGGAGATCTGAAAAACCGCGTGTTGATGGGTAATGTTGCGCAGATGAGCCCTGAGCAACGAAGAGCGTATCAGTATGCCAAGCTGGCGGAGAAGAAACAACAACAAGCTGTAGCGCAGCGAGAATTCCGCAGGCGCAGACAGATACTTGTAGGGGAGGTTGAAAGTTCATTGCAGAATCTGCAGGTTGCGAAGAGCGAGGGCAGACAGGGCGATATACGGACTGCGCTTTTTATGCTCTTCGAGAAATTGAAATTGGAGGGAAGGGAGCAGCGTGATGAGCTACTCATTTTGCTCCGCCGCAAGGCCTTCCATAACCCCGACTTCGTACGGCACAAAGACCTCCTCATCAGACTAAACCGACATCTCCGAAAACTGCTTGCAGATTTCACGATCGACAGCCTCGAATTCCCTGACACGAAATTAAAACTCTACTCTCGGCCCGTTTTGGCCTTGACGATTGCTTGTCAAGTTATATTGTCTGATGATGATGACAAGGAACCAGTTGCGGATCCAGGAGGGTATTTGAGGGATGTGTCGGGGGAAGGTGCGGATGTGCTTATGGGGAGGGTAGAGAGGTTGCGTGTTGGGTCTGATAGCGGGGGTCTATATACAGGAAACGATTCGCAGACCTCCGCATCGGAATTCCCGACCCTGCTAGCTGCGTGTCGCGCTGCGTATGGAAAAAATGACGAGGCGCTTTGTGAACAGCTTGCCTTTGATTTACTTCTCACCCTCGATGACACTGCTGCTGGTATAAGAGTACCGGAAGCGTCGTTTGCCAAACTTGTGGTGAGGGCTTGTACTTTGAGGCTGAATGGGGAAGAAGGGAATCTGGGTGAGGCGGAGAGGATTGCGGGGGCGTTGAAGTGCGTGGGTGGTGTTGGGGGAGGAGGAGAGGGGGTATTGGCTCAATGCTGTAAAGGGGTTGGTGGAGGAGAGGAAGAGGAGGAAGAGGGTTGTGGGATTGGTCGGGAGGAGGAAGATCGCGATGGTTAGAGGCCATGTTGATTGGGCGAAGAGGAATGATGCGATGGATTTGATTTGCGTGGGGTGTAGATTTTGATCGGTGAGTGCATTTTGTATGTATATTTTCCGTCTGTTTATAGTGTTTTCAATATCCAGAATTTACTTTTCTTGGTTTACAGTTAGCAAAGTCTGACTATCGAACGACCAGCGATTAGGATCTTCGTGAATTTGGTGATCCTTCCTGAGTACGAAAATTTGTAGCAATCTGGTGGACTCGACGTTGTGTATTGAGACGACTAAAGAGCTAGTTCTAAGATACGGTAGTGGGATACTCCATCCAATACTACAATATCGTACGCCTAGCGTATGCTCAAGAAACAGGCCTTCTCCTCCCTCCTCCCGTTAGCTGTGAGATCTAGGCCCACGTCGTAATACCCCCACCCTCACCATGACCAATCATTCTCCTTCTCCTTTTCCTTTCCTGCCCACCAAAGAATGACTTTCTCATCCAATCCCCCTCCCTCATATAAGATTCTCTATCTGCCCTTTCCACCAGGCAAGTCGGGTCTGCAACCGGTTTCCTTACTATCCTGTAATAACTCAACGCTTTATCCTTCTTTACCTAGCTTAATTATCCCTAGAATAGAGTACGATGTCTCGTTGTACTCAACACTCTAGATCTCGGAACCGGGCGTGGGAGGGATAGTAGGAGGCAGGTAGGTAAGAAAACTTGTATAATGATAAGTACAAGTGGTAAGACTATGTTGTTTGAAAAGCATCGAAATTGAAATTGGTATAACGAAGTACGTGCGGACTATAATCAATCCCCTGATCAAAAGTGCAGCCAAAGACCTAACAGCTGACTCCCCGCGCCCAATAACCGCAGCCGTGAAATCATTATCATTCGTTCCCTGCTTCCTTCCTCTTCATGCCCTTCCTGCACCACTGATCAAGCCCCCCTCAACGAACGGCCCCCCCACCACCGTCCTTCCTCCCCGTCTTCGGCCTCTGCTGTACGCCAACCCCACCACCACCGCTACTAACAACTTGATCCCGTCTAAAAACATCCCTCTCAGGTCTCAATCCCGCCGCCATCTGCGCCGCCTCGTGCGTCGTAGCGACTTCAACCAGCATAACGCCCTCTTCAGCCTTAACGCCCCGTCCCTTTCCCCGTTTATCCCACTGCGGCGCCTCCTTGAACTGCGGCGTGAAATCGAGGAGGGGTTTGGGCTTCATGCCTTCTCCGCTGATTGTGGGCCGGCGCACGCTGTGTACGGAGTTGGTGCGCTGGTGATGGTGTTGCGCTCCATTCGATTCGCGGTTGAGCAGGACGTCGGGGCCGTTGACGAATGGAGCACCGGCGTTTTGGGCTTGGGTTTGTGACGAGTCGCGGGCTTGGAGCGTTTTTTGCCGCTGTGAGTATGTGCGTCCTAGTAAACCTGACGAGGAGAACTCTTCTGCTTCTGATGGTAGTTTGTAGGATACTGGTGGTGGATGGCGGTTTGAGTCTCGCTTTGATGGGGAGGGATTTGCTGAGTTGCGAAGGTGAAAGGGTATTTGGAGAGGGCGGTTTTCTTCGTCAAAGTCATGGTCTGGTTCTCGTTTTGGCGGGGAGGCGTCGGCGAAGCGGTCGGTGTTCATGAGGGGTGCAAATGAGCCGATTGTGTAGGGATTCTCGTCGACGAAGGTGGAAGTGGAGGGTCTGATGGTATGAGTGGGTTTTGAGGGTTTGGGCTTCAGTTTTCTAGCGCCTTCGCCCATGCGGTTTACGAGATACCAGGAGCGCCAGCGTTGGACAGCGGAATACCATATATTGGCTTGGGAGCTATCGTCTGTGCTGAAGTAGTGGACGAAGTTTTCTGTGCTGAGGAACATGGTTGTTTTTTGCTGGGATTTGATGGCGTAGCAGTGTTTCTTGGGTGGTTTGAGACTTTTGCGAGTGTATTGGGGTGTTGAGGTGTAGATGTCGAAATCAGAGAGATGACAAATGTTGTTTATATCCTTGTCTGAAATTTTGATACGAGGCTTTTTGGAGACGAATATTTGGCCAGAGGAAAGAAGTGTGATGTATCGTTTGTTCCATTTGTGAGGTTTCTGCGAATGGTACATATAAACCGTGACATCTGGAGGTGCTTCTTTCGGAGCCGCAGATGCCTCGAGATCATAGTCATGATTTAGAGAATCCGAGTCTTGGAGTAAAAGAGCATTCTGTGTATCCCTGTCCCACGAATTCATGATATCTCGAACATGCTCATATTTCCGTATTCGTCGTTCAAGCCCAAGTTGAGTATAAGATTCAAGTAAAATGGTCGTGGATGGATTAACATTTTGGGTCATGATATTTGCAGCTGAGAATGTAATGTCCACAGGGGTGGTTTCAGGGGTGATTGGGAGATTTATCGAGGATTGCTTGCATCGAATCAAGACTCGCTATATATTGTCAGCACCACGAATCCTTTCGAGGTAGTGAGACTTACTCTTTCCCCAGCATTACTTGCAGAGATGGGAGCATCAGTTTGAGGCACAATGCCCCCACCTCCCTCGAGAATCGCTCGCGGAGCTTCCGTCCTCGACATCGAGTTCCCTCCAGATCCACTTCCACTTTCCGAAGTCCTGGGCTGAGCTGATTTACTCATAGGTCGTTTCCTCGAGAAGAAGCTGAATTTCTCGCGACCTGGACTTGTAATCCTCGGAGCAATTGGCGCGGCAGCCTCAAGCTCTGCCTCCAGACGCTCCAAATCCTTGCGCTTCTGTTCAGCCAATATTTTGGCAGCCTCTTCCTCTTTGCGCCGAGCCAGCTCAGCTTCCTCTTCAGCCGCTTCTCGCGCTTCTTGTTCCTCGAGCCTGCGCTGTGCTTCTTCCCGATCGCGATATTCCTGCGCTTTGCGACGTAGACGCTCTCTCTCTGTCTCCTTTGGACGCACCTGTTCCCGCCCTGTGCCAAGGACCTGCCGCTGTGCTGACGGTATAGGGTCTGTTACTTTTCTCGTTGTATCGCGTCCGGCTGGATGAGGCGCCGCAGAAGTTTGTGTTCTCGAGGGGATTGAGGGAATTGAGGGGACTGGAGGGGGTAGGGGCTGGTCTGCGAGTTCGTTCTTCGCGACAGCCCTGGGGCGCCTATAGCGCGACATGCTCTTGGTCCTCGAGAACGCATCTTGCTGTGCTTCTGGCACAGGAGGTGCAGGCTCTGTTTTGGTGGGATGCGCCTGGTGTCGTACTGATCTGTATCTAGAGTACTTCGGCGGGGACGAGGTTGCGTCTTGGTCTCCAGACATGGTTGCTGTAAATATATGCTAGCAATACGAGTGTGATAAGGATTGTGTTTGTAATGCCTGCACTGTGGGAATGATCATGATAATTTAGCTCAATTAAAGGCAGTGAATGTCATGTTGATTTGTTGAAGGGAGAGGAGAGGCCGGGGATGGGGAAGTTTTCTCTTTTCCATTGTTAATCTCGTATATTCGTAGCAGCCCACTATCCCGTCAAACAAACACCAGCGCGATCCTTGGGGCAATTTTAATTTTAGATCATACCGTTACATCCTTGGCGCGTACTTGTACAGTACTGGCCTGGCATGTAGATCTCCCGGAACTTGGGGAGACGAGACGGGGACTTGCCTTGCACTTGCACTTGATATGTTTAGTCAGGGGTAAGTTCGTTGCTACTCAAGGCAATTCTAGATATCTGTATATACAGGGCTAAAACGTATAGATCACAAGACAAGTCCAAACCTATCTAGCTAGGTACTTCTCCTTCTTCTAATGCAAAAGGCGTCCACGTAGATACTCGTACTCGTACTCTACAAGCGGACGTTGTTCTATAACCTTGTGCGGATCCCTGTGTTTCGGCTCCAGAACAATGGGCTCTGCTGAGTTCGAGATCGAGTGGCCTACAGTACATGACAAGATAAGGCAAATCTTATAATGTCTCCCGCATAGTCATCTGCATAGTTTCGTGACCCAACATCAATAACATTAGCTCGTGCCCCCTCAAAGATCCTCAGAAGGAACGTCGGATTATTTTGCCATTGAATGCTTTCACTCTCGGCGATAATGCCCGTTCTTCCTACCCTGCCTGGGATTTGACGGATGGAATGGATACGAGCATGCAGAAGTGCATGTGGAGAGTGATAAAAGAGGAAACAAAAGGTGGTGGGTGAGGTTTGGGGGTGCTTCAATATATTGTGTGATCTTGTCCTTTCTGTGATCCGGCTCGCGAGTCGTAATCCATAATCGATTGCACAATCATTATTCGATACTATCTAGCCTCTTGCATGCAACGTTAAGTCATAACCGTATCTTGCAGAGCCCGCTTTATTCGTCGTCCCAACACAGTCTTTCCCTAGCCATCACATCTAGTTATCATTCGACTTCCACTATTTCCTAAAGGCCCTCGCCTCCCTCTTCCACCACCCCTTGAAATCCTGGGTAGCAGTATTGATTCCAATATCCTTCAACGCCCGACTCGAAAGATGGCAATCATACGGTCGCTGCACACTGGCATTCGGGTCGTTGCCCTCGGTATTCGCAACCATGCCATCAAGCGGCAACCCCATAATCTCCGCAAACAACTCGCAAATTTCGTATTTCGTGAATTTGTCTTCGGAAGAGAACTGTAGTATGGTAGGCAGACTCGTCTTATCTTCCGTATCGAGGTATTTCGTCGCCATATCTGCAAGTTCGAGCCATCAGTAATAAGGATAATGGATAGATGGTTGGATAGATAGATAGATATAGATATGGGAGGACTACAATACCTTGACAAACACGCCCCACGTCTTCGGTATTGGTAGGATATCTCAACGCCCAGTGATCCATCTTCACCCCCGCCGCCTCTTCTTGCGCCTTCCACACACTATCCATCAACACATTGACCGCGCTCTCCGCCGGCCTCTCAGCATCCCCATAAAGCACAGGTACCCTCAACACCACACCCCATCCCTTCTCCATCCCCGCCAGCACAGCCTGTTCTCCCTCCCACTTCGTCTGCCCATATAAATTCGGCGGGCTGGGCTTGCTGTCGGCCTCGTATGGCGCGTTGCCTTCTGTGCCGGGGAACACATAGTCGGTTGAGATGTAGATGAGCAGGATATTGTGCTGGGCGCAGAGAGAGGCGAGCGTGCTGGTCGCGGTGATGTTGAGGGCGCGGGTACCGGCGGGGTCAGAGTCGCATTTGTCGGGAAAGCGGTTTGCTGCACCTGCACTACTGCATCAGTACATCACAGCTCTCGCAGTCAGAACATATTGATCTACGGGCATACAGTGCACAACGACTTGAGGCTTGACCTCGGACAGCGTCTCTGCGATGGCGGACGAGGAGTTGAGGTCTAGCTTGATGATTGAAGGTGGTTTGGCGCGTGTGTATCCTGTGCCCTTGACGTCCCAGCCTGCGCGTTCGAAGGCTTTAACGACTTGGCGACCGAGGAGGCCTGTTGCGCCGGTTATGAGGGCTGTTTTTGGCATTGTGTTTGTTGTTGGGGATTTTGTGTTGAGATAGGATGGGGGGGCTTTCAGTCCAGAGGATATTGAGCAGGTGCAGATCCCCGTGTTATGACATAGCCTTTTTACTCAGCTCAGCTACAACGCGTTTGTTTACCGAGCAATAATGTTCGCGTTGGTTACAAGATGAGGCTATCAACCAAGCTTTCTTCTTCACGACAGCCCTCGAGGAGCCGATCGCAATGAAAAAAAAAAAGAATCTCAAGTGAGAAGGTTTGGTTCAAAAATTCCTCCAAGACCCGAAGGTCGAGAAGAGCGGTCATGGTAATAGTTTTCAACTAGCAAAAACGCAAACTCGGACGAATCCTCACTGTTATGCGTAAAACCTGGGTACTGTTAGTAATGGACCGGTCGAGGAAGTTTGGGGGTAGATTCTTACCCATGCACTAAGATGAAGAAAAAACAGGAGGTTCGGAGAGAGAGGATGTTTTTATCTTGGAATTTCTTTAGCGTGGCGCTAGTGTCGGTTGGTAGTCTCGAGTGTTTGACGTTAGAGCAAACATGGCTCCCATGGATGATGGCCCTTATGAGGGAACGGCGGCAGCAGCCGGCGCTTGGTCCCCTCCCCTTTCTTTCCCCTACTCACAATCGCTCGCACGCTTTATATGTATAACTCCTTTCGAACATTATCATTTCTTCGTAGTTTAGCCTCATATTGCCATTCCCCTGAAAGTTACGAGGGAGTTGTCATTTTCTTACCTCTATTTGCACTTTCTTGCTTAAGACTCTTGATGCGCTATACATGTTTGCTTCTTACCTACTTGCTCCTCACTAATTTGATCCATCATCGTGCACTGTCTTCCTTGGAATAATTGGAGACTGGCTTAGAACAAAATCATGTCCCAAGGTGTACGACAAACTGGGAGCACACTAGAACACTGGGTGTCTCCAAACTCTCGATAACTGAACAGAGACTGGGTTAATCAAGTCTGGAAAAGTATCACTTGCATGTTTAGCATGCTCAGGTACCTACCTAGGTATGGTTTAGTAGCTCTATTTTAAACTTGAGGGGGAAGTTGCTGTCCGAGTCGAAACTATATGCTAAGCTGATCCCTATCACAATCGAGTCTTTTGACTGGGAAAGTAATCCGGGATAGAGCCCTAATGGAGTAAAGAAACATTGTGTAAAGAGGCGTGTTCTTCTATAGCACACAGCCAGCCACTACTCCTTCCACAAAGAGTGAAGTGACGAAATCAACTTTTTGGATACTCCAACATGGTAGTATTCTTATACCGAAATAGTTGATGTCAGGATATCCAATGCCGACCTTGAGCTTCCACCGTAAAGCCTACACAACTAAAATTCAGCGCATGTCCTAGAATGTGTCACAGTGAATGATTTCCTTAGATATTTAGCGAGTCCCCTAAAGCGCCCCCTTTGGATTTCTATGAAAGGAGCCTACATCAGCCACAAGACTCCTTGCAAACAACGTTTCCAACTTGATCAAACTTGACGGGGTGCTTCCATTCATCAGTGCGAGGGAAGCTCTTGCCTGATATTCCAAGAAGTATGTCACGTGGTGACTTTGACGCCTGCTTGCCCCTTCCCGCAAAACTTCGCTTACCTTAAATTGGCTACAGGGCAAAAGCTCGCAGTTCTTCGCCTCAAGTGCTTGATTCTATGAATATTTTCAGTGTCCCTCTATTCCCAAGAAAACGGCCCGTGCTCCTCGGACAAGTTACCAAGACCCCGCCAAGTCTAAACTTTGCCGTCGGTTATCGTTTTGGGAGACTGTCCCCAAGCTCGAGATTCCACTTTCAACTGAGGCGGCTCAAGCAGCCCAGCTCACAATACGACTTCCTGGTTGATGGATCTCTTATTACTCTCCTTCCTAGATGGATAATGCTCCTTTCCCGCGCCTTTGGCAAAATAACTACCCCGCAGTCCGCCGAACTCCGCTATCCCGTTTTGATGAGCAAAGGTTCCAACCCCCTGGATGCGGGAGATCTGGATACTATATTGGGGGTGAAGTAAGCCGGCGGGCTGACCCGCCACCCCGAGACCGTTGTTCCGTGATAGGGCAGAGCGATATACTCATGGGATATAGATTGGACCGAATCACCTATATTGTACCATCAAGATCATTCCGGGTTTCGTCAAAGACGTATCGCCGGAGACACGTCCACGAACTCAACGAATCCGCTTCATTGAACCCATACTGTCTTGACTACCACAAATATTGCGAAATCAACATCCCAACATTGACTTTTGCACCCGACGATTGTGAAAGGTATATTCGCAAACCCATAGCACAAGAATACCTCTCCCTTATTTCCGTCTATCGTTCTCCATGTATAAGATGGGTAGTTCCTCGACCTATTGAGGTGAACCTTAAATAGGGCGGCACTTTGGATGAAAATAGTCCTATTGGCCTTGACTTCTCGACTCTTGGACTATACCTGGCACCAGACAGTCCCTTCCACGATCCACAACACCGGGTCCATGCAGCGAATCAAAACTGCAATCTTGGCGAACCATCGCGCCAGCGGCGGTTCGACCGGAACCTTAAACCAACCTCAGTCTGGAATTGAGAAGTGACAGGAATATGTTCCCATGGTTCGCATTTTGCGTTAATAGCGGTTAGACAGTTGTCATTCCGGTAATCGATGCTGCTACTTGCAGAATTTTCTGCAAAGTCTCCGCATTTTCGACTGCCATTGGATGTGACGTTTGCTCGAGGTTGCAATCCGAGCTGCTTGTATCTCAATAGGAGCAAGGCAAACAAGTCGAGAACGAGGCAACCAGGCTAATGACGAGTTTTGATGGCTCAACGCCCGACGACTATGAGCACGGAGGAACGATTTATGCAGTGGCAGCCGACCCTTGCAAAATGTTGCAGGTGGACAAAATATAAAACAAGGAGCCCGCCCACTCGAAAAGTCCTCAACAACTCGCGCGATCAATCAAGAAGTTATAACAGAAAATGCTTGGATGCACGAGACTGAACTCATCACGTTAAGATACTGACTGACCTCTCCTATCTCTCTGTACCTCGACCTTTCGAGTGGTCGCTAAACATCTGCAGGAGTTCCCAGGACGTATGATTCGCCCGATTGCCATCCACACCAACATTTGGAAGATTACCTCCGCACCATAAGTCCGATCAAATCAGACTCTTCGTCTCCCACACACGGAATAGTACAGAAAACCAGATTTGCGCTCTTTGCCGGCGGTCAACTCCCCAGTTATAGGCCAGCAGGCCTTCCTCGACAGACAGAGCCGCATTTTCCACATTTGCCTCGGCTGAAGACTTGGTCGCCGAAGATTGATCCGTTTCCACATATAAGCCGTCTTGTTGACTCTCGGTGGACTGGTCGAAGTGTATGTATGCGTCCCAAAACAGACAACGCCACTACGTGGCTTTCCACCAAAAGTCTTGTCCGTCCAATCCAGAAGTTGCTAAGTTATGATTTTCTTATGGCACTGTTCTGGATCTACTGGTCTAGATGTCCTTCGTCACTTAGATTATCAGGATGAGGTACCAACCTCAGGCATTATTCTACGCTATAACAAAGCTGTCCACCGTTGTTTTTCTACCTTTGTCTCAATATATTTCGATCTGGTTTCCAACATACCAGCCAACTTCCAGTGATAGGTGCGTTTCTGCAGCTAATTCATCCATGAAGAGGCGACACGTCAATGGCTTTCGCTTGGATGGCGGGGGCCGTCTCCATCTAAAGTGCGGCAAGATATGGTTCCTTTTTCATGATTAGTCCGGCCGTCTTATTACCCAGTATTCAGGGTAACCATGTCTTGTCGTCGTTGCGACAAGTTACGAATTGACGATCCGCGATGCATTGGCAATTGAAAGCAGAATCTCATGGGTTGGACGACCTCGTTGTCAGTGACAATATGGGTTTTCTGATACCACATGTGCTAATCTGGCACCGATCGTCGTTTGCGGGGGCGTCAAGTCACTGTTACTATTTGGTTCTGCGATGCCAGCCAACCTCACCTGCATATCATACAGCAAGCCCACATCATGCGCTGTGTCCGTTCCCAAATAGCACTTCATGAACCAGTTAATTCTCGTCATGAGGGCCGAACCCATACCGGGCCTCAATCCATCTTTGGAATGATAGCTCTGTGACGATGCGTAAACTTCTACAACGTATTTCACTCTTGCCGTCTCCTTTCTATACGTTTGTATGTTCTTAGCAAAAAGACCTCTTAGAAATCTATCAGCTGGAGTAGTCCTCTGAGGTGAACAAGCCCTTGCCAGCGAATACTCGACGTCTCTTTCCCGGGAAACATGTCTGCATCGTCTAGAAAGGTGTGTCCCCCTCGCTAGCCGATTGGAAGAACCTAAATGGGTGTAGCGATCTTCGCGAAGGCCGTCGCACCCGAAGTCCCAGAAATCATCAACTTCACAACCTGAGCCGACATGGCCAATTATGAGTTTTCTATTCACTGTCAATACTCTCACATTGAACGAAGAACCCACAAACGGAGGCGTCGCGCCCAGGGTTGACGACTATGGGCGGTGGCTTCCCCCCTTGTACCGCGCCGGCTTCGGTCAGCAGATTCCAGGCACTGTTTATCGATGGGAAAATGGGGACATTAGCCAAGCTATTGGGTATGTGTGTGGTCAAGGAGCTTTGTGGAGTCCACGCGGTGTTGCAGGTTTATATCGAGCGAATACTTTGTTCTATTGTAATCCGTTTGAACAATTCCTTGCCACTGAGGGAGATGCAAGCGACAGAGATATGGCAAATTCTCCTGTTCCATACCACCGATGGTATACTCTCCATTTTCGGCATCAATCAACACTTTCGCGACTAGATCTAGGCGGCCCCGAGCGCTACCTTGCTGGGACTGTACCGCACTCCATCAACCAACTCGGTCTAAACTCCTGGTATAATCCTGAGCCGCTGGCTCATCCTTCTTCTGGGCTTGCTGGAAACCTCGCGCTGCTGATTGCACTCGTGGCGTTTTCTTGCAGGTCTGAGCGCTTGGACACCGTCCTTCGAACTTCCTGGAGACATTATGAGTGGCGAGGTCATAACCATAGTAATGGCCGTAAGCTGTACCACAATTCGCGCTTTATGGGAACACTACTAACGATGGAGCCCACTAGGCCGCGAACAGAGAGGGGTTGTTGTAAACATTTACTATGATCCGGAAAACCCTACCAACTCTACGGAACAGACACTCTCGGACCTCGAATGGACCGGCGGCCCGCTCCTTAGATAAGACCATTCGCGTCCGCTTGTTTACGATCATATACATTCCACAATTACCTACGACCTTTTCTACTTTTCTCGCGATCACTCCAGTACGATATCCAAATCATGTATGCAAATTCTCGCCTCGACTACTTTTAGTCATTTACAGTTCTCCTTGATCAATAACCTCAATACCTTGATACCATTGGCATCTTCAATGCACTTTGCATAGCCTTAATGCTGTGCTCATGATTCTTCTTCCTAGTCGCCTCGGCTCTTTCTCTTAATATCGGGTTTCGGGGCTTTCATGTTTCTTGCTATCCAAGGACTTACGGCAGCGATTTGGTTTCAAGATGACCGGTCCCGAGAGGGGGGCAAGAGGAGTTATTACGCTTGAATGATGGTCTCCTGATTGCTTTGCGGGATGTTCTTTTTTTATGTCTCTCTTTGGACGGGGGGGTTCAAAGATGGCAAGCAGTCTTGGTAATTTAAGCTTAGATGCACATTAGTTTCAATTGTCGTAATATCGTAAATATCCCCGTAAACTTTAACTGTGATTTGTGTTATCAAACTTTATGCGGAGTTACTCTTGTGAGATCACCCCTTGCACACCGTCCTTCAAACTAATAGGCACGATTAGCCGTGCTTCAAACATTTCGGCGTTTATGGAATGCCAGAATCAAAACGCCTGGCGTACAATGTAGATGCTGCCCATAATGTCCCAATAAATACACAATAGTGCTGTAAAATAGTTTCTACTACCTAGGTATTTATTAGTATATTTTGAAAAGCAGTAGCAGCAGGTTGAAGGGGTTCTATACTGAATTTGCCCTACTGAAACTCTACACCGCTTCCCGTTTCGGCCGAGGCTGGCAGAAAATATAGTTATTTTCGCACCCCACCAAAAACACCAGCAGCATGCAACAGCAGTCTCACCAACCCTCACCAAAACTTCATACACAAAACATGGCGACAAATACCCCCAAGCCCATCCATAGCCTCGTGCTCGACGCAGGTCCAATAATCAAAAATGACCCCTCCATCTCAACCCTCCTCTCTCAAGCCGAATTCCTCTATACCATCCCCGCCGTCATCGACGAAATCCGAGACCCCGCCACCAGATCACGAGTCGAGACGACCCTGAAGCCATTTATTCAATGTCGATCCCCGAGACCAGAGAGTGTGAAGATTATCACAGATTTTTCGCGGAGGACGGGTGATCTGGAGGTTTTGAGTAGGCCGGATATTCATCTGATGGCTCTGGCGTATGAGCTGGAGTGCGAGAGGAATCATGGGGATTGGAGGTTGCGGAGTGTGCCTGGGCAGAAGAGGGTTAATGGACCTCCGCCGGCTTCTTTGACGGGCGGATCTGCCGATCCTGCAGTTACGGAGAAGGATGGGGAGACTGTCGTTTCTGTAGAAACTGCAACTCAAAATGCGCCAGCACCAACAGCAAACGCACACTCCGAAGACGACATACAAGCCAAGGAGATGGAAGAGAAGTTATTAGAGACACACATATCTACTACCGACGCAGAAGAGGCTCCAAAGACAGCTCCTGCAGTTCAATCGCCCGCAAGTGAAGAAGATACCCCGCAACCCGACGCCGTCGAAGAAGTACAGACCTCAGAGGACGAAGACGACGGCGAAGGTTGGATCACGCCCTCGAACCTCAAACAGCACCAACAAAAAGATGCCAACGGCACCTCGGAGCCCCAAGAAGAGCCCAAAACCATGCAAGTAGCCCTCATAACCTCCGACTTCGCCATGCAAAACGTCCTCCTCCGCATGAACCTCAACCTCCTCTCGCCCTCCCTGCAACGCATCCGCCAGCTCAAAACCTGGGTTCTACGCTGCCACGCCTGTTTCCTCATCACGCGGGACATGAACAAGCAATTCTGCACGCGGTGCGGAAAACCCACGCTGCTGAGGACGAGTTGTTCGACAGATAAGGATGGCAATTTCAAGGTGCATCTCAAGAAGAATATGCAGTGGAATAATCGCGGCAATGTGTTCAGTGTCCCTAAACCGGTGGCGGGGACTAGTAATGGCAAGTTGGTTGCTGGGGGTGGCAAAGGGGGATGGGGTCAGGGACTCATTCTGGCAGAGGACCAGAAGGAGTATGTGGCGGCTATGACTACGGCGCGGAGGCGCAAGGAGAAGGATTTGATGGATGAGGATTATCTACCGGGGATCTTATCGGGAGATAGGGGACGGGCTGGGGGGAGGACGAAGGTTGGAGCGGGGAAGAATGTCAATTCGAAGAAGAGGAATAAATTATAAGTAAAGAAAGCAGATTCGGATAAGGTAAAAAGTTGGTAGATTTTAGGACGGATTTTCAGCGGGCGTTTATTGGGATCTTCTATGTTCAATGTGGCCATAACCAACTGTCCATAAATAGATAAATAGATATCAAATTTCTGATTTTGATTTCTTCCTCTTTCTTTATTTCCTCCCTACAATTAGAGCTCCAGCCAGAACACCCATCCACCCACTTGTCGAATGAAAATCGTGCCCTAAACGCCTGATATACTCCACAAACAACCTCTTACGAGTCACAAACATGTCCACCCCGAAATCTATTTTTCGATATGTCCAATCATCCTGTTATGTGATTTTATCCATATCCATATCCATCCCCCGTCCTGCAAATATTGGTTCTTCCCTTCCGTCTAGCATGCATCTATCCATCCAGATCCGAACCCTCACTGGCCCAATACAATCAAATCCTCTATACGCACACGAACATTAGCCTGTATCCCATGAAAACCCTCTCTTTCCCCCCATTCCAAAATTAATCACATTCCCCATTCCCCATCTCCCGTCCATCATCCACTCTTTCTCCTCCCTCTCCAAATCCACCAAACCTCCTTTCACGCACACAGAAACAAGCCAAGCAAAAGCGCACGAAAAAAAAAAAAGAAGACCTAAACTCACTCTGCTGCGTCAAGAGCAATCCATATCTCTTCTTCAGCGTCACCCGGTGGCGCGAGTACTTGTCGTCGGGGGAGAAGCGAGCCGGGTGTGCGGATTTCGTGACTGAGGCGCCGACGACTTTCTGGAGGGTGTAGACGCGTTTGCCCGAGGGGGAGGTGGTGTACATTAGATGCATTGTTGGGGTTTGTGGGGGGTTGGTATTGTCGTGGAGTGGGTGGAGGAGTATGTTTGTATGTATGTAGGGCAGGAATTGAGGTTCGAGGTGGAAGTTCTTTTGTGCTGGCTGGCGGAGCTTCAAAAGGTGAAAATTAATTTTTGCGGGGAGGAGGCTAGGGGTTTAGGGTGGGGCTAGGGTGTTTTGGGTTAGCGCGGGATGGGACGCAAGGCAAGGCTGAGGAATCTACCTGGTTTTGGTTCTGGTGCTGAGAGGCACTCATTGTGAGTACGGTATGCAGCTTATTTATATTTATTAGGTACGCCTTTGAAGTATGTGACAACCGATTTCTCTTTCATCCTCTTCTTATAAGATGAGGTTTGGATGAGTGCCGTGCTTGATCATCGTCGGCTTTTCACTCCTTGGTATCAATCATACTCTATCTATCTCAATGAATAACGAACCTCTCCAGACCACCAGTACCCATATCACTTCAATAAATCGCAACAACTCTCAGCTGCTAAACCGATTTGGGATCCTGCGCCTGTACTTCTGTGGAAAAGCTCGGCTGTGATGCCTTTGATGATGCACACTCGGACACTCCCATCCCGTATTCATGGCCTGACCAATGCACCACGCTCCCTAACCTCTGGATGAGAAGGGATCTTTGCCTTTAGCGGTTGATGTCAGCCACGCTCCATTTGCAGGTTGCAGGTTGTCTGGTTGCGATCTTTGATGATCAATTCAAGCTCTCTTTGAAGTCGGTGATGGTCTTTCAGATCGTTGCTTCCAGTGCGCTTGCTCTTGTCTCATCTCTGGCTTTCAGGACCTTCGGTCTCCCTTCTACACTACATGGTAGCATGTTTTATCATACATAGTATGACGAAGCGCAGAGGTGAAGAGGGAGAAATCTCCCAAGATCTTCAATTGCGCACCTCTGGTCTTCGATTGCGTTTCTTCTAACGGCACACTTCTTCTAATTGAATAGAGTGGGTGTCTAGTTAAGGTGAGGTACGGAATCCATCGGAAGCCCCAAATCCATCTTTGGGAACTGCAAAAGCTCTTGCATTGTCGTTTCTTGTGGGAAGTATCTTTCCAGATACAAGCAAATGGATTGTCCTTCAATCAGTGCCCTTCCAGCAATCCACCAGGTCCCATGGGAAACTCTTCCAAACCAATAGGCCACCAGTAAGAGCGCTCGCGGGTCTTTCTGCTTCACGAGTGCTTTGAAATCTTGCCCCATGTGACTCAAGAAGGAGAGATATTTTACAATGGTAGTGTGATTGCATTCCATTCGGAGCAGTGATATTAGGTAGCGTATAGATTCGTAATATGGGTTATTCTCGGCCGTGGATTCGCAGTTGAGATTATAGAGAAGAATGAACTGAAGAGGGACCTGTTCAAGGCTGAAGTCAAAGTTGTGCGCATGAGAGCTGTCGTTGCGAAGCTCGACGGCAAGATCATGGAAAGCGCTCTCGGGTCTTGTCGGATCTGCCATCTGCCAGATCACCTGCTTTCCATCACTCATTCTTAGCCATTCAAGATCAGAGTGGTCCGAGTCTTTGAGAGGCCATGCTTCTTCTGGCGTCGCGGCTTCGACACAACAGAAAGTCACCGCGCCCAAGAGAGCAGCAGCCGTCCATAGGGAGTCTCGGTCATCTGGTGGCCAAGGAGTTGATAATTTCTTGTTGAGCAAAGAAGCACCTTGCGACCAGTGATGACATTCTTTTATGGTTGGTTTGAAGCTGGGTGTGGGGGCCAAGTAACGATCGTGAATCGATGTCAACGTCAGAACGATGTGCATCAGATATGGATGCTACACATGGGTCAGTATGTACACCACACCGGATCAGAATCGATAACTTACTGCGAAAGCCTCACGGACTGATACTTCTTGATATATGGAGGCAGTCTTTGCACTTCCCAAGGTGAGAATGGTTCTCGTATGGAATCGGTTGAGTAGACCAAGACTATAGTGGTCGAGGTCGAAGCTCGATTGGCCGTCAGAGACGGAGATGAGAGGGGTCAGAACAGCAGGTACTTCAACTACGCCATTGCCATAGCGTGCTGGGTTGACCAGGAAGGACTTCTTAGCCACCTTCCGGGCATCGTTATCGTTGTTATTGGCTGGTCTATCAAAGACCATTTGAAGGTCTGGGATCTTGAGATCATAATTGCAGGTCACACCGAAATCTATGCATTTCTTGCATTCGGGTCTAACTTCGTCACACTTGAGGGTGTCAGTATATTCAGCCGCTAGAGTCCCCGGACAGGGAATGAATGCAGCAAGTGCGATGTCCCTCGCTCTACCTCGAATAGGTGAGTGAGTGAGTGATTGACTAGGAGATGTCATGGCATGGATTCTTTACATTATCCAGCGCTGTGGAAATCAAAACCAACTGATGTGGCCGAGAATAGCCATTCCGAATACTTTTCAAGGTTCTTCTCGCCAATGAAAAGTTGGAGATCGTAACGCTTCTCCAACAACTGAGTAAGGAAGAAGGTCTCTTACTTTAACTCGACGCAACTTGCAGTTCCGACAGCCTCGTCGCGACTTCTTATGGGCTTTCCGTTTACGAGACGCCTCATCCGGACTCTCTCTGATATCTTTCGGATGCACAATCATGGTCAAACTACGCAAGAATGCAATTGTTCGCAAAAGCTAATGGGGGAAAAGAGATGTGAAGCATGGAGGAAGTGAAGAGGCAAGTCAAAGGGAATATACGCCTACGCCTTCCCCCACGGCGTAGCGAGAAAGAAGCCTATTGGCAGAACTCCTTGTAGATCCACTATTATATTTTGGCGCTTTCCCTTCTGTCGTATTTCACCTGGCTCTAGTCCATTTTTGGAATAGCTTGGATCCCTCGTTGTCACGGATGAAGGAAGGGAAGAACTTCATCAGAGACCTTAATTCCGCCCAAATCTCGTATTTAATGGAGATAAAAGCATTATCCAGTCATGCATAGTGCTTGGATCTATATTCTCTTCCGCTAATCAAAGATCGTACGCTTGAAAATCTAAAGGTGAGACATGCGTCCTTTGCCGCGCCAGTTTTCAGCCTCCATATACGATGTAGTCACAATGATTTGGCAGTTACAGCTAACATATGTTGTGAGAGAAGTGAGTACTGTACTTCGTGTCAGTGGAGGTAACGGACTTAGTTGGTCTTCGCCCGATGTTGCCTTTTATCTCCCCTCAAGACAGTGGTCTGTCTACGTCTTCAATGAATACATAAGGTCGATCATGTTTCTCCTTTTTTAGACCCAGAGAATATACAGCAAATAATCAGCTCCCTCAATCTCAAACTTGTCTTTCTTGTTTCCAAACAAATCAAATCAAGCCAAACATTTCAAAATCATCCTCAAATCTCAAAATGCCTTCCAATACTGCAGCTTGGTTGGAAAAAGTGGGAGCTATCCCTCTCGACGTCAAATCCGCTCCATACACTTCCCCAACCGAGCATCAAATTGTCATCAAGTCCAAAGCCGTAGCAATAAACCCCGCGGACTGGGCCATCCAAGTTAAAGGCAACATCTTATTCCCCTGGCTCGCCTACCCCTACATCGGCGGCAGCGACGTCGCCGGCGAAGTATACGAAATCGGTAGCAGTGTGACGCGTTTCAAAGTCGGTGATCGGGTTATTGGTCTGGCTCTCTGTCTCTCTGGCGGCTCGGAGGGCGCCTTCCAGGAGTATACGGTTCTGAGAGATCATATGACTTCCCATATTCCACAGGGCATGTCGTATGAAAGCGCTTCTGCTATTCCGCTTGGCTTGTCTACCGCGGCTTCTGGGCTGTTTCAAAAGGGCTTGCTGGGGCTTCAACTCCCCTCGATCTCTCCAAAGCCCACGGGCAAGTCTCTGCTCATCTGGGGTGGATCGACCAGCGTTGGATGCAATGCAATTCAGGTACGTGTCTCTGTTCACCTCGATGTACTTTATTCTGTCGCCAAAAGCCTTTTTCCTGACTCACGGCACTTCAGTCCAATTTACTGACTTGAAATTGTCCAATAGCTCGCCGTTGGAGCAGGCTACGAGGTCATCACGACTTGCTCGCCAAAGGTACATACATATTCTACCTACCTCACAACAAACTCCTTGCACTAGCCTCCAAATCCTCAAAAAAAAAAACTAACAAAAACCGCAGAACTTCGCCTACGTCAAAACCCTCGGCGCAAGCCAAGCATTCGACTACAACAGCCCGACCATCATCCCCGACCTAATCAGCGCCTTCGCCGTCACCAAAAAACCCCTCGCGGGCGCCCTCGCCATCGCCGCCAAAGCCCCCGCAAAGACCTTGGACAAAGACCCTGCCATGGCCTGCGTCGCAGTAGTGGCTGCATCTGACGGTGCTAACAAATTCGTAGCGTGTGCTACGTTTCCACCCGCTGAGGACGAGCTACCTGAGGGCGTCAGCGCCAAGTTTTGCATGGCGGGTAGTATTAAGGATGATGAGGTTGGACCGGCTATGTTTGTGGATTTCCTACCCAAGGCGTTGGAGGAGGGGAGCTTTGTTGCGGCTCCGGAGGCGGAGGTTTTTGGGAAGGGGCTGGAGAGTATTCAGGGTGCGTTTGACGTGCAGATGAAGGGCGTTTCTGCGAAGAAGATTGTTGTATCTTTGTAGATGCTGTGGGTGGGGAGGAGAAGTTGAGAGGTGTGTACAGTATGTAGCGCTACAAAGTACATGAGAGATTCGACAGCTCCATCTCCATCTCATCCAAACGCCCCTAGCCAGTACATATTCCTAAATCAAACTCACTCAAGCAGTTCCATCCAACCCCGCAGAGATGCCCGGCGTAATCGATTCCGCCAACTCCCACCCATCTGGTATGAATTCCCAAAACTTGCTCACGAGCAACGCGGCATTCCCCTCACACAGCCTCACGCCCCCCAATATCCAACGGTATCCCAACCCCAACCCCAACCCACGCATCCCTACCATTCCTCTTCCTCCCACACCAATTAGTCAGCTCCGCAAACAGCTTCTCCCCCTCCGATCGCCCAGCATCCCCGCTAAACATGCAATATGCCCACACGGCCAGCGCACCTGCAGCAAGTGCTACATATACAATCGGGTCCATGATCCTAGTATCGAAGTCCTTGTTCTGTTGGTGCAGGACGAGGATTTCTGTGGCGTGGAGTAAGGATTGTCGCGCAAGGGATGTCGTGGTCCAAGTTGTGACCGACTTCCCGCGATTCTCGCGTTCTTGTTGCTGGGGCTCAGGGAGTTGCATCAAGGAATTCGCACTGCCGTCTTTTGCGAGCTGCGCCAGCATGCGGATATCGGTATTCAGCTGGATGCAAAGACAGTGGTACAACATCTTTGCATCAAACAAAAGACCTTTCGCTCGCGCCAGTGCAGCGTCCTGTGAACCCGGCTCGGCAGCGTCTTCGTAGCCGTAGTAATACCTCAGAGGCAGAATCTCGCACTCGAGGCTCACGGGTCTAGATAACTGGCAGGATATTCGGTCGAGGAAGAGCTTCAGGGCCTCTAAGCGGTGTCTAGGGCATTCGGTCTTGAAGCTCTCCAAGCTGTAAACGAAAGAGCAGTCCCGCATTTTGTCCCAGAATTCGGCGATCCTTGGCTCCATGGAGCACATGCACAGTATGATATCTTCGATGAGCAGCGGCTTGTCTTTCGCCTCGATATTCCAATCATAAATGTCCTTGATCCGATCACGCATTGTGATCTGGTTCCTGAAAGTAGGCTCTGCCTCGATGCGCGTCGCAAAAAGATCAAGTCGGCTTGAATTCCACGCCGCATAGGTACTTTGAAACGTAAAGTGGAGATCATCCTTGGTGAGTAAAGCGGGTTTGGCCCGGATAATGCTCAAGTAATTGTCTATTTTAAAAAGGTACGCTGCTAGGCTAGTACACAGTCAGTGTCTTTGTACGAGGATACAAAACCAGATCTAGTGTTACCGTTGTCTTTCTCCTAGCTTTGATAGGTGCATGGGTATGAAATATCCCGGCTTTTCATCCGCCCACACGGTCTCGGATCTGAAGAACCCCAATTCTTGAAGAACGGAGACGAGAGTACTCCGAAGAACGGCAGCTCTTGATATATTCTGTTCAATCTATATATCTGTTAGATGAAATGATTTTACTTGTGGAACGTGGCTCCTCAAACCCCAGTATGTAGGGCGAACACAATGTTGATAAGTGCTGCTTGGCATAGCCAAGATGGTAGATTGTCTTGCTGGAATATATACTTCGAATTTCCCTCGCCCTGATGCACTTTAGTGTAAGTTGGATGTGTCAATGTTCAATCTGGGTTCAAATGCTTACTAGTTTGGTTGAGATATTCAGCATTAAGTAATCATGCACTTCGAGAGCATATTTCATGCCCTCAATGGTTCCACTAAACCAGCCACCTATCATCAACGTGGATAATCGTAGTGCGCTTAATAAATGACTAGGATTCTGGTCTTCATAAGAAGGACGGTGTATTATTGGCCACCGGTGGTGGAAGTGGTCAAAATAAAGCTTCTCGTAGCTGTCAGTTGCATCGTCGGGAGGCATGGGAAGGCCTTCATCCAACAAGAACTCGGGCTGGCTATCAAATGGAACTTTGGAATTTCTAGAAGGCGAATCATTCCGGAGTTGCAACATCTTCAAACCAATAATCCCGTTACCTAGGGGGACTTTCGGCCTTGATGTGCCATCGTGAGGAGGTGATGTAATGGATGGCTGGACATGAGGTATTGCTGGACCGTTCCAAGAACCACCAGAACCGACTTCTAATTGATATGAATCTGGCGTACTGACAGGAAACATGGGCATGAGGTCTGGGCTTGGCGGTACATGGGCCTCAGGGCCCGAAATCCGACGAATGCTCTCACTCTCAACGACATCCAGTGAGGGCTTTGGTAGTGGGGGGAGCTTCTGAGCAAAACTTAGCTTCGATGGCTCTGAGGTCTACTAGAAAGTGTACTTCGAATCCCAAGCAGGTGTCACTTACATTTTGCTGCTCAACCTGTTCATACCGGCAAACCACTCCCTTCGAGTGACATCTCAAACATGGTTGATCTCCATCACACTTGATCTTCCCTTTGTGGCATGTTATACATGCCCGCTTGACCCGCCCAGATGGACCTGGTTTGTAGTCATCTCCGTGTCTGGCAAGATGACGCTGGAGACTATCACTATCAAACTATCAGTAAAATGTTCATGCACCCAGAAGATTGGGTAAGTGACGATCTAGTGAGAGCTCATAGCCAGAGTACATGGGAAGCTGCAAGACAGCAGTGTCTTGGAAGAAGAAGAGGCTGAAACGAGACGAGTGGAAAGAGAAAGTGAGAGCCGGTGGGTTCCTAAGTCCACCTAATTGTGGATCCTGAATTGAAAAAAAATGGGGGTGGAGAATATCCATACCTACGGTTAAATTTCTGAGAACAGACTTTACATTCGTATTGGTCGTCGCCTCCTGAATGCGTACGCTGGTGGCGAGTAAGATGCTCTTTCCTTACAAATGATTTCTCACATCCACCGAATTTACACGCCCACCGCGAATTTTTGGTGATCTCCGTATGAACCATGATGACTGATATTCCATGTAGATTGGAGTCTAATGATCTCTGAGGTTTTCGTATAGTGCCAATGGACTAAGTGGCAGGCGGATAAGGGTACTTCCTGAAGTAACGAGTGAAAAGCAGGAATCTAAGCCCTTGTCTTCAGCCTCCATCAGAAAGAATGCCTGGCTCAATTGGGAGACTCGTATCCAGAGCTATTTTTTTGTACGTGGGTGATAGCTTAGTAGGTTGAGTAGTTCTCAGGAGGTATCATGGAGGAAGTGCTTTTGAAGTGGGAGCCGGGTGGGAGCCGATGTGTACGTAAGAAAGGGGCGTTCATAAGTCAGCGCCGCTAAACGAGTCGCGCAATCAAGGGGGCCGATTTTGCGACAGTGGGTCCCGGACGGCTCCCACATTCTTGGCGGAATGCTGATCTTACATTCCATCTGGATGAACACCAAAGTGATGAAATACTGGTAGTATGGCGTCAACTTTCCCCCCGTCAAGAATTGAGTAAGCAATGTAATGATTTCCATTATCGTGGTTAGTTGAGCGGCAGTTGAGGATAGCTTTTGGCACCTTTGAAAAGTATAATAGACTCCCTAAACGCTCCCAAAGTAAGTCGGTCACCCTTGAATGAACAGCATCAAGACCAGGCATATTTTCTACATTCTACTCTTTTCAACACGAACTCAAATTAACATCAAGCCGTCAAAATGGTTGAGATCAAGAACGTCGCAATTGTCGGAGTGAGTACTTTTCCGGCGTATGGTGTTTACATCCCCCAAACCATATCTGATTGCCCTAGGGTTCTGGTGCTCTTGGAGAGCCGATCACAAAAGCACTCGTAGAATCAGGGAAATTCAACGTTACTGTTATCAAACGCCCAAGCTCCAAAGCCAGCTTCCCAGCTTCAGTCAAAGTCGTCACAGCTGACACCTCCTCGGTTGAATCGATCACTGCTGCGTTCAAAGGGCAGGACGCAGTCGTATCAACTGTTGGTAACGAAGGCCTGCAAGGGCAACACGTTCTCATCGATGCGGCGATTGCAGCAGGCGTGAAGCGTTTTCTTCCTTCCGAATTCGGTGTTGACCTTGCCAACCCCAAGGTCGCTGCCCTCCCCGTTTTTGCACACAAGATCGCTACCCAAAAGCACCTCCAAGAAGCACTCGCCGCCAAACCCGGCTTGACATATACGTGTGTCTCCAATGGCCCCTTTTTGGACTGGGGTCTTAGCAATGGTTTCTTGCTCGACACGAAGGAGGGCAAGCCTAAGATCTACGACGACGGCAAGACTGTTTTCAGCGCCACCACTCTAGCTTCAGTTGGTCAGGCAGTTGTTGGTATTCTAAGTCATTATGAGGAGACCAAGAACAGATTCGTCTATGTTCGCGACATTGACATTTCTCAGAAGCGGCTTTTGGAAATTGCGCAGAAAGCTGCCCCTGAGAAGAAGTGGAAGCCCGTTAATGTCAGCACCGTGGATGTTGAGAAGTCGTCCAATGAGGGTTTAGCAAGGGGCGAGTTCACGTTTCCAGTTATGGCTGGATTTATTCTTGTAGGGATTTTCGGAGAGGATTATGGTAGTAAGTTTAAGAAAGATGATAACGCGCTGCTTGGAATCACTGGGAAGACAGAGGCAGATGTTGAGGCCATCCTCAAGACTTCCCTAGCTGGCGGAAACTAGGAGAAGGTAGCTCTAATCAATGCTAACATACTGAAAATCTTTGCTTCACATCCATCGACATGAATATTTAATTTGTATCCGCGTGGACTAATCTAATCCTAACCTCGCACCAGCCATAACGTCTGTGGTGAAGATGTCTGCATGTTTATTTGGTAAGATAGATTAGTATCTGATAGTAAGTTCAATGAAGTTAAAATGACCACTTTTAACACTAGAGTACAATTTTCTAATAGTTAAGACTCAATAAAATGATAATACTCTCAGGTTAGACTGAGTATCAGTGCATCCTATTGTATTCGCTATTTTTTCTTCTTCAAAAGATAGAAAGCCAGCCTGGCACATTGTGCGTTTATACTCTTATAAAACATAAGATCTTGATCTACACTCGCCCCTCGACAGATTACCTACGCACCGGCAGAGGTCCAGCATGCCAGAATTGGGTTAGCGCCCTAGACTGGACAACTCGTAATGATTTACACTACATACATTGCGTTAGACGGATACGGCACGAGCGATCCTAGATGTGTGTCAATATATACACCGCTCTGCGTCTAGCAGTTGCTGACTACGAGACATCGATACCCAAATCAACACTATAGTTGTTGGACCTCGCCACAAACCCCAAAAACCCATGGGTCGGGTCTGGGGTCTTTCATTTTCCTATGGGTCCCCGCGGATACCCATGGATCGGGCCCTACTATTGGTAAAGACCCATGGGGTGGGTCGGGTCCCCCATAGCTTGGGTCTGGGTCCTAAATTAGGGCCCATGGGGGCCCATGGCGAGGTCTATTATTACCAGTTGCAGAGTGAAGTAACTAAGATACCTATACCTGTAATGTTTATTGGTGAAGAATGTATTCTATTTGCCGCCTTGGGAACCCATTCAAAGGCTTCATTTTTTTTTTTAGGCGGGTAATACTATTCAGAAATCTTGGGTCTGTTTGGCTATGCACTAGGTCTTCATCAATAAGAATATTTACTCGTAGTATCTTGCTGTGAATTGTGCTTATTGCTATAAACAAGACCTTCAATGAACAAGAGAATTGTTCTCAGCTCCTTATTATGTTACCAAAGAAAATGAAATTAGGTGAACAGAGACTTAGATGTTAGAACAATGGTCTTGTTGTGTTTCCTTTATATATTTCATTGAAGTAATTTTGTTCATAAATAATCATATTAGAACATATATAAACCTCGTACAAGCCATACCTTTTGGATAGAAATCAAACACGGGTTTCACCACACTTCAAACCTGCAACTGGACACCAAAAGACAAATTCCCACTCAAAAGCAGATTTCAAACATCTTCAAAATGATGCGTTTCATCGATATCGAAAGTGTCATGTACCTTATCAAGCTCCGCAACTCAGGCTGCCCATCAAGGTATTTTTCGACAGTAAGTCGCTTCCCGGCAGTCACGCATAGATTCCGCTACGGTACCTTCGGATGGGAACCTAATCACAAACACGATATCATCAACATCGAAATCAACATCAACATCTCTTCTTCTGAACTTACGCTTCTAAGATCCGCAGATCCTGAGAAACCGAAGACAATCGTCATCAGCAACCGCAATCGCTCCTTCGAGATCGAATATCAAGATGGTATTGAGGGGGCTTCTTTGTATGTTGAAGAGCGTACTATAGTAATGGGAGACGACCCGGTATTGAGTGGGAAGCCGGTTAAATATGAAGATCTAGAGCTAGACAGTAGAGTAGATGAGCGACCGGGCCGTTGGATTAGGCCAAATCCCTTCTCGGCTGATCACGAAACCTATTAAATGAATCGTACTTGCAAAGTTGTCTTAATATATACATAGAAATAGTGATGTCCTTTAAGATTATTCCTGATTAAATACCAATTTTCCATAAATAATAAACACGCTAAAGAGATACAACATCACGCCTAGGTGGGGCTAAACGAAGCATCGTACGGAGGTCACTTCGTCCAAGCATAAACCTCATTCATATCAAATGAAATTCGGTTTTGGATCTGAACCGTACAGCTGGGCAAGCTTTGGTTCTAGCGCTGACAACTCGACCGGTGATGAAACAGCATGTAACTCATGGTCCTTTGGAGGAATAGGGGGGGCCTCTTCGCTCGGTTGCTTCCAATCCCTCCCGCCGTAAATTCCACGATCCTGCTGGTGGAAGACTTCTGTTGAAGTAGTCTCCATGTTTTGCGTCGCCGCCTGTTCCGATCGCCCCTTTTGCTTCCAGCGGCGGAAGAGGCAGAAGCCAAGACCCATGAGCGCTAAGCCGACAACTCCAACAACTACGCCTATTGCTATCGATGCCGACTTAGACAAGTGAGCCGCTCCTGACGATGCGTGATCTGTCTCGGGGAATGTGCTGTCTTGGGCGCCCGTCGCGGAGACCGCCGTATTCGCTGAAGCCGTTGAGGTGGTAGTCGGTAGGATACTTGCGACTTGAGCGACTCCAAAGGCGTATCCGTCAAGTACGTGTGCATAAGCTTGGGCATTCGTGACCGTGGCTACAAATGTGGTGGTAGCTGTCACACCGGATGATCCATATGCAGTAATGGGAACCGGAACTCCAGACGTGAGAGGCGTATAACAAGTTCCTCCAAAGGCGGGTCGGTCAGTGAGGGCTGAAACTGATGGTTGTGCTAATGAATATCCGCTGGGAGAAGTTAGTCGTCAAGTCGTTAAGTCATTTGAAATCTGGAATATGCTTAATTACCTTGGACAGCAGGCTATGTAGTTGGATGTGAATGGGCCCATCGAAGAGTAGTTCACTGGGCATACCAACGGGTTGAATGCAGGTTGGGTAATACCTCCAGCTTGAAGGAGGTAACTTGTTGCAAATTGACTTGGATAGCAGTCTGTTAATGTTGATCCAGGCACCGGGACCGGCTCGTTCATCCATATTTCAAAGGCTCGATTTGCCAGCATAGTCAACCTATTTTCCGTGCATGTCGTGGCCGTCGGTATGAAAGTCGTCGTCAACGCCGGCGATGTTAACGCTGCTGTCGCCGACGCCGTGAGAGACATTTTTGAGTTTTGAATAGGCTGAAAAGCTCGATGGTCCGTAAGATCAGGACTCGGGGTGAAAGAGGGTACAGATACATCTTTTCATCCCTCTGCAGTGAAACCTAAGAGGATCCTGCCGATCAGTGGCACTCCCCTGCGACATAGCCGACATGAAAAGCGCGACACCCTGGTTCTGTAGGAATACTGCGTATCCGTACCCCTGGCCAAGGAATCACGAAACCAGGTACCAACCGTACCATTTTGTCAACAGTGCAGAAAAGAGGTTTTCAACTTCATATTTGACATAGATAGAACAAGAAGAATATCACTTGTTAGAACTTGTATAATAGCTATGCGGTCGGTGGTACTTTTAGAAGACTGAATTGTAGCTCAGGATCCAAGCCTTGTCAAGTGAACAGGCTTGTGTAGGAAGGTAACCTTCGTGGTTCGTGCCTGCAAGGCTGCATGGGCTATGCAGCGCCGTACGACTTTGGAGCATGAAGCTGAACCGTGCCACCCCAGATGTGTAGACCCCACACTCCAGGTGCTGTACGGCGTATAATCGGATTTTCGGGACGGGGCGGGCGGTTCACCGCTTTTTTGATATCCAGACTTTATTTATATTTCATGGACAGCCCCTTTTACAAATGAAGTTGAAGAGGCTCAACCGGCGGTGTACAGGCCCCCTTGAGCAAAGCAAATAAGAACCTCGCAACTCCAGCTTAACAACACAATACGGGTAAGTATTCAAGATGGCTTATATTCCGTTCACCCGCGGAGGTTCTGGCAAAAAAGGCCTAGATGCACAGGCCTCAAGGTAGACCTTCAGGGACTATGAGCTGAGTACTGTATAGGCGCTAATAACCGTTGCGTGGGTGCCATTCACTTGTATGACGCCCGAGATCTACCTCAGCAGCGTGAAATGTGTTCTCGTCTAGGCTCGTGGCTGTGCAGTTGGGTCTTGTCCTTACTATACTTCGTATAAGCAGAACAGTAATTCTGTTAGCGCACCCTGCGTAGGCCCGCTATACCTATATATAGCTAGCAGCTCGCTAAATATAGTACGTACAAAATAGATTAATTTAACGATCGTGCATCTTACCAACACTGCGCGAATACTACTCTCCCCTGAAATGACAGGGGCTTCTAGCGGCGTAGCAGCGTGAACACACGGCGCATTTGATTTCCAAATCAAGCAACACCCCCTTTTTTCAACTCGGGGAGAGGGGAGGACTACTGTAGGAGAGCCCTATAATGCACGTATTAAAACCTATCCTATAGCTTAGCAGGAGATTGCTAAGTTTCTAGTAGAGTGATAATGCTGTGCCTTAGATCTATAAGGCTTGAAGCGAAATTAGCCAACATGGCTCTCTATAAACCCTGTAGCGTCAGAGTCTGGCCAGAGCCCTCTATATGTAAGAATTTTTGCCGAAAGCTTTCTTTACTGCATTGATCTAGACAATTTATGTGCTGTAGGTATTAAGCGCTTGGCTGGTGCTTACGCCGTATAGGTTCATAAGATCTACCAAATAGAACCCCATGTATATTCCCCGACTGTCGGTCAAACTTCTGGAACGCCGAGTGGAGTTGATAATCGTGTAAGATTACGTACAGTAGGTAACCCCGTCTGTCTATAGTGTCTACATATAATGTGCGTCCAAAGACCGAAAATTCTGGTCGCTCTTAACTGTCTTCGCATCATTTGAAAATTCAGATATGAAGTACGGTAATACCACCAGTAAGTAGATGTGCCACAGGTCCAGGTAAGGAAGTCTATTGCGCTTGAATCCTAAGTGCATCGCGAATAATGAAATGAGTTCGAAATATCCCCTCTTCCTTCTCATCACCTACCTACGTATATTCAACTCTCAGGGCCAAACCAAGAAGCCGAGAAATATCGTCTAATTTATTACATCCATTTTTGCCCACGGATTTTTAAGCTTCTTCGCCATTCCTAGACGATGAAACGAGAGACGGAATCCTTCTAGATATTCAAGCACAAACGGAGAAATTTTAAAACTTAAAGGAGACACGAAGTGACGAGAGGCAAGAAAGACAGAAAAGCAGAAGTGGAGAAAAGGGAGATACAACGATGACCTGCTATACATATACTACAACTTTGAGGAACTCCAGCAAAGTTCACTTTTCAGCGCACAATGTCAGTCTTGGGGATGCAGGTGGAGGTAGGGGACTTGAGATGCACAACAGTTCAAGCAAGGGATGCGCATTTTTAAATGAGAGAAAGTCTATCTTCTCTTCTCCTCTTTCCTTCCACTATTATTCTATTCTTCCACAAACGGCTTCTCCCTCCAATAAGGAATCAATAGAAACGTTGATATGCGAATCGTCGCGTCCCAATGCGACAGCCACGCTCAGGAATGTGGTTCCTGCCCCGAGCGAGAATGCCATCATGACAACACGCGCGCGCAACATCTCAAGAATCCAATCAATAGTTTGAGTGAGACTCTTTTTTCCAGCCTTCTATTTTCCTATCTCGTGTGGTGTTTCTTCAATTCCAGTCCCCAGCTCTCTGGGAGGGTTTTTTTTGCTATCCCAGGTCAATGATAACAACGAAACTCGGCACACGGTAGGTATATGACGATCTGCTCATCCTCAGCTGGACATACATTCGTACTTCGAATCTCTCATCGCCCACCAAATATTCTCGTTCGAATTGCCCTGGTGGCGAGATAGCAAAGCTCGAGCATCGGCATTTGTAATAAAAGAGACGGAAAGCGAGGTCTGTCTGAGAGGAGAACAAGTACAATCATCTCTCAGCCCAACAAATACTCCTTGGGACTTCAATCAAGCAGCCAAGTCAATCTCAATCGCAACATGGGCTCCCATCGCTATCCAGTTTTGGGACCCTCGATCCCAACGAGCGCAGCAAAAGCCTCAACAACAATACGGATATTGAAACCGGGCATCGTGATGGGAGCCGTGGTGCTGCTGATAATCGCTTCGGTGTCTGGCATGTTTATCGGGATTGGGATATTGGGAGGGAGACATGTTATAGGGGTAAAGATTGCCCACGGATTTGTGGTAATTGCTGTGAGTTTGCCGTGAAAATGTTTGATTAATGCGAGCTAATCTGGGGTGGCAGTCAAGTCTCGGTATTGTATACGTGCTGCTTCATTTCATAGCAGCATGCCGCAACGAGCCTGTAGGGATTGTGAGGCCGCCGCAGCTGAAACTTCATGCTGCGTGCTTTATTATCGCCAAACTTGGGTTGGCGCTATGGGTCATGGCCATGATCGCTTCCAGTGCTGTGGCGTCGAGACCGAATGTCTGCAGGAATGGTGGAAGGGATTGTAAAACGATGTTGATCGAGGTGGTGATGTCCAGTTTGGCATTGTGAGTCCTCACTCTAGTAATTGCTAGGATATGGCACTGATGATTGTAGCATCGCAACAGGAACTATCCTGGCAGCACTCGAAGCATGTCCATATCCATTCCAACCACTAGAAGTCTTCCACGTCGCGAGAAAGGTTTCTGTTCGACTTAGCTCGTTCGACAAGGACTTTATAGAACGCAGCGCCTCAGATGTCTCTTCTTTCGGTCAAGAGAATGCTTATGCGACGGAGAAGAAAGACCCAACTAGAGTCAAAGAGAGCATCAGACGAAAGCCGCTGCCGATCACACCATCAGTGGGATCAGAGATGTCTGATATATCCGAACTTCAGCGACCTATCACTCCCCTCTTACCCATGCGAGGAATGAGGAGGACGAAAAGCTGGGGTCAGGAGTGGGCCCACCTTGTCAAAGATACTAGTAGCAAAGGCTTGACACATTCTGATTCTGCGGTCTCGGGACTATCAACATCATCGTCTGGTTACATGAGTTCTGACAGTTCAGAGCTTTCAGTTTCCAAGCGTGAGAGGCAGCCAAAAGCCGTGACTCCAAGCAGTAGCATCAGTAATCTCTCCAAGAGATCGCCGCTAGCCACCATGAGGTAAATCCCAATATTCAAATCGTTATCACGCTTTGCTGACGTGTTGAATTCAGATCCGCAGACTATCCCGATGTCGTAGTCCGTCCGTCCTTGCGATACTGCCCACCGAATATTCCAGGGCCACACGAATGGAGCCCATTGCGGACAGCGTCTTTGGGTCAACTACTCCCAGTGGCTGATGTGCACTCGCTACAGCGAAGATCGATGTCAATGGGAGGGCAGCAACTTCAGATGATTCGCGGACGTAGTGGGACTTTGCCAACATTTGCACATCAACAACAGAGGCCTCCATTGACTGCCCGACGATCGTGCGATATCAAGGTTCCCGGGGCATATATCGACTTCTGTCTGTGTCTTGAGCTCGAACAAAAGTTGGAACACGTGAATAAGATTGAAGTCATGTCGCTTGCGCAGAGCGAGAGAGACCCTGTGAAGCGGAAGCCAGAGGAAGTCAAAGTAATGAATTCCAAGTTGACATATGGAGAGAAGAGATCCGTTGTTCCCTTTCCTCAGACAAGGATAGGGCAGGATATCTCCCGACCGCATGCCGCCAAGGTAAGTACAGGAAAAGAAAACCTTGCGAGGGATGAACGCTTCAAACGACTGAGTTTGGGCGCCATGACAACTGAATTTGACAACAAGATGTTCGATGGATGTGTATTAGGTTGAAAGGTCTGCAACGAAGTCTGTAAATCATTAATCAATTCAAGACAGAAGGTTCTTGGATCAACGATCAGGAGTGCGGAGGCTTCTCCACAATTCTGTCTCAAAAGCGGTATTTGACCATTTCCAGCCACTTGGGAGGCATTAGATGCCGACGCAGCCATACCTCGAACAGGTCCAAGGATGGATGTATGGTCCCGTTTGGGCATGATGAAGGTATCTCGGCGTCATCGTTCCACCAATTGAATAAGCCATTGTTGAACCCTTTGACTGTGATGTGACGTGAGTTTATGCAAGTTGATGCTTTTGGCCGCCTGTCTGGAATTATTTGAGCGGCTGGCGCGGGGTACTGCTGCATGTACATCAGAGGCAAGAACGTGAGCGTGGCTCCACAGTCTACGACCGAGGACGTGGTTGTGCTCGACGTGCAGTTGTATAAGAAGGGAAGAGAAGTGCAGAGAAGGGCAGAGAAGTGTCGAGAATTATGTGCAAAGTATCCTTTCGAGAAAAAGGATGTGTTTCCTTGTAGGAAAGAAAAGCAGCAGTACTGAAAAAGATATAAAAATCGAGAAACTTGCATCATTGGTGGCTAAAGCCTACTGTAACGACCTTAGGCTTAGGTAAGAAATGACGATGGTCGTCGGCGTCGGCACATGACAGAAACATCACATTCATCACTTGTACCGGCTCAGCTGCACAAACAGAAAGACACCACTACCACCACCGAACACGAGATAAGAGCTGACTGACCACCTCTTATTTGACGCCAGCCATACCAAACCGTACATATCATTCTCAGCTCAACCCAGAAGAGGCACACAATCTACACGTCCTCAAATTCTACATGCCAGTCTCCAGGACAACATACAAATAACCCCACACAGACACGAATCCCAGCTCTGCCAACTTTCGACCTTCTTGCTACCAAGCACCAACATCCCCCATTGATGTGCGACAACATGGCTTCCGAAGTAGCAACACAAATTCGTTCTCACTCCCCTCCCAGCCCCTCATCCGTGCGACCAAAGGGTATGTAAAAACAACCCGGCTTCATCAAGCCGAACAATAGCTAACCCACTTGTCGCAGGAATTCTCAAGAACTCCTACCACCGTTCTCCTCCCCGCCAAACCCCGATCTCAACCTCACCTCCCCCAGTCGCCGCACCCATCCGCCCTGATCTAGGCCGCGAGCTCTCCGAAAAAGACATCACACTGCAAAACACCCTTTCAAATGCCGGACATCGCCGTTCCTCTTCCGGCGCACGGCCCACCGGATCGCGCCGCCAGTCAAGTCACTCGACCGATCCAAACGACGAAAACAACATGCGTTTGAAATGGGACGAGGCGAATCTGTATCTGACTGAGCAGGAGAAGAACTCTACGATGAAGATTGATGAGCCCAAGACGCCGTATGCGAAGCATTATGATCCCACGGAAGATGAGGATGAGTTGCGGACATTGGACGCTCAGGATATCATTGTTGATGAACTAGACCTCAAGAGCCCTTCGAAGGTATCGCGCAGTACGAAAGAGGATGAGATTCCAGGCTTGAGTCTGGGCGAGCCCGAAGAGGCGGTTCCAGAGGGTGAGGAGCATAGAGAGAAGGCTGTGCATGTCGCAGGCGAAGAACATGTTGGGTTGAGTCAGGAGGAGCAGGAGAAGCATCGCAAGTTTGAAGAACTGCGAAAGAAGCATTATGAGATGAAGAATGTAGCAAGTCTACTAGGACACCCAGATGCGGTAGATGGGGAAGTAGATGGGGAAGAGGATGAGGATGAGGAGATGAACGGTACGAAATAGATGGTGTTGGACATGGATCAGGTGTATTGTGGCGTTTACTTGACTTTTCCCCGATATTTATTATGAATGGAATGCAGAGATGGACTTATGGCTTAGGAAAACGGCTTCGAGCTTGTATCATGATATTGCTTTCTTGCTTGCTTCTTCTCGTGGAGGTATTTGATCTACCTGCTGGTATGATACCAATTCGAAGTCTTCATTAGCTAGATATCGAGCTTCTTTCTAGTCAGAGATGTCGATTAGAAGCAATCGAATATATGAATATAAGCAGCGAGATGCGAGAGGAAATCGTGGCTGTTGTCATCGGATCATAGACAGGTATCTGAACGCCATCTTGTAATGGGGTGGGTTTTAGTTAGACTTTAGCATGGACAAACTCCGGATATATACATCCGTATACAAGTACCTTATACAATCCAAGTTTTCAAATCCTGCCCACACCTGTTCAGATCAAGGAACAACAAACCACGGCCGTCAACCACTTCCATTTCCACTTCCACTTCCTCCCAGCTTATGTTTATCAATGAGCTTAAACCCACCCCCTTCTCCTTCTCCTCCTCCTACACCTTCTCCTTCTCACCTCCCATCCCCCTTAACCTTCTCCTCCCTCCAAAAAAAGACTTCAATCCTCATCTGCACCCTACCCTCTTGATCTCAGACCTCCTCCTTCCCCTCCTCCTCTACTACACTCTCTCCCGGCACACATCCATCTCCCTGGCCATCAGCCTCGGAGTATCCTGCGCCTCGCTCGGCTCTGCGAATTCGTCGAGCTACCCCTCCGAGCTACCGCCTCATCTCTCAGCCCGAAAAATACTCCCCCCTAGGCTCCCCACACTCGCCATCCCCATTCGCACGTCTAGATTTCTTCTTCTGCTGGTACGCGCTCGCCACAATCGACGGCATCGTTCCCTACGTCCTGGCCACGAGTCTGGACGAGCCCGTGCCCTGGCTCTTCCTCTACACGCCCGGTCTCCTCGTCGGCTTCGCGGCGCTCACGGGCGTTGAGGGCGCAGTTGAGGGGGCGGTGGGAGGGCAGTCCGGTGTTTAGGAGAGTGCTGTGGGAGGTTAATGTAGGGTGGGTGGTTGGGGGTGGGGTTTTCTGCGCGGCGCTGGCGGGGATTGTGTGGGGTGTGGAGTTTGATGTTGCGTATGGGGCTTCTTCTGGGCTATTCTTTGGGTGTGTTGCGAGTTGGGCGTTAGGGACGTGGGTTTGGGTTAGGAGGGGGCTGGTGAGGGAACGGGTGTGTTTTGCGAGAACGGGGAGTGGGTTAGACGTAGAGTGAGGTTTGGAGGGTGATGTTGTGTGATTAGGCGCTTTTCACTGTTATGTTTACTATGTGTCGACTTGGATATATTGAACAAATGTTATTTCATATATCGAACGAGAGACTTGGGGAAGACTTGTCAAAAGTACCTTAGCCATGTAGTGGTTGAAATTGTTAGTCCGCGCTAAAGCCACTCGGACGGGCCCCTTTCCCCGCATTTAGCGAGATCTGGTGGCTTTGATATGAGAGGAGATGATAAGATGATAAGGTGATAAGGATAAGATTATAAGTAAGGTATGGAGGAGTGCGTGTGCGTGCCTATTGATAAGCTCTTTCACAAGTTACAGTATGGACTGCGAGCACGAGCATAAACTCCATCAACCGAGGCCGAGGTATGGGGTATTACTCCGAGCAAGGCCAGGTAATCACAAAAGGGGGAAGGGTTAGCTGCAGCACAAGATGTGAAACGAAAACAACCTGCAAGCAAACGCCCCCTGCATCCAATCATTAGCTTTCCCCTCTTTTCCCCTGTTGATCTCTTCCCTTTGATTGGGGGTTCGCTAATTAGCCGAGAATTGCTGCAAGTCTCGGCAAAGTCGTTTTGATCCGTTCGAGAAGGAGCAAACACTTGATCCTTTATAATGTACGCTTCCTCCAGTTTTCACACTGATATCGATCTTTTTGCGTCGTAATCCAGCTATCTTGCGCTGCCACGTTCTTTCTTGCTTTATTCGTTCATTCTTTAGATTCTTTGATTCCTGCTGGCCACCAACGATCCATCTACGTTCATGATTTTACATTCCTTCAACCTCTAACCAACTTCATCCGTTCCTCTTTTCTCTTCAAGATGAAATCATTATCTTTGTTTATTATCTTCTCTTCTTCAGTCTTGGCTAGTCCATTCTCTCACAAGCACCTTCACAAGCGATACGACAACGACCACAATGATATCCCAGATTGGTGCTACACAAATGGAGACATCGTCTCCTGCCTCTTATCCGAGACTTCCAGCTATGCCTGGACAACCTTCACTGCCAGCACATCTACGCATGCCGTCTCGACTCCTGCTTCCACCTCTGTTGCGGTCACTTCAGCTGTACCCGTCACCAAGATAGCAGCAGCTACATCCTCGTCCGCGTCTTCATATCCGACAGGTACCCTCCCAGATATTAAGACCTGGAATTCAGACAATGGGACTAAATGGCATATCTCAACCGTTGGCTCTATCTATAGCAGTACAGTGCCGAGTATGGGTTGGGATAATGGCCGAACCTCTGTACTCAATAATACGCCATTTTGGATTTTCGGCGACGTGCTCTCTCTTAAAGGCTTGGAAAATGGCCTGTCCACAGGTCCTGCTTGTAAGTTATCATATGCCCTTAGATCTGATGGTTACTTGCGTTGCTTCTCAGAGATATCCACTCCCTCGTGATATACACCCAAAGCTTTCTCCAAAGAAAGATAGCTTCTATCCCACCACCCTTCATGGCTATCGTCCTTTCATTCCTCCCCATCCATTTACTAACGTACTGCCCGGCTCAGTCTACGGCACTCCAGATAATATTCTCCGCGTCGACATGGGAAGCATAAGCAACGTTGAAAACGTCCTCCTAGCTCCTCCCGTAGCCGCCGATCCCGTCCCCGAAGAACCATTTCCTTTCTGGGGCCTCAGCACGGGCAACGTAGCTGAAGTGTCCCCTGGCATCGGCATCGGCTTTGTGTGGGAAATATGGCGCAACACCTCAGGTGTAGGCCCAGACCGAGGACTGGGCATTTACCGTGCAACACTAGGCTCGGAACTCCCTGTCGGAAACCGCACTGGTGGTTTGGTTGCGGGTCCCGATGCCTTGCCTGTGGGAATCATGACCGTGATGAACGCCGAGGGATACATCTACGCCTATACCAATAAAAACGGTTCCGGGATTATCGTCGGCAGGGCACCTGTTGATAATGCATTTGAGGCGGATGCTTATGAATTCCTCACCCTGAAAGGCAATTGGGTGCAAGGGATTCCAAGCTATGCTGACGCCAAGTCGACCTATGGGCTTCTGGGAGAGGGCGATGGGGGCGTGGTGCCTATTAGTTACGGGCAGGGGAGTATTATGTGGAGCAATTACTTCGAGCGGTATCTGCTGTTTACGGGCTCGTTTGGGAGTTCAATGATGTTTTATGCGAGTGCGACGCCGTATGGACCTTTTGATGGACCGGTATGTACTCTTTACCTAACCTCCTTTTACTCCCTTTCTACTTATGATTCCAAGTACTCTAGAGGAATTTTAGCTGACATTATTTCGATGCGTAGTATTACATTGAAACGGTACTAGGCTACGGTGTAAACGTCCACCCGTTCTGGAGCCCCGATGGAAGTCATCAGACTTTGTATGTGAGTAGTGGATGGAACAATGTAATCAACATGTATAAATTAGACTTCGATTACTAGGAAAAGGGGGCAATACATACGGTTGTTCAACAAATAACACCTCCACCCCTCCCTATATTATGAATCTCTGCTTTCTGATCTATCACTTCGAAATTCCAAAGTCTAGTATGCGCTCCAAGTGATCACTTGCAAACTTCAAAGTTCCTTGAAAATACCCCTAGCCTGCCTCCGCTCGATGGATCAATCAATGCAAGCCAGCGCAGAGAATAATACACCGATATAAGCCAGCTATTCAATTTCTGAATTCCCATTTCACCTTTACAAGTCCGTCCACCTCTTTGCCTCTTCCCACCGCCAAAAATTCACCCACCCGGCCTCTCTCTTATCGCACCTAATATCAAAGAAAAAGCAATCATAATCAATCTCCAAACCTCCAACTTGAAACATCTATTTCCATCTTCCATCTTCCATTTCAACCTCCCCAAACCTCTCTACACACTCCACAACACAAAGTCAACGACAATGGCGCGCGACTGTAAGCTCTCTTTTACCTCCACCTCTTCCAATCTCTATCTCAATCTCTCTCCATAACGCTAGCTAATATGATATGTATATGTGCAAAAAAACAGCAACCGAAAAAACCAACGCAGCACATTCACCTTCACGGACGAGAGCCAGAGATCAGGATAAGGATAAGGAGTTCCCGTTTGAGGATCTTGATAATAGTATAGAGGGCCAGGAGAAGATGGCGCGGGTGTGGAAGGATGTGTTTGTGTTGGGGAAGGGGGAGAAGAAGGGGAAGAAGGAGAAGGAGAAGCACGAGAGTGCTGGTGCTGGTGCGAAAGTGAATGGTGAGAGTGGGGCGCCGGGAAGTTTGGTGAGGGGGAATAAGAAGGAGCGGAAGGTGCATGGGTTTGCGAATGAGAGCAAGGAATTGTTGAATAGAAATGGTGAGATGAGCGACCACATTGGTACTCAAATCAATGGGCGTATTCCAGCCGACCACCCCAACGAACCGACCCAGACCGTGGATGGAGAGCTTCATCTCAGCAGAAAGGAGAGGAAAAAGGCTAAGAAGGCTCAAAAAGAGCGAGAGTTGCGGGAACAGAGAGAGCTGGGGGTTAGCCGAGCAAGGGACGTCGGTGCCGAGGACTCAATGATGAGTGTAGCTGTTGCGGATACGCAGAACAATCACCATATCAATACCGACAATCAGACTACAGGAAGTCATGGTCAAGACGTCAGCCATGAATCCCAAGGAGCGGGACGCAAAAAGCACAAGAGGAAGCGTGGGGAGCCTTTGCTTACTGCCAATGCTGATGATTCTATTCTTGGATACGGCGGGGATATTGAGGTTAACGAGGGCGGGAGGAAGAAAAAACGTAAGAAGAGCAAGGAGAAGAAGTCTATCCGAGAACTAAAGCCACGAGTTAAGAGCGCGGAGGAAGACAGAGCCGAAACGTTTGGCACTTCCCTCAAGAAAGAGAAGGCACATGAGGGCCATGAAGAAAATTCCGTTCGGGAGGAAACACCATCGCCAGCCGAGAAGAAGCGGACCCGTAGGGAAACAACTGTTGGTGTTCTAGACACGCCGATCATCAAAGGATTCAAGGACTACGCTCATAGTTACATGAAAGGGGAACGCCAAAAGCAGACACCAGCGGGTGAAACGAAGAATATTATTGCCGGAAAACACTCTCAAAAACCAGCACTCCTGCTTCACTCTGGTCTTGAGCATAATACAAACGTAGACGCTAGCGAAACGACCGCCTCTGCCTCCGAATCAGATGAGGAAAGCAATGGCAAAGCTGTCACTTCTTCCGCCGACGAGAGCTCGAAACAATCCCAGAGACAAAATCACAACTCCGCAGTCCCAGCACCCCTTCCCCGAACATCGTACACCTCATCCGAAGAAGACCTCGACGATCGTTCGGTTGAGCTAGAGAAGGCAAAAGAGAAGAGCTATCTGCTCCCAGCACATTCAATGGAAGCCGATATCATCAGACAAGAATACTACGCTTCGCGCAAAGAAGAACTTCGCAAGACCATTCTCCGCGCCAGGAGAACATCGACGGACAAGTCGGCTCCGGGTGTAGATGATGCAGGAATAGACAGTTCGGCGGACGAAGGACCACTTGCGCATACAATCAAAGCTCCGAGAGTCAAAGAATCCCCTATCCCACCCCCAACCCAGCGAAAGCAACTCGGTGGCCGATCTGCAACTTGCACGCCTATGCCGGTGCCTGAATACAAGAAGCTAGCTAAAGGACGCCGAGCAAGCATCGGTGAAACCGATTCTCTATCCAAATCCAAAGCCACAAATAGCAGTCTCCGTAAAAACTCCCTGGGTAAGATATCGCCAGCTATGTTTGGCAATCTGAGTCCGGAAAATACCAAGAATGGAAGAGATTCTAGCCGTCAAGTTATTACGTCCCCTGAAATCGCATTCGATGATAAATTCGTCATGGTGGAAGATCCAGCCTGGGAGACAGAACTAGGAAAAGTGCGCGCGCGCGTTAGTGGCGACGATGCGGAGGGTGAAGAGAGTAGGTTCCCATCCCATCCTACCTCGTCCTCCGTTCTCGATAGAGATATCCAAGCTAACGCCGTGTAGACATCGCATTCTCATCTACGTACATCATGGCGCACCCTGAAGGTATCCAGGTAGGTAATACGAGGTTTTCTCAACTCAACATCGCTGCTCAATCTTCATATTCATTTGTTGAGGATGTGAAAAGTAGAGCGAGGCACTGTACTTTTGCTGCTGGGAAGAGAGCCGCTGTCACGGTTGGGGTTCAGGGGGAGGCGTCGGGCAAGCGGTTTGAGATGAGGGCTGGTGGTATGTGAGTGGTGAAGCGGGGTATGAGGTGTGCGGTTCAGAATTTGAGGGTGGATGCGATGGTGCTTAATGTTTGGTCTGTTGAGGACTGAACTGAGTTGTGAAGAATTTGGGTCTTTGAGGGAGAGGGAAATGATGGGTAAGGAGGGAAGGGAGTGAAGTGTTGGTGATTGAAAAGGTAGAGGAGCTGTAGATTCAAAACAGGAGATCCACTACCAAGTTAGGATGATGTTTCATAGAAGAACATAAAAAATGACTCCCTGGATATTTATCAGGTTATAGCCAATCTTTGCCTCCTTTTCTACTGTCTCTTTTCTTGAAAACAATGCTGGACCAAAAATCCCACTCCACTTCCACTAAAAGAGTGTTGAGCGAGTACAGGTAGTCAACCGAGAAACTAGCCACTTACCCCTTCCCTCTAAAACAATACACTTCAAACTTCATCGCAAACAAAACATGGCCTTATACAACCTGCCAAAAACCAAGCTCATACTAGCTGTCGAACCCAGCATCCAGCCCCCTAAAACCTCACTCTACCATGAAGAAGGAACCTTCCCTTATTTAACAGAACGCCCTAGCACACTTCACTACACTTTCCCAACCACTCTGATTATTCTGCACTTTTATTCACTCTGCACAGCTGCGTGTGGGACCTCAAGCCTCCACAAGTATATAGCTGGCTCCTGCCGTGACACCTTCAACTCCACATCGCGAATCTCCCACACTACGTACAAGCCAAGTCGAACACCTCCACTATAGCAGAGCCCGAACTCAAGAGCAGAAGTTGTGTCGACTCAGAACAGCAATTATACATCCATCACGACCGTACTACAACACCTAGCCAACAACTCCGCCACCGTAGAGGAAGTAGTAGACGCCATCTCGCTCATCTTCCTAAACCGCCTATCCCCCATCCAATGCGCCAGTCTTCTCACATTCCTCCAAACCACAGCTCTCAGCCAAAACGCCGAGGTTATCGCCAAATGCGCGGCCAGAATGCGTGACGCTGGCTCGCAAGTCGACTGCCAACTGGTACAGCACGCTGTCAACTTGCGTACGTCGGAGAAGGCCAGAGGCTCGTATTGCGGCGGGTTGTGCACCGTGGAGGGAACGGGCGGTGATGGGTATTCCACCTTCAACTTATCTACCGCAGCGGCCATCATCGCATCAGCATACGTCTTCATCGCCAAGCACGGCGCGGGCGCGTCGTCTTCTAGCTCGGGCGCCGCAGATGTACTACGTGCTATCGGTGCTAGCTCTGCTGATAGACACCCACGCATTTCCCCAGTCCTCGAGAGCGTCACGCCGGTATCGTTGCCTGCGTTCTACGAGCATGGAAGCTTTGCCTTTCTGTTTTCACCCGTCTTCCATCCTGGTGTTAAGTGGGCGGCACCGGTACGTAAGGAGTTGGGATTCAAAACTATCTTCAATGTTCTTGGTCCGCTGGCGCATCCCTTGACCCCAATTATGGAGGCTAGAGTGGTGGGTGTTGCCCAGAAACAGCTGGGTCCTATTTATGCAGAAGCGTTGAAATTGTTGGGCGTGAAGAAAGCATTAGTCGTATGTGGCGCAGAGAGCTTGGACGAGATTAGCTGCGCAGGACGAACGTTCTGCTGGAGTCTCGTTGAAGATCCTCACTGGACCGTGGATGAAGAGGAAGGCGTTTCGGTTCGCGTCGAGGAATTTTCACTGACGCCGGCCGATTTTGGACTTCCAGTACACTCCCTGAGCGAAACCTCGCCCGGTAAAACGCCTTCGGAGAATGCGGCTGTGCTCGTAAAAATGATATTGGGCGAGCTCTCAGACGATGATCCAGTCCTTCATTTTGTTCTAATGCACGTAGCGGCGCTTTTTGTGTATGGCCGATGCAAGTCTGGGAGTTCCATTGTATGTTTGAAGGCTTGTAAGTTACGCACCCAGGTCAAGCCAGTTAGGCCGATGTAGATGGAGCGTTCATGCTCTGCGGGGAATATTGATAAAAGTGTTCTGTGTTATGACATAGTAAGTATAAGTACGTAGATCAGAAATCAATGCATATGCTGGCAAAGTGCACTTACAATGCCCCCGTATACATCCCCGTCCCGCCCAAGCCGCAAATAGCGCGTCCTACAATAAGGCCGTTGATATTCTGCGTGGCGCCGCAGAGAATAGACCCCACTTCGAAACTCAGAACGCAGGTGATGTAGAGAACCTTGGTATTGTACTGGCCATACACCTGTCCCCTATACCACAAATAAAATAAAATAAAATCAGGTACTGTATAGACACGAACGAATAATGAAACCTTTCAATCAGATCTTGGATTGCATAGATATGGAAGAAACGAGAATCCGCACGCACCAGAATAAAGTCGTACTCGCAGACAGCAGCAAGAAAGCAACAGAGATCCACGGCAACTTCTCAATGGCGTTGAACTCGCTGATAATAGCAGGTTGGATATCAGCAACGATCGTAGTATCCAGCCCGAAGAGAAACGTAGACGTGAGCACGGAGCTTATGACAAGAACCCAAATGAAGCCATGGATTTGGCGGCCTCCCCCTCCATCTTCCGCGTGCGAAATCGGAAGTCCTTCCACTGGCTTTGGCAGCGGTTGCGGTGGAGGCTCTGTAATTCCCTTGCTGGCGTTGGGTGTTTTGGTATTAGGAGGATCCATTTTGTGGGGATGTTTGTAATGTATGGTGAAGTTGAAGGGAATTGGATTGAATCTTTGGGCAAAGAAGGTAGATGCAGTGGTGAATGCTGCAAGCGAGCTAACCCTTTTTAACCGGTAGGGAGGTCTGCTCTGCATTCATGTCATATTCGGAACCAACCACTAGGTACCTAGGTACCTAATGCAGTGCTACAGCTTTAAGATGATGAAACATATCATACCTAGGCACCTACTCTGTGCCACTCCAATCCACTCTAAAATGAACTATTGTACCGGTAAGCCTTACCTACATTGCCTACCTAGCATGTTGCTTTCGTGATTTTTGCTGGGTTGCATTTGGTGCTTTGTAAAGTTCTCGCTCTAGAGGTGAGACTGGGTTTATGGGGTTGTTGTTACATATAATATCACCATTAAATGTGTGTTGGTTGGGTTGGACGGCGGTCGGCAACCTGATTGGGCAGCCATGCTCGTACTGTAGGTAACATGCAACCTACCGCAGGTGTCTCACTGCCGATACTGTGAGATGCGGGAGATCGTTGGTTCGAAAGGGGTGTCAATAACACGGACATCAAACATCAAACAACCAGTCAGGATTCAACGCGACCAACTGTGGCTGCTAGAATTCAAGGCGTATACTCGTAAAACGTCTGGCATGAACGAAGAATATCAGGTTACCAGAGTAAGATGTGGTGGATTGTGCAAAGTACGCTACCGAGGCTGGTCTAGATTTCTACATGACGCCTTTGCCCGAAATGCCTCTGCGCTTTTTCCTCTCCTTCATTAAAATGCTGTGGGTTGTTCTATTGGGAAATGGGTGCTTCAGCTGACGTCTGGTAATCGGACTGCGATGTCGCCGGATTGTGTGATGTAGCGGACCCAGGGGAGAGAGGGATATTGGAGCTGTGGGCATGTTATTTGCGGTTCTCATGTTTGTAGATAAGGCAAGATAGCGGGGTAGGCGACCGCTTCCAAAGAAAGGAGAGGGCATACCTTAGGCTCGATAATCTTCAAGTACCGTACTTGGATCCCACTCGTAGTGAAGTAAGGAATCTCAAACTTCACACTAATTGGTCTCTTCGCGCCCTTTCCACCAACACCACCCATACTACCTCCAAACCCACCAGTCATCCCACCACCGTGTTCATCATCACCCTTTACACTGGGCAGTCCCAGCTCAGCTCTCATCAAGAACTCCTTGTTCCCACCAAACTGCTTAATCTTCCACACAATCGCGCTCTTCTCGGGCGCATAATGTACACTCCCAATATTCGTCCTGAATCGTGGAGAATCCGCATCTTCAGGTACCGGAACCGTAATCTCGACATTGTTGGCCGTGCTCCGTCGCTTGAATTGCGATTTCGTTTTAAGCAGGTATTCGATTCTGCTGCCTGAATGCGATTCTACGATACATTCTACCCAGATCAAAGGCTTGACTTGGGTATTTAGGCGATACGACATCAGTTCGAATTCTCCATCTGGAGGGATGAAAGAGATGGTACGGTCGTTCTCGAATCGTGAGAGACGCACACATTGGTGGAATTTCACATCTTCCATTTCAATAGCCTTCCCTCTTGTTGCCCGACCTGTCGTCTCAAACATAACTTTGTCATTCAGACCCAGACGTAATTCGGGCATTCCTGATAAGTAACACTTCATTTTTACGGCGCCTAGAATTTCAGAGCGCAGAACATTGCCGGTGGATGAGACGAGGAGGTTGAGTGATTCCACAACATCGAGGAAGACTTCGTTCTTTCGGTATCTAATACCTTCTGACCGCCATGACACGGCATTCGTCACTGCTATAGGAGGCCGTGCTTGGATTTCCAGCTTGTGTGATTCTTGGGTGATGTATTCTTGTAGAATCTTTGATTCTGTCGTTTGGGGGTACCCAAAGTCCATCATCTCATCCAGGAGTTCGTAAATGACGACGAAGTTGTCGCGTATCGATTCTTCTTCGAGTTCTTTGAAATACTCGGTAAAGACTTCGACGATCTTGTGGAGGAAGAGGAGGATTTCAGCGGCATTTGTGTTGCGCTTCGTTAATGTGAGGAGATAAAGGTTGTTATGTCTGATGTAGAGGTACTGGTTGGAGGTTAGAACAGCCCCTTTCTCGTTGTCGGATTTGGCATACATTGATCCCCTCGTCAGAGAAACATGGTGGGACGGCGGAGCTTTCTTCTTCTGCTTCGCTCAATAGTATTGGGAACTTCTCAACTGCTGACATGGGAATGTCCCCTCGATAGTTCCGGGCCAAGAGGGTCTACCAAGGCTGGTTAGCAATGCGTACTGGTCATACTCGGCGAGAAGACGTACCTTGCCCTTCAGGTCGAGGAAGAAGAGAGCGGAGGCCATGCTGTCAGGGGGGATGGAAAGGTGGAAAAGGTGAGTGAGCCAGGACGGGCGGAGGAAGGGATTCGGATGATTTATGACATTCGTAAAGGCTAAAAGCAGAAAAGTAAATGCGCTCAAGAGGAGGAGGTTTTGAATTTGGTCGTCAACCCCACGTTCACATCAAACCTTCCAGATGTAAGCTTAATATTGCGGTGGCCTTGACGCTTTGCTGACTAAACGGACCTAGACCCGGACGCTAGTCAAAGGGCGCTAGTGAGAATATCAGAAAAAAGTCGGCTGCCATTTTCCTCTTCTTCTACCAACGCTCCCTTTTAGACAGTGCAACTCAATCACATAAGGCACAACCGGCCTGGCATTCTGTCAGTGCCTACCTTGCCTTCCCATTGATGAAGTTAGCGATTTCGCGGCGCGGAGACCGAACACATGAGGTACCATAAGAGCTGGCCGAGCATTGTTTGAAAGAACAACAGATTGCGCGGGCGGCGTCAGAGGGACCATACAAATATATGATGGGGGATGAGATGAGAATGAAGTTGTATTGCGTTACAGTCCCGAAGTACAAGCTGTTGAGATACTTGAAGTACTACAGACGGTGATGGCTGTGGCATCATTGGGCGAGCAAAGCTCCGGAGGGCTGCCTTCCAACTGAAACCCTTTCTAGAAGGCCATTTTCCACGAAGACTGACTCTATTGCCTCTTCTGGTATACCTTACCACATGGAAGAATAGCCTGTGTGTTGCTTATATACAACCCAATTCGAGGAATACCAATATCACATGCATTTTAGGTTTCTTGCATTCTTTCAATCCAACTCTATTCCGTACGTGATGGCTGATCGGCATCCTCGACTTTTCGCCGATGGCCCTGGCATGTGATCGCTCCCGGATTGACATCGCTCCGTCTCCTACTGGACTTCCTTCCCCTCAATCAACCTCATATACCTACCTACTCATCATTATGTGGCAATGACTTCAGAAAGGAAACTATTGTGATGATTTAGACAGAACGCCTTTGTATTATAATTATAGATTCACTAGTACTCTTCCTTCCCTCTTCGTCCATTCGGCTACAGTACAGTACCTGCCTGGCCTGGGCACTTTTATCTCCAATCAAGGCGCGGGTCGGCGCATACTGAGAAAGGCACAGGCTGACTGACTGACCGCCGCCGAAAGAGTTACTTACAATAGCAACTCTGCACCAAAAACTTATATGCCACAAATGCTCATAGCATCTTGTCGGGTACCTACTCGACGATAGCCTCATATACTGCAGACCCTGCGTGCATTTTAGTCCTTGTCGGGATCTGGGGCAAAAATGGAGCAGGCGCAGGATCACATGCTACCAGAACAGCCGCCCTCCTACTCTCAGTCTCACGATCCTCAATCGCTCGATTTCCCTTCCGTGCCCACAACAAATCCGCCATGTACCCACCATGATCGCACGCTCCCTCCTTTACCGTCTGTTCCCACAGAGCAACGATTTCGACCAGAGGAGCATCAATTTGTCTGGCCATCTTCAAACCCGTTGACCGCATATTACCAACCTGGGCCCTCACAGCTGTCTCCGAAGAACAGCTCGACTATTGGCATGGACTCGCCAAGTGGCATGGACCTTGATACTCCTGAAAGTCGAGGACGACGCGGTGGCAGCGTGCTTTCAATTGATGATCCTGATGTGCGGCTTGCCGCTGAAGCGCTGGGAGATCTCAGGGCCGGTACGTTCGCATGGGAATAATTTCAAACTCCAGCTAACATTTGATATCTAGATTTTATACAATCTCCTCCACAGCAACACACTTCTCTACCATCCTCTTCTCTTCGAAGCCCTCAAGCAAGAGGAGAACAACAAGAACCCCTCTTGTCACTTCTCACAACTTCACACCCGCTCATTGGAACCGCAATTGGAGGGTCCCTTTCCGCATATTCCGCATCTAAGAACTACAGTCCGCGGTTCAAGTCCAGTGCTGAATACGTCGAAAGAAGGTTTACACCCGTCGTCAATACCGTCGGCTCCGTTGGGCGCATAACCGGTGTCGAAGGAGGGGTACGGTGGTTTCTGGGCGAGAAAAGTCAATCGTTCGATATTGAAGATACCAGGGAAGGCTCAAACAAACGACGAAAAGTAGGCGCCAACGATCAAGAAACCGATTACAATGCCTCCCGGGATCCCCACCCGGTATACCAACAAGAATTGCAGCATCGGCAACGGAATCTAAGTCAGACAGATAGTTTGCCGGCCTACGACGAACACAGGAGTCCCAGCTACGAAGCCGCGCAGCAAGCTTTGGTTCCTACGCGACAGCAGGATGAGCCGCAAAGCCCAGGCAGTACCTGGCAATCGCGACTCGTTCTTTCAACCAGCGGCCTCAGCGTCGCAATGAGCGAAGAAAGTCTACGCAGTCTGAAATACTGCCTAGGCTGGCTGCGCTGGGCCAACGAACACATCGGTAAAGTAATCCTAGCATTGAAATCAGTGCTAGAAGAATACGATAGTTCAGCAAGATCAGAAAATTCTGGCAAGATTACGAATTCAGATGGGCAATTGGTAGTGCGGACAGATTCCGAGCGCTCGGCTTTAAACGCTAAAGTAGCGGCGTTGAAAAGTGATGTCTTGAAGACGCTGAAAGAAGTCGTTGATATTGTTTCGAGGTACGCTGGGGGTGCGTTGCCAGAAAATGCCAGGGTTTTGGTTAGGAGGCATCTTACTTCCTTGCCTCGGAGATTCAAATTAGCCAATTCAAGGCATGGAGATGCTGGCAACTCTCGGAATCTTGAGCAAGGGGACGCAGAGGTTGCAGATGGCGCAAATCGCGTTCTTGTCCTGGCGAAGGAGGGACTTGATATGATGGCGCAAGTATCTGGAGTCCTCGACGGCACGATTATCAGTGCTGAAGAATGGTGCGAGCGATTAGGAAGAAAGAAGAGGGAAGAAGCTGGAGATGCTGGAGATGCAGATGGAGGGATGACTCAACATGGAACGGAAAAACCGCCTACTGAACTGGCAAAAGTAAAAACCGATATGAACGGACAACTTGAGCATTTTTATCAAGACATCAAGATGAGATAATGTACGAAATGTTTCCTATGTCCTGTTCAAATATATTTGGAGTTTTGGATACACAGGACCGGGTAGGACGAGGCGTTTGGAGGCTCGGTGGGTGAGATATATATACCACATACTAAAGTTTTCCTTGGAGTGCATAGGTTAGGACCAACCAGATGGGGAAAAAATTATTCTGGGTTCACGAGTTGTGTGACTGTTCTTCATTTATCTCTCTGTTCGTGGTGCTTTCCCCTCATCGTCTCATGCGCGACTGATTAATTCTGCACTCTTCTCCGACCTCCCCCTCTCCCACCCCTTTCGCTCTCTACAGTATCTACATCCACTCATTCCCTAGGTACCTAATCTATTTGTATTTCTATTCCTACACCCTACACCCTACACCCTACACATAAAAGTCCAGTAAGCTTCACTCACGAATATTTACATCATGTACTCCGCACACTACAAATCTTCTGCTTCCTTTATTCCTAACATCATTTATTCATGCATGGCTCTCATTCATTCATTAGTATGAGGAAGAGAGAGAGAGAGAGAAAACGCTATGAATATAATTTATGAATGAATGATGGGTTGGGCTTTATTGTAGGTTGGAGCAAAGAAGAGGAAAGAGAAGAGGGAGAACAAAATGTTATGGAAGCAAGGAACCCTCTACGGTATATCCACCTGCGAGCGAGCGTTGGTGCTGTGGTGTGTAATGGGCTGTTGTGGTGGTAGAGAAGATTAGGTTTGGGAGCGTTGGAGTTACAAGGATAAAAGGTGCTGTGGGTGGTGGGGGAGGGGCGAGAAGTGGTTACTTGAGTGTTTTGAGGATAGGGAGAAGAAGAGGAGGGATGATGGTGTGGTGATCTGATTGGACGTTGTGACCAGTTACATGGAGTAGTAGGTTACACTGCATTGATACTGCAACAGCACGGAACAAATCTCACTCCCCGTTCTTTCACTCTATGTTTGACCATCCTTCCAATCAGCAGAATTGGATTTCATGAATCTTCCCTGACGATTCTCTGCAGACCGGGAGATTACCACAGACTACTTGAATAGGTCCTTGTCTGTCTTGGACATTCGATCCCAGGGGTATATAAATTTCTACCCTGTCGACGCTTTCGAAATCTCTCACCACCCCACACTGCTTTTTCCCCGCTCCCCTTCTGCAACCAAAAGCTTCACATCTTCACCACCCCACACAACTTACTCCATCCACTCACAAACGATGAAGATCTCACGCATCGTTGCTACCGCTCTTGCCACCACCACCACCTTGGTAACCGCCGGTCCTGCAGCCTACGGACTCTGCCAGGCCGGCTGCGCAGGCCTCGTCGGGGCGTGCTACTCAGCTGCTGGCTTCACCTTCGGAACGGTTGTAGCGGCGGCAACCACTCCGGCTGTCATCTTGGCATGTAACTCGGCATTTGGAACTTGCTGTGCAACATGTAGTGCGGCTCTGCTTCTTCCAACATCGTGATCAGCTGCATAGCGGGTCTGGAAGGCTCTCGCACTTTTGTTGGCGCCTCTTCGCTGGTTTGGCTGGATATGCTGGGAAAGGAGGATTAAGGATGATTGCGGGAGGGACTTTCAAGTACCAATCTCAAATGCTACGATCCAACATCTGATTACTTGGAGTGAGAAATACGCTGAACTCTTAAACCCCTTCCCAATTAATTTCAACACTTCTGCTCTCCATTCCAATTCCCCTTTTAATCGCCTCTTCCAAAATCCCTCCCGTGCTCGTCGTGCCTACTCTGCTAACACCCAACGCTCTCATCCTCAGCAAATCATCCAGCGTTCTCACACCGCCCGTAGCCTTGATCTTCACATCCGGCCCAACATGTTTCCTCATCAACTCCAAGTGCGAAATCGTCGCTCCCTTACATTCATAATCTCCAGAAGGGAGTTTCGTGAAATCATAGCCCGTTGAAGTCTCGACGTAAGCAACGTCAACTTCAGTGCAAATCTGGCAGAGCTTGATAACCTCGTCTTCCGTAAGATCTACAATACCATTAACTAACACGGATCTTTCATCAAGAATTGCACTCACACTCATTCTCAAAAATGACTTTCAGAATAGCGCCACCTTCTACCACCGCCTCGTTCACTCGAAAAATTTCGTGTTTGACGAATTCCCATTTGCCTGAACGCGCTCTAGAGTGTTTCATTAGCTTTATCTTTTCCTGTATCAGAGGTCTAATTTACAAGGGCAGAGGGATGAAGGGAAGGAAGAAACAAACCGCCCAATGTTAATCACAAAATCAACTTCCTTCCCACCCTCATACACCGCCCTCTTCGTTTCGAACAACTTGACCTCCGTCGTCGAACCCCCATGCGGGAAGCCGATCGCCGGACATACAAGGACGCCTGTTCCAGCCAGATGTTTCTTTGCGTAGAGAATGTGGTATGGCTTTACGCATGCTTTTCACATATATATATATTATTAGTACGTACATTTATCCGTATTCTATTGATATTTGAGTCGAAGGGCCAGCGACGAGTTGGGAAATGAATAAAGTGGCAAGAATGGGATGAGAAAGCTAGGGAAAGTACTAGTTGCGACGTTGTATTTCTTGCATATCTCTAGACCGGCTAATACCTCATCGTCTGTCATTATTGGGTCCAGGAGCAAGTGGTCTATCATTTTTGCGATCGAGGGGAGAGAGACGTTGATGGTTGTTGGTCTGGCTGCCATACTTGTCTTTTGTGTTGTGATAAAGGTTTTAAATAGGGGCTAGTCTGGGGGAGTGGAAAGAAGCTTCGCATAAAGAATACTTTGAATATTGAGTGGCTGAAGCTGTTAAGGTATACAGCGCTGGATTTTTAAGGTCAAATGCTGTGATGCGCTAGTGATATTGAGCAGCCATTTATTATGTAGCCGAAGGGAGGATGTATTCCGATCCTGAGCAAGGAAATAAATTCCAGTAAAGGGGACATCAATCTTTCTCACTTATCCAAAGAGTTTCATTCTACTTTCCTTTCCAGAACTCTCTTTTCAGAAGCACAGTAGCTGTTCAGCCCCCGCATTTCCCCGGTTCCGCCATTTTTCTGTAGGGGTGAACACGAACGACAGTGAGCATAAACGAGGATTTATAGCTGTAGGGATGATCTAAGCACAGTTTTGTTTTTAGCATTGGCGTTCAATTGGCTAACAATTAAATGTTAGAATTAAGCCCTAATGTAACCCTTTGTGAAGGATTTCCGAGGTAGGATTCATGTCCTACAGTTGGCGGTTGGTATAAAAAGAGTTGTGCCATTTTTGTAACCACCTTCTTCTAAGAGGGTTGGCGGTAATACTAAAATTCAGAATCAATCAGAAATCATTCTACAATTAATGTTTACAAAACAAACTTTCAAGCAATCATCAGAACTCCACGACTTTTCCCCCACACACATGGTGCGCGATACGCTAAGCCTGATCCGATGTTTCAGACCCCGCCACGCTGGGAATAGGGGCTGCACTAAAGAGGGCATGCCTTATTCATAGTCAGCGAAAAGGCCCCGATTAAGTAAGAGGAACCGAAATCCCAAATCCCAAATCCTCAACCCGTTTCAAGTCACCTTACCAAATGATGTCCATCTCACGCAAATCCAAAACTTTTCCAAGCCGCCAAGTGTGGATGAAAATGGGGCGCTTGTGTCAGGTTTGTATCTAGAAGGTTTGAGCCACATATTATCTTCAACCAAAGATATATTTCTTTGTCATTGGGTGCCTTGAAATAGGTTATGATCAAAGATCTACATAGGGCTTGCAGTCAAGTACTTAAGCGTGACACGGAGACCGAACCCTCTTTGTCCTCAAAACTCCCCCGCCTTGCTTTCCTTCAACACGACAAAAATGGACTTCTATCCGACAAACTTCGCGGCTTTTGCTCTGATTAACGTTCTTTTAGCATATCGAGAATACAAACAAGAGGCAGCGATTGAGCCAGAGAAAGGGGCTCGGGAAAAAGTCCAGAATAATGATTATCAGGACTTACTGAGGGCATTTAAATGGCGATTTCTTCCTATCTACTTGCTCGTAAATGGTTCCGACTGGCTTCAGGTATGCTCATTCTTCCACATACTAAAAGACCTTCTCTAACTAATCAAGGGACCATACATTTATCCATTATACAAAGGTTAGAAATACAATCAGTTTCACACTTGGCGTTCATCAGCGTCAAAGGGTACGGCTCCAATATCTCGAAACCAAACTAACCATACACACAGATGAGAAAGGACTCGCTGAAGAAGTCGTCGCAGCACTATTCATGACCGGCTTTCTCGCCGGCGCAGTATCCGCTTCCTTTACCGGTAAACTCGCCGATAGATATGGCCGCCGCGCAGCCTGTCTCGCCTTCTGCGTCATCTATTCCCTCTCATGCTTCACTCTTCTCACCAACGATCTCGCCATCTTGTTCTTAGGCAGGGTACTAGGAGGCGTGAGTACGACGCTCATGTATAGCGTGTTTGAAAGCTGGATGGTGACAGAGTTCAACTCTTCATTTCCCGATGCGCCGGGCTCTATCCTCAGTGGTATTTTCAGTACGATGACTACACTTAACACTGTGGTTGCGATACTGGCGGGTATTTTTGCAGAGTGGGTTACAGATTTGACGGGGACTGAGAAAGCGCCATTCATGACTGCTGCTGGGTGCTTGATGGTTGCTTTCTTTGCTATCTCTAGGAACTGGGTACGTTTTATTCAATTATAGGTACAGGAATCTGTGCTAACTAGATATAGGGTGAAAATTATGGCGAAAATGGACCTAGCAAAAAGTCTATATTGGATGTGGAAGGAAATGGCATTGAAGCGCCAGCGAAAAGCACACTTCGACTGTTCCTTGATGGTATGAACTCCTATGAACCCATATGCACTCCGCTAATAATAGACTAGACAAAAGACTACTTGCACTCGGCGTCACTTCATGTTTCTTTGAAGGATCGATGTAGTAAGTAATTGAAGATCCAACCCCCCCCCCCCTATCTGGGCACGTCTCAGGAATCTGCGGCTTGTCTCTCCCCGGAGACATGAATCATCGCAGAACTCCCCAAACTCCGTGAAAAAAACAATAGTAGCAAAACTAACCGCACTTTCCTAATAGCATTTTCATCTTCTTCAAGTTCCCCGCTCTAAAACTATCTCACAAGCTCGCCGGCCATCAGGACGACCTCCCCTTTGGCGTCATCTTCGCAGTGCTTATGTGCTCCATGATGACAGGCTCCATGATCTACAACTACATAATAACCAACCACACCACCATTACGCCGACCAAACTCCTCATCGCCACCCTCTCCATCGCAGCAGCGTCATTCTTCCTCCCTGTGCTTATCCGCGACGAAAGTGTTACGTTTTGGTGTTTCTGTATCTTTGAGGTTTGTTGCGGGGTTTATTTTCCGCTGATGGCTTATCAGAAGGGCAAGATTGTTGATGATAGTGTGAGGGCGAATGTGTATGGGTTGATGCGGGTTCCATTGAATTGCTTTGTGGTGCTCGTTTTGAGTACTACCAGGGAAGGTATGCATGTAGCTTAGACAACTTTCGGGAATCAACGCTAATAAACGATAGGAACTCAACATAGAGATCTAGTTTTCACATCCTGTAGCGCGTTATTACTTGCTGCTGTCGCGGTCAATAGCGCTTTGCTGTAGCTGCGGCTTTGAGAACATGTTTCGGTCGCTTCATGATACCAATGAAATTGTACTACTTTTAGGGGACCAGTCACAGATAGGAGTTAAGGCTATCTAGAATATCACAATACAAGTTTATATTATCTACTTAACGGGACATTCTATTGTTGCCTCGATAGAGCTATTCTTTGTTGTCTATATCTATTCGATCGCCGTTTGTCGGTAGCAAAGGATAATGGCATTGTCCTGTGTTCTTTGTTATCCGCTAAGTAGATGATAAGAACTCGACATGTCTGTTTCTATATCCAGTCTAATTAGACAGCTTTATACAACTACTTATTTAACAACTCTACAGTATCATGAGGTAAGTGTTTCTGTAATCCTTCACACAAATTCAAATTCATCAGCCCAACATGAATAGCGAGCTTACTCTTTTTTACAGCTGCGGCCACCAGACCTATGATCCAGAATATCATCCCGAGCGGGTAAGAATGCAAAGAACCTTGGACTCGTACTGCGATTCCTGCCAGAGAGACGAACATCGGGACGCAGTACAAGATTACTCCACTCAACTCGAAGAGTGTGGAGATGAGGAATGGGAGGTGCATAGGAGAGCCTTCACTACACTCATTAATGACATCGAGGCAGAAAACCCAACCTGGACATCTGAGGAAGTTGGGTTCGAGGCGGAGAGACAGGCAGTCGAAGCTTTTAAAGCCAAGCAACCGTGTGGCATCCCACAAATTGTCACAACACCACCTGATGAGTCCGCTGACTACCGGGGTCAAGACTACTCCCTGGAGTACGATTTTGATGGTAATCTGCATCCTCAATCCGCTTTCTCTATCTCTAATAACGATCTGGAAGAGCAACAGAACGTTGACCATGAGCCAGAGCCAGTGCCTATATTAGCTAGACTCATCACTAATTTTTTAGGTCTGAAAGAGCAACAGCCACAGAACGTTGATCAGAAGCCAGAGTCAGAGCCAGATGAATTCGATTTCGATTTGGAAGATTCCGAAGATTCCGAAGACGGCGGGGCGCAGATTATGCCTTTAGAAAACCACCATCGATCTTGGGATGAAGAACCGAGTTTAGGCTAGCATGATGAAATTTCAACTCATCAGGACTTGTGGCAATATATCAATCCTTCATTCAAATCTATATTTATTACAAGTGATATCTGAAATTAATGTGACTCAACTTTACATGACATAAACCAGGAGCGCGGCTGTTTTTTCCGGGCAAGTAAACAAGAAAAAAAAAGCTTCGTGTTATTAGAACTAACTAATTCCAGTTTAAAGCAATGATACAAATTTTTAAGACATAAAATCCAAGAGACAGAACAGAAATTGAAGCTTTCTAGCCTGTAGTGTGATGGAAAAAGTTCAAGTGACTGCCTGGTCTTTGTTCTTATTGTTCCTCGGGTCGCGACCCTTGTCTTCGAGATGTTCACTATAAACATGGGGCAAAAAACAATAAAGAAACAAAGGAGCAATAGTGAAAGCCGTCAGTTTAACAACAAAAGAGAACAATCCTTACAAGACAATACAATAGAACAACCCTGGTAATGTAAACATAATTAAGCCTTAACCCCCACCTCCACCAAGCCATCCCATTTCCTTTTTATATAACCAATACCACAATTACTTGACCAACACAAGACCGACACACAGAGGCCCCCTACATTCCTAAATAAAAATGTGTAAGTTCTACTACCTCCGCTACACCTGTGGCCACAGCACCCCCCATTACTACGACGCAACCCGCAAACTATACGTCAAACCCTGCGCCAGGGTCCGACGCCACAACACCTGCCGAATCGGCAGCAAGTACACAAACCTCGACCACGACTGCTGCGACTGCGAAGAGGCAGCGCGTCGCCGCATCCGCGACACACAGCGCGAAGCAGAGCGTATATGGAGCATGAGTGACGAGGAGTTGAACCAGTACCAGACGACCGAGCCATGGCTGGGAAAACCACGATTCCCGTATGTCATTCCAAGGATCGTTATACATAGAGCCCCTGATCTTGCGCCGGAGCCCGCGGTACGCGTCCGCAGGGGATTCCTGGCTGCACCGCCGAAAGCGTATTCGATCGCTCAGCGGCAGGGACAGCGCAAGGCGTGGGGTGGCAACTTTTATAGAGTTGTGGTGAACCTCGAGACGATCTTGTGTGTTATTGCGCCGGAATTCGTAAGCGCCGCGGTGGTGGCTGCTGTGGCAGAAGCGGAAGCAGAGGCCGAACGCTGTCTCCTTACTCGCGCCACCGCTTCGGTTGTCGAGGATAAGAGTGAGTCTTACCGTACTTGCGGAACCCCCTTGGCTCCTGAAGAGGAGAATGAGAGTATCTTGCTGTCGCTCGCTGCTAACGGGGAGTCTGACCAGGGAGAGAAAATGACGAGTTGGAGGCGTCGAGTACAGGCTCGCGTTTGGGGGAAGTTGAACCGCCTTTGGTATCTTTTCCATTAAGGCAAGAGATAGAGCTGATAAATAGATGGACGATAATTTACATTTAGTAACTTACTTAAATATCTTCAACAATAGACTAGATTATGAGACATTTTCTCCGATTCAAAAAATTGAGTGAATGAAAAGGACTGGATGTGAAAACATATTCTGTACTACCGAATATCCGCTTACCTTACTTACCTAGACAAAAAACCTGCGCGTACTCTTTAGAAGGCACAGATAATAGTTACTATGAAATATGTACTTGCCTTATGTATACACCTCACTCGTCAAGGCATTGAACTTTAGGCCCTCCTCCGCGAAATCCACCCCATCCATAAACAGCAAAGGCATCTCAACCAACGTACCCCTCACCCTGTCAAGCCAATCCTTCAATTCAGTAACCCCACCTGGAAATTCCTCCTTCACCACGTGACCATAGGCATATTTGGCCGGAAGGTCTTTATCGGTTTTGTCTTTCCCAGTAGGCGTAACGAAGAACTTGCCAAAGAACTCTTCATATTCCTTCCAATTTCTACAATTGTCTGCCGGTACGCAGTGAAATGCTTTATTAAACACCTCAGTATTCGCCGACGCGGTGCCGTTCCAGAGATTAGAGAATTCGTGGGAGAGAACATCGCGCACGAGGATATCGGCAGGAGAGTCCCAGTCATACTCATTGGAGTCTTTATCGATGGGCATGAAGTTTGCGTTCGGTCGTGACCAGTCTTGCCAAGGGAGAAGACCGAGATGCTTGCGGAAGAGCTGGCGTCTGAGTGAGGTGGCGTATCGCGAGGCTTGGTATGGCTCGCCGGCCATAAGCGACTCGACGGGTTCCGGGTCTTGGATTACAACGGCGATTTCTGAGTCATGGTAACCGAGTTGGCTGCGGTCGTTGAGGTTTGCGCTACCGCAGATGACGACTCTATCATCGGCGATGAGAACTTTGGAGTGGATATACAGCTCTGCTGAAGTGTTAGCGGATGTTTTGAAATGTGGGTATGGGAAGTATTTACCTTCACTGACAAAAGCATCAAACTCAGCCTCCTCGGTTCCGGCCCATGGGATGTCTTTAATCGAAGGTCCACCATCCATGTAGCATTCGCTGACACTGTCGTACCTACTGTCCTCTACTCGAGAGCCAGCTTCCTGATAGCGCTCATAGTTCCGATTTGGCTGACCATAAGTAGCACCAGTTCCCTCTCCCCTGCCCTCGTACCCCGCACCAACAATATCATCATGTTCTTTCCTAGCATCCTCAAAACTAACCCCACTCGCTTGTTCAACATTCGACATCGTGGCACTGGCATTGATTCTGTCATAGTTCCGCAAGTTGTAAAATCGGATGTACTGGCTTGCCTGGGGCACTCCAGCCTTTTCAATAGCTTCGATGATGCTGTGTCCACCCCGGCAAATGCTCTGGTACTGGAACTCCATGATAGCACGAGTGCCGAGACTGTCATTTGCATGCAAATCGCCGGCGAATGCTGGGACGGCAGGCATGCATACGATGACTTTGTACTTCTCGCCATTTTGGTAGGCGCGAACGATTCGTTCGACAAGAGCAGCGCCGATCTTGTTTTTTACTGGCTTTTGATGATCATCTGTGGCAGTGATGAAGAACTGGTTCTCGATGTATACAAAATGTTGACTGTCATGAATGACTTGGATGTATGCATTCGCAATGGAGTGCTGGATTGTTAGCTATGTTTATTTTCTATGGTAATTTTAATACTGACCTCGGTCGCGCAGCCATTACTCCACCTAGCACAGCTCCTCACCAGCTGAACAGACATTCCAGACTGCTGGGGTATTCCACGCTCCCCGGACCCTCCAAAGTGAGGCATGTTATCTCTGAGTCCACTCCGGATTGTATCAAATATACTCCCACTTCCTCCAGGAAGATGGAAATGCCGACGGGTATCCTCTTCAGGGCTAGGATTATCGTCGCGATCTTCCACGGCTTCAACACCCTGCACAGTCATTCCATCTTCGTTATAATACCCATCGGGTATTTGGCTAGTTTGGAGTGACAAAAGTTTATATTTCCCTTGCTGAGAAATATCATATTTCTCATTGAAAATGAAATTCCAGCGCTGCACAAAGTGAGCCCGGAGATCCTCGACGACAGGGCCCCGAAGACAAAGCGAGAGATCTGACCATCCCATTCTCGAGCTCTTGGTACGGTCGAGTTTGTTATCCATGTAATTTGTCACATCTTCGAAGTCGTAGACGCGAGCGTTGTTGTAGTCTTGACCTGGAAATAAGGCTTTGTTCACATCGGTAGGATGGGCGTCGGCCAGTGGGTGCGAGTTTGTGTCCCACCGGCCGAAGCATAAATCAAGGCCTCCCATGAAAGCCATCTGGCCATCGATAAGGCATAGTTTCTCATGATGAGCCCCTTTTTTGTTTAGCGATTAGCTCTAGGATTTTGTTGGCCGTCCCAAGCTAGTATTTTCAAAACGGATGGATGATTATGACTTGGGAGGAAGACTTACAGTAGAGAATAATATCATCATTAGCACCATATATCGCTTTCAACCCGTCAGAGGGAAGTTTCGCCAAATCAAACGTCTTGAGCGAGAAGTTCTTGATTCCAGAAATAATCTCTGACTCTAAAGCCTGACCACTAGATCACGGGGGAGTTAGGTATTTCCTCTTCAAGAGTGTTTTGAGAGCAGAGGAAGAGCAAGTTCTTGTTTTAGGAAGTGTGTAAGGAGTAGTTATAGTACATGTGAAGAAACATGATTGAAGGGGGTAGGGTAAAATCGAAGAGCCAGTGTTCCTTACCTCGGAGCATGATCCGGGTGTCGGAAAACCGCAATATTGGGATGGACTTCCAGAGCATGCTTAGTATGTTCCGAGCACACTTCATGTTCCATGTTCCATCAGCTCAAATATCCGCAAGACTCCGAGGAAGATCAACTTGTACGTTGATTCATTTACTCACATGTCAAAATGCTCGCGACTTCTTTATACACAATGATATTAACCTTGACCCCCCTCTCAGCAGCAGCAATCAGCATGCGATCAATCCTATAATCCTCATTCGCAGTCGGCGGTCTCCGCAAGTAAAGTTCTGCATTCCCGTCAGCTTTGCTCTCAAGTTTCAACCCCCATTCTCGGCAAGTAGATTGGTATACGGGTAGTACGTACCGGGACTCAACCACCAGTCCAAGATCCAGATACTTTCTCTCGCTTCTTCGATGGCTACGGATACCGCCCACATGTATCCGCATCCGTCAACGTACCACTTGGCGTCGTTGCCGGTTCTTGGAGGCGCAAAGCTGTGGAAGCGGTTGTTGCGGGCGTGGTGGTGGAGAGTGTGGCATTTTTCGCCTGTATATTGTTAGAAGGGGTGTAATTTGGTGAATGACACGAGGTGTAATACCTAGATGTGTGTGGGAATGCTTCTCGTCTTCGAAGACATCACTGATATCCTCGAATCCCTTCTTTACCCTAGAGGTGATATTATTCAAGAACGACATTCTGCTCTATGTACAGATCCAATGGTCATAAAGTATTGTAAGACACAATGGAATTTAAATATGTAAAGCAAGTGAGGTGACCAGAGCTGTGAATGGAAAGGCCCAAACAAGCTTGCGACGCTTCCATAGACTCCGTTTCTTGGCTGCAAGGTGCTTCCAGCCTTGCCAGCCAATCATTGAATGGATTGCCAGAAGCAGCTGGTGATTGGTCGAGGAGTCTTGGCAGTAGCAGTGAGCTGAACTTGAACCCCGCCACGAAATGTATCTTATAAGTCTAATTGTATAAGAATTTAGATTTTTAGGCATCAGGCAGTGTGATAAGGTCAGCTAAAAACGACAGGAGGCCCGGGGAGATGTAACGGAATATTATATAACTTCTGGCAATTTGATATCACGTGAGCACGCATCTGTCGAAAAGAGATCGTGGTTACTGGAGAGCCACTGAGCAATGAATGTAGTGGAGGGCATTCTTGTTGTGTATAAGACGTACCTTGAAATAAGAGTTAACCGTAAGTTTTAATTATAAGACAAAAATTCGCCCCAAAATTCGCCACCCGACCGACCACTACCATTTTCCGGGACTTCCGAAGTTCCCACCAAGCCCAACCCCGTATGACTCCAAATCCCAGACCAAAAAGAGCCCCTCTCTAATCATCATTCAAAGCAAAACACCTCTCCACACTAGTAGCATTATTGCCCCACCAATGCGGCATTGTAATAATCTTACCGGCCCCAAAGCAAAGGAAAATAATCAACATGTTGAAATTATAGCCGGCATCAAACGCCGCAGCCAGGATATAGTTGTAGCGTGCCCACACCTCGTAGTGCCGCCGGTACGCCCAGTACATGACGACGAAGCCGCCGATTAGGCTGGAGGTGTAGCCGGTGCTGACGTTGCCCCAGAAGGTCGACATCATGCTGAAGAAAATGGTGCTGTTCCAGAGGCTAAGTTTGGCGCGCGGGAAGCAGCGGTGGAGGATGTATAGTACAAAGGGGGCGAGGGCTCCAGCGAGGAAGCCATAAGGGAGTGGACGATAGAGGTCCAAGGCGAATAGGCGTTTAGGCCCCTGCGAAGGTTAGCTTATGCGGTGTAGCGTGTGGGGTAATACATACAACGAGGACATATTGAACACCGACTGTGAGGTATTGGGCGAGCTTTTGGCCAGTCCACTGATGTGTAGGGTCTATTTCTGCCCCTGAAAGAAACCCGCTTTTTGTATCTAGAACCCATCTGATAACGCCGTAGTTGATAGGGACTCCGATGAAAGAGCCGAAGATCTGAGAGAAAAAGACGGCCCGAGGTGGTATATGCATATAATGGCCTAGTTTCTGATCTTGAAGCATGACCTGGGCTCGATACCAAGCGTCACCAGCAATTGTCCCATATACTGAAGCGCCAGCCGGATTCTTGTGTCCGGAAACACAATTAACCATAAGTCCGTAGATGACCTCATTAGTAGACCCAATAGCCTAGGAATTGTTAGCATAAACCGTAGAGTCGATATAAGGAAGGTGATTAAGGGGCATTTACAAGTTGGAAATTGGATATTGAATATAGCCAACCCAAAGGCTACAAGAACTATTAGTACTAGCTATTTAGTGACGCAGCAATAACGATGAACTTACAACAACTACAATCGCTCCTGTCGCCATTGCAACAAAGCAAGTCCATAACGGAATAAACATGTATCCGTTTGCCAAAAGAGTGATAATGATCGTAAATGATGCGATGAACAAAACCAAATACCACGATAATGGCACCTCCGAATACGATCGCATAAGGACATTGAGCTGGTCATTGTATTCATGGTTCACGGATGGCTTCTTCTCGTCGCTCCGACGCTCTCGCCATCTCTGGATCGACGATTTTATCAAGGGGTAGCCGAATAGTGCCATCCAAACTATCGCCGAAGTATAAGATGCGTAGTCGAAGAACAGCGCCCAAAGGAGCTGAGTTCCTATATACGGGGGTCCGTGTGCAGCATACGCAACTTCATCAAGGGACATATCGGGCGAAATGAGGTCGCGAATTGGATAACTCGTGCCATTTGCTTTGATTGTTAGCCATGAGCAAAAGAGAAGGGAAAGGTTACCAGAAGGCATACCTGTGAATAAACGGTTGGACATCAAGTGATGGTCCCAGGACCCTAATCCTCCCCATTTCGCTAGTGGAAGAAGAACCCAGCAGTTGACAGCAAAAGCGATGAATACAATGACCTGGGTCCACCAAGGAGTCAAAAACAAGCTTCCCACTAGATTTGAATTGCCAACATTGGACCAGTCGAGTGAGATGTTCAGGAATCCCATTCCGCCTAGTCCTCCACCAACAAAGTTTGCGGTTTTGTTACGCGGCGCTATCCAGCACAGCAAGGCAAGAGATTGGAGGAATGGGAAGACAAATTCTGGGAGGAACTGCCAGATCATGACGCCGATCAGCGTGAGGAAGAAGATTAGCATCTGTCTCCGTGAGACTGGAGACGGTGACTCTCTCTGTTTCTTCTGCGTCTCGAATAATGCTGTTTGGCATAATCTATGCAACGATGTGTTAGCTCGGCGGTTGAAGTCTCGAAAGTTGAGGGACAACTAACGCTTGATACCTATTCAACTATTAGCTACGGTTGATGAGATTAGTCTGGGCACAGCTTACCATGGATATTGGGGATCATAAATCAGAAATTGTCGAGCTAATGCAGCATACGAGTACCCAATCCATACCACAGCCAACATGAAGAACAGACACACGGCAGGGTGAATAGGATTACCGAAGTAAAGCTCAGATAGTGAAATGGGAACCCATGCGAGGTTATATGTAGCGCCAGAAGCACATGAGATTGTTACCAAAACATGCTCCTTGGCACTGAACGGACCAGGATTAAGATTGAAACTCTTCTTCGTAAATGGAATTTTGACCTCCCAAGCAGGTAAAACTTTAGCCAGCCATTCCCCGGCATAGTTGGAGGCGATTTGTACGAAGAATATCGAATACGAGGCGTATGTTGTACGGAACTCGTTCAGCTGTGATAGGAATGCTCCTGGAGCAATGAATAAAACCGTAAGAATAAAGTATCGAAACGTAATAACGGGTGTTGATGGATCATCTTCAAGACTGACTACTCGTCGAACGGGCCACGGGATATCTCGTAAAGCTGGGTCGTCGTCTGATAGGTGGCCATCTGCTCCTTTCTCTCCTTGCTCCTCTGTAAAATACTCTGGGGATTTCTCATCCGAGGAATACGATGGGAGGTTCGAGGAAGTCTTACGATCCGGTGTCGATAACCGATGGCTGTTGGCATCATCGTCTTCTACGGCTGTGGTCTCTGAGACATCGGAGCTGGACCCTAATTTGGTTGTACTGCAAGCTGTTGAACTATTGTCGCTATAGATCCCACTACGACGACGTCCATCGAGGTAATCCGGCATCGTGGGCACGACAAAATCAGCAGAGGGGTGGCCACCACCGCAACAGTCACAACCGAACAACACCGATTTGCCGGAAATTCTCACCAAAGGGTGAAAAATGAGGGTTTAAGGGGCATCGCGATGCTCAGTATCGATGGTGTTCTAGCCATATGTATTTTCAAAGACAGGAGTGCAGTGCGCAAACATTGATGGCGACGTCTCCTTGATGGCGTCTGCAAAGCATCACATCTGGTCAGCCAATATTGATCCTCATGTCCACCAAAAGTTTAAGCTGAGAGCTTGTGCGCGGACCCTAGGCAAAACAGTGCTTTATCCTCTTCATCCCGCCCACTCCCCACCCACTCAGCGTCCCAGCGCCCCAATTCTGGAGACTGCCACTGGCTGTCAGACGCTTTGGCCCATGCCGTGCCGTAAGGACACATGGAGACGAGAGGAAATCACACGTTTGCAGAGGACGCGTAGCGACCGGGGCCCGCTCTCAAGAGCCCCCAAAGATTGCGTCTGACATGGGTGTCGCATGGCAAAACCCCAGACTGGTCCCTGTTGGCGATATCTGACGAGCTCGCAGCCATACAGAAGAGGCCTGTGGTGATGGTGGAGGCAGTGCTTATCAAAAGCATTGATAGCACTCTCACTAGTGGAATCACGTGTCGGGCCATCTACCCATTTACCTATCAGTCATTTCGCAGGTGATGGCTTTCCATCCGACAATGATCCAGATTATGTCTCTTACTCTGTATATACTTGGCACAACGCAGTAAGAGAGTGCACAGGTGGGAAGATGGTTGGCAAGTTTCCTAGTGGTGTAAGAATTCTGCATATACGGAGGTAAACGCACGTCTACTGTAGACTCCCTCTTGTCTCGACGACAACGACTGCGAGGATCCGTCCAACCAAAAACCCGACAATTTGGTCTTGCAGACTACCCCCACGCAGTGTCAGGGGGTGGGTTCTAATTTGGGGTCTAATTTGCTTCCTAATTTGCCCAAGCGTTCGGTTGCTATAGCCGACTAGGTTGTGTTTCAGTCCGTTCTGGGTCGTTTATTTTCGTCGGTATCTAATAATTCCCCATGTCCGTTCATGCCATTTCCATCGACTTCATCATGAGTGCGGACTCTGCCAGCGCCTTCTCCCAAATTCTCACCAGTCTCTCCTCCAATCCAACTCCCATCTTCATTGAAATACTCTGAAACGTTCTCCGCAGTGATCCATCCTCCGCTGCCAGGAAAAGGCGGAGGTAGCCCACCATCAGCAGCGCCAGCCTGGACACCAGGTAGACCACTCATTCCCTCATAGCCCACATTGCCCTCGAAAACTATCCTGCTGTCACCATCGCCATCTCCCATCTCTTCGTCCTCCTCGAATGAGGGGTCTGGATGAAGGTTCGAGCAGTTTGAGACCGCTTCAAATAGAGTCTGTATTGCTGGCTTTTCACTCTCTGCTGATGAAGGCGGTGGGATGAGGGTCAACTCAACAATATCCATATCCTCATCTTCTTCACTGGCTGCATACGGATCTGACAGCTCCAATTGCATATATAAGCCTCGTATTTGTCGACTCGAGTCGGTAGGATCGTCGAGTGTTTGAATTGCGTGGAGTGAAATGGTGGGGTAGGGGATTGAGACACCTTTAGAAGTCGCAGGGTTGAACAAGATGAGGTTCCTGCGAAGCAGATTTAGCTGGAGCCCAAGATGCAAACGATAGACAAGTGCGAAAAACAGAGGAAGGCGCGACTTACTCTGAACTAACAAAGACGTCTACTGCTTCCACGCTGTTTGCCTGTGCCTCAGCCTCTCCTCCATCCGCTGGGACCGCTGAAAATACCGGCAACTTTGAAAGCTGCGATCGTGCTGCTAAGGCGCGAACACCCGTAGCATGATAATGTAGGACTGGCTTTGCGCCAAAGAAGCTCGTGGGTGTTTGTGCCTGGTGGTCTGCGATTGCTGTATAGGAATCAAGGGCAGGCGCGGCATGAATAGTAGCAGGCGGCATCGTGATAAGACTTTCCTTGATATGCAATCGCTATATTATCCGGAAGAGCAGAGATGATTATCGCTGATATGAAGGTCGGTGGGTTGGTTAGAGGGAGAAGAGAGAAGAGGAGGCTGGGAGGCTCGACGAATCGACCGCAAGGCTGAGAGTAAATTTTGCCTTGAAGCCTCGAACTTGACTAGTCCCAAACCCGATTAGCGCATTTCCATAAGCGAGTGCACTCCCCTGAATGATCGATTTGTTGGACAAAGCTAGTCACAGAGAGGACGATAATTATGGTCACAGCTAGCATAGACGTGAAAGGCATATGAAAGTGTGTGTAGAGAAGGACAGTCTAGCGTGATGAAGAGATTTATCCCACAGACGCTTATGTAAGCAGCTAAGTCCAACACGATTCCTTCCATTTCTAACTTTAGTCATGGAAGAAGGAAAGTCTTTTGTCCCATTTCACTCCTGGAAACCTATATTATTTTCTCATACCCCCCAGATTGCAAATGACCCTTTGGTATCACAGGACTAGAAGTTGTAAGATACAAGCGTGCTTGTCGATATTGCCATGCATGAACATGTCCATTCCCTTGAAGACTTTTCCTCCGGGGTAAATTTTGATGTATTCCAATGGTCGATCAATTTGCCCAATGTTCCTTGTCTGTATACTGTATACGGAATCCGAGTTTCTACACTTATGAGAACAGATTATACGCGGATATTATCCAAATACGTTTTATGTATTCTCAACGATACCAAACTCCAAGTGTGCATCACCTACAAGTCACATCACTAAGCCAGTGATAACCGCAATGTGTTGGCGCTTAGTATAGGTAGGTAGGTAGTTATATAACTTTTCAAGTGATTGGGTAGCCGAATATTCATTTCTGGAGGTGCCATCAGAACCCCCCATGGCGTGCTTGCAAAATTTACAAGCACCCTTCACCCTGTATCTTGAAATTTCGATCCGAAGCCCCCAAAGGAATCACCTAAATATTGTGGCCAGCAGAATGATCAAAAGACCAGAGAATATTTCCTAGATGTTTCTGCTGTTTCCCCCGTCGTGGTTCAGGTTCAGCTGATCCCTATAGAAAACACTTGCCGGCAAGTTTGAAGGGCTAAGCCATCTCACAAAGTTTAAGCCATAGATCATCCGAAATAGCTTCATACTAGTTCAAGATTCAGCCACGATGCCTCTGAGCCCTAATTGGACTGCTGTGGGAACTTGTTCCTGGATCTCCCGCCTTAATGCTGACTTGTTACAGGCGATGACGAGCTGCGAGGCCCAGTATTTGGACATGGATGTGAAAATTCTGGCATTGCCTTGGGGGTCTCAAGCCCCATTTCCTCGCCTAAAGGGGAACGGACTCTGCTTGTGGTCCATAAGTGTCTCCACGAAATCTGGAGCTTTGATCAGGGGTCATCTAGAGCTAAGTCTGCCATGCTTTAATACGACATGTGTCTATCGAGCTTGGTGGTAAGAGTGGACAATCCTTTGGTACGTGCTGAGACTACAGTAGGTCTTATTTCGCGCATATATGGGGAAAGTCAAAACTATGAACTCCAGCGCTTGTGATGAAGAATTTGCAGCTGCACCGAGAAGCGACTTCACCCAGTCTATGAACAAACACCATGCGCGCTCACTCCATCTTCGGCTTTACAAACAGGGCAAAATTGGTTCAAATTTTCCAAGGCCATGCTTTCACTCGGACCAGTGGTATCCGTTCTAATGCTACACACCCATCATATGAAGTACAAAGTCAAGGGTTTGCCTCCTCAGTGGCGGCGATACTACGATTGGACCACGAAGAGGATGACCTCGGACGTTCAAAGCTAAAACCCCCGGGAATAACGACCAAGTTCTGAACTGTCTCCGCAAACTATAGAGTCGTATATATTTAAATGGCTAGATGCCTTTATAGGTCCCGTAAAACTGGTTGATCAGACTACTCATTTCGAGGGTACTTATAAGGCTATCGGGCCTTGAGCATAGTGATATTATTTGGTAAGGCCCCTTATATTCATGGTGGCGCAAAGTATTATTAACTTTTTTCAGGGGGGAGGATGGCGAATGGTGAAAATGCCCCCACCCCCTAATTCCAGGCATGAGGAAGGTGGGAATTACAAATTGTAGTGCCTGTTGGACTACCATTAGCAATTGTCACATGTATCTACGTAACGAGTACGAACTTGGAGGCCGTTCCTGGTATGTCCCTAGTATACAGCAGATGTAAAGGGATGGCCTTTCGCCTGTTGTCTTGATGGTCAACTAAAATTCCTGGACATCACCTGTCGAGCACAGCATGCATATACATAGCATGCAGCCACCATTGAGGTACCACTTCCCGGAAGCCCAAGAAAATATCTTCATTGAGCCAGTCACTAACCCCCCACAAAGGCTTCTTCTCTCCCACATCAACATCCACCTCCATCTCCACAATCAAGGCGGCGACCAAGATTCAACTCCAACTTGGCAGAGCCAGCCATGATCTACATCGATCCCAGACATCGAAACTCTTCATTGAAGATCCAGAAACAGAGAAGAATAGTCAGTACATGAATACCAGAGTCCAGGGAGATGTCTGGTTCTGCAGCAGAATGCAAATACGCTGATAGCGAAGAAGCTGAAGAGGTTGATTAGGTGCCTGGAGTGATGATTACATGTAGCAGGGACCTACCTACGCCTTTTACATAAGTCCCAGACTTTGTAAAGTAAGACAGTTCTTCATGCGAGCGCGGGGAGGTTTAATTTCTTTGCCGCAGGAGATGTGTCTTTTGGCTTGTGGCGTTTGAGATATACCTTATTGAGTATGCCGCGCTAGCGGTTTCCCAAGGACATGATGGCGGTTAGGGCTGGAGCAGCAGAGTCTTCCACAAAGTCTCGGTCGCGACATGACGTGCGGCAGTATACTTGCAAGTGGCCATAAGCCTCTTGACGTGAGAGGAGAAGAGAAGAAAACAGTGTTTCTATATCTTGTACATGCAGTCGCCGGAGTGAACTCGTGGTTGTACGTTTGTTCCTAGGCGGCTACAGTTTTGTCACTTAATAAGAATCATGAGATAAAGGAGAGTGATATGACATATTGAAAACTGAAGTCAGGTGGTATACTTGCAAAGGGACCCAGGGGAGAAAGCCAACCGCGGAGAAACTCATATCAGCTGAAGTTTAGTGATAAACTGTTTTCTTTTGACGATTGTCACGTCCACTCCCACCTGATCGAATCTTTTGGCCAAATAACAATAGATATATCTAGCCGCTGTAACAAATAACCTCTTAACTAAAATGAGATAAGAGTCTGGCATCTTTCCAAGCCGAGCCGTATTTGCTAGGAAAACTTGGCTAGAGAGATCAATTGATCCCTTTTCTTGGTCCTAGTAGAAACCGAAGAGATCAACAGTCACGACAATCCCACGAGCCGCAAAGAAGAGAATATCTCCATAAAGACATGCTTGACTTGACTTGACTCGACTCACAAATAAGTGACAATTAATTGGTAGCCCTACTGTATCCCTTCCCAGCTCCACACCATACCAAGCCTTGCTCGGCGGCCGGCGCGGCCACCCCGAAAATCAAAAGCCCGAAGCAGCTTGAAACATGAATCCCATAAAAGGAAAGTATGCCTTTTCCAAGCTCTCTCCGTTCCATTTCCAGCACAAGGCAAGCGGGCACGTATGCATTTATTGCATTGGCCGCGGCAAGTGTGGGGGGACATGTACAGCTGCATATAGACACGGCGCTTATTGGGCAAGCAGAGCTGGTACAAATAGCATCGTGAGTTGCGAGCTTGAAGTAACAATCCGTGAAACTTCAGAGACGTATATTGTACCAATGCAAATTGTTCACCTCAGTTCTATTCCGCAGGACCACAGCAGCGACAGCCACTTGAGGATATTTCCTCTTGAGTTCTGGCCGACAAATTGCAAGTAAGTGTGTCTAAGGATAGGTGAGGTGAGTGAGGCGGAAGAGAATTAGAGCAAGCCACTTCCCTCACTCCCCCACGACGATCTGCGCTATTACCAAAGAACCATCCACACTCGATTCCGGGCGGGTCTGGAAGTACCTCCGTAAAGGCTGGCCAAAGAAGAGAGGCGCCTTTTTTCTCTCTCTTTTCTTCAAGGACAGGGCTGTCTGATATGTGATATATAGCGCATCTGTCGAGTCCTTTCTCAATACACATACTGTATTGTCCGGTACAACACAACCGCCAGCCCTTGCATCATCTGTATACATCCATCTGCAGCGAAGAAGCTTATCCACACCACTCGGCCTGTAGGGTGCCTCCCTCCCTGCCTACCTTGTCTTACCTTACACCTTCATGTTCATGCACCGAAGCAAGAAGACGAACAGACAGGATGCACCCGACTTTCCGCTCCACTTCCACTTCCAGTTCCACTTCGGCTTCCACTTGCAGTCAACTCCTCGCCTTCCCCGAACGTAGTTTCATCGTCCAGCGGCGCGACAACGAACCGGTTGCTTTCGAACCCGTATATGCAATCGAGGATCTCATGAGTACGGCCGAGAGACAGTATCAGGATATGGAGGCCATGGCCCGCGGAGCTGTCGAGGATTGGACCATTGATACTGCCGAGCATGTACATGTGGTGGAGCATGGGCAACACGTACAAGGGCAGAGCTTGAGAGGTTAGTCCGGTTTCCTGTTACGTTTTTTATTGTTGATGGTACCTACCCGTATTGCGTGCCTTTTTACCCCTGAATTTACCTGCTGTTTTGGGAGATATGTTTATGTAACTGTACGTATATCTGTTATTGATTTTACGAGTTTTTCGTTTATATCTACATGTTATATGGGGGTTCAACGACTTCAACGAGTTCAACGAGTTTCTTGAATCGAATTGAATTGTATCCAAGATCAAGCTTCACTAAGCTCTGACGGCGTGGAAGAGATTTCCAGCACTAATTGCTTCGTAATATGTTGCATGGTCCCCAATGGTCCCCAAGCCAGCGCCAGACGGGACGGTCCTTGTCGGTACGGTACTTCTAAGACGCTTCAAATGTGGCAGGACGGAAGGTACTCGCTCGACAAGGAGAGGAAGGGGTCTACTCTACTATACCGGAGTCCTGGTTTACTAAGTAATCTCTGTTCATTGGTGTTTGTTCGTTGGACCTAAGCAGGTGCAGGTGCAGGTGTAGCTCGATGACGCCTTATTTCATGCGGGATCCTTGATATCACGAATCCACACGTGATGAAACATTTCACATGGACCTCCATCTGCCATCTCCACCTCCACCTCACCTGCCACATCCACCCACCCCCTCAGATAGCGTATCGCGAATATATCTATCGCTTGTACCGCTTGTACCGCGAGAAGACTTGTCTCTCTCCTAAGCAAACGGGATCTGCTCCGTATATGGTTTTCACTATGAAATAACAAGAAAACTAATTCCAATAGATGCCCCAGACCAGCAGCAGAATATCCCAAACTTCAACAACGCATGGGAACACCAACCCCAGCACCAACACCAGCATCTACACCCCCCATTGATACCTTACGCGATGCGTAATCAACAGCAGCAGCAACACCAACACCAACACCAACACCAGTATCCTCCCATCAACCCCGCCTACGATCCATCATTCTACCCATCGTCTACTGATAGCACGCCGCCAAACGGCTTCTACATCAACACCCACCACAACAACCCGCCAAGCATCCAGCCACAACATGGCCAATCCTACCCCCAGCAAATTCTCTCACCCACCTCCTCAACCTCAACCACCGATCCGGACTCCGAGCAGAAGCGTCTACGCAACACGGCAGCTAGCGCACGTTTCCGCGCCAAGAAGAAGCGCCGCGAGCAGAGTCTTGAAAGGTCTAGCACCGAGAAGCGCGAGCAGGTGCAGCGCTTGGAGAACCGGGTCGGCGAACTCGAGGAGGAGAACCGTTGGTTGAAGGATCTGGTTTGGGAGCGTGGAAGCGTGAGGGAGAGGAAGGAGAAGGAGTTGAAAGAGCGGGAAGGGAGGGATGAGAAGGAAGAGGATATGGGGAAGAAAGAGGGAGAGAGGAACGATGGGGTTGGAACAGACTAAATCGACAATTAAGGTGGAGAGGGGCGGGGGGAGGGAAGGGGCTGGAGGATGTCTCTCGGCGGTCGAGACAATGCGGTTGGTGAGAGGAGCTGTAGGGCGAAGATGGAAGTGAGGCGCCGGCGACTATTGGTACTTGCGAGGGAGAAATATCGGGCGGCGGGAGAGACTGCGATGCGATATACGAGACAAGACAACAAATCATGAGGTTCATGATCAAACATATCGCCACAACGTATCTCCTAAAACACGGATGAACCGAATCGCGTCAAAAGGGATCTACAACGCCAAACATACCTGGTATTAGCTGGGAGGGCACATATTTTTCATTCGATGGACTAGTTCTTACCTTTATTTTTGTTTGATTTCCTTGTTTGAATTTTCCAATATCTCATTCGGTATACTCTTGGATGGAACTCCCTTGGACATAGTAACGACTTGTTATAATTCTTAGCAGATGAACGATGGAAGGATTTGGGACCTCTGACACGGCAATGATGATGATGATGATGGTGGACAGAGTTACACGACCTGGTACACATGGTAGTTGGGAAAGACTTCATAATATAGTTTGGAGTTTATACTTACTTTGCACATGTTTCCAGAAGCTAGCCTGCCCTGCCTCTCCTCTCCGGGGCTGTCCAACGAGACAGACAAGAAGACATACGCCTATCTCCGGCACACTTCCGTGTGCGTGATACTTGTGCCACCCCACAATCGGCACCATATCCAAAAGCGACTTTTCTTCGAAAGCCAACTCCCATCCATGGCGACGTAAACGGTAAAGCACCCACCCACCCAAAGCGACAGGTACCTGGCCAGAAGAATATCGATATGCCTTGCGGCTTTCTATGAGTAGGCGTATAATTCCTATACCACAGACCAGATAAGCTCATCATCCACTCCCCTCCACCCCCCGCCTTGCATACACTGCTTTCTTTCTAGCAAACAAGCAGAGCTGACTACGCGCAAGCCAGCAGTCCCAGCACAACAGACCAAAGAACCATTCACCCTGAACTCGCACAGATCTCGCGAAACGACAGCAATGAAGCGAATGCATTCGGAGCGCCAAAGTGCTATCCACCACGAACATAGTCTGTCTATAGCAAGCGCTCACTCGCCCAGCAACTTCCACATCGACACTAACGCCAGATCCAGAATGAAATGAAAGCCAACCAGCAAGTAATCAACTCACCACAAACGCCCGCACGTACGCAAAGGCTAGATTTTTCGAATATTCAACCAACCATCGAGATGTGGATTTACTCCTCACTCACAATACAAATCGAAAATCATACTACTCTTCTCCTCCGTATAATACCCAGCACGGCATATAACAAGAACACCACAAGTTAAACCCTGCTTCCTTCCCCGCCCTTCCCTTCTCAAAATATACAAACACAACACAAGGTCCTACTTGCTTTTCACAGCCAAGGAAACAACGGGAAGCGAGTCTTGAGTCTTGAGTCTTGCTGATTACCCCCTCTCCCCCCTTATTCATTCGTAAAAGGGGGAATTTCCATCCATCCATCCATCCATGTAAGTAAGGGACAACAAAGCAAAAGACAACAAAAACAAGTACAGGAAATACATACCTTGCTACAGTACATACTCCGTAACAAGATCTAAGCCAGGAGCAGAAAAAAGCCCCCCACTCCACCCAAAAAAACAATAACAATAGCTTACCTCTGCAGGAATACCTTACCTTCCACACAGCTACAGTAGTCTACTAACCCTACCTTACACTATACAAACAAACAAACAAGAAAATGCAATGCAATGCAATATATCCAGCGCATATATTGTATTCAAACCCCCACCTAAACCAGAGATAGATAGACAGACAGCACGCACGCTGTATCTATGAAAACATGTAAGGGGTTTGCATGAGATGGGATGGTGTAGTGCAGTGTCTTTAAAGGTCTTCCATCCTTCACCCATGCCAAGTAGTAAAGTAAGTGAGTGTCTGCTTTGCAGAAGGGTAGAAGGGGCATGATATGTATGCATGGACGTGCAAGGCGGAGGGGTGGAAGTTGAAGTGGAAGTGTGCATGCATAATAACAAAACGCCCATGAATGAAAACATCGTATTGGAGATTTGATAGATGAAGACATAGATAGCAAGCAGGCAGAAATACATAAAACCGCTACAGTACAGCTAGGCAGCCACTTGGCTTGACTCAATTTAGTCAGGGTATTAGATCAATTTGATATCATATAAGATAGGACACACTTCACCAGTTTCAAAATACTACAGACATGAACATTATTGGCATTATCCCTTTGCATGACTTCGCTTGTCTTTCTTTCATTCATTCTTTCATTGATGCCTGCGACACCGTAAGAAACTGTCAGTCGAACTACCATGTTTCGTCTCCGCACCCATTCATCAATTTCTATCACAATCATAACCCAGTTATAATCTGCATTTCATTGATCGGAACAAACCAAACCTTGCACTTTTTGTATATACGCTACCTCTTACGATCCCTATTTCAACACAAAAAGTGTTAGGAAAGAACTTTCAAATGGAAAGGAATGGGAATTCTTACGTGCTCAACCGTCTAGAAATCATCTGTAAACCCGTATCATTATCCGCACTCTCCTTTGCCCTCTCCAGCGCATTCGCTCTGCCTTCCTCGCTCTGTCGCGTGACCTCCTCAGGGCTAGGTGGGAGCCTCTCGTTCTGCAGGTCAACTTTACGTGCGTCCTCGAAGTTGTTAATGGCATTCTTTATGCCTTCTGCTCCGAGCATAAGTGTCCCAGCAGGGAGTCTGCCTCCTGATGCTGTCTTGAGTTCTGTGACTCGCTCCGACTCTTCGCGTAAGACTTGGAATACTCGTGATAAGCGGCCGATGGCAAGGATCTTATTCTTGATGGCTCTTCGCTTGAATTCGGTAGATTCCGGGTCTAAGGGGGTGATTGCGGTTGATGGAGAGACGGGGCCGGGAGAGACTGTTGATGGAGTGGCGTCTTCTTTGAGTTCGTCTTCAGAGGAGACGCTCAAGATTGCAATCAGCATGTCGGTGATCTTCTCGCCCACGAAAGGTAGAGACCAAGTAAAGACATCCATGAAGTTGGGAAGCCAGTATGGATGTGGGGTGCAGTTGAATTGTCTGATGTTCATGACATTGTTCTCATACTTGAGGACAGCGGCTTTGTTGTTGTAGACGTCGAGGTAGTTGGGCGCGGAGAAGATAGTCATTACACTGGGGAAACCAGTTGTCCGGGTCTTGCGATACATTCGGTATCCAGCATCTTGAGCTTCGTGCGCACGGATGACCGATAAGAGATTATTCTTCTCTAGGAAATTACAGGCTGCGGGGTAGGAAAAGAAGTATGAGCAACCTCGCACGTGATTGTGAACAAAATACTCCGATGTTTTCTCTTGGCCAAATTCTTCCAGTGGATCTGCCCAGAGAATATCGCACATTAGGCCGTGGGTTGGGGGTTCGCGGAAGCGATCAATCTATTTTACGTCAACAGGCGAACTGTGCCACAAGTTCGGGTATACTCACGTTCTTCAAGTCATCCAAAGTGTGTAATTCCGGGCTTAGGCCACCATGAATACACAAGAACTGCTTGTTCATCACAGCAGCCAGCGGTAAAGCGCAGAAAGAATCCATACATGCCTCGTAAATCTTCTCGGAATACTTGTGTTTGCACTCCAGCTTGAACGTGAAGTAATCCGTCAAATGTCTGCACTCATGGTTTCCTCGAAGTAACCATAAGGTGTTGGGATACCAGATCTTCAACGACCATAGATAAAGCACACACTCGATACTGAAATACCCTCTATCGACGTAGTCCCCTAGGAAAAGGTATCGAGTCTCAGCAGGATCGCCACCAACCTCAAATAATTTCATCAAGTCGTAATATTGGCCGTGGACATCGCCACATACAGTGATCGGAGCATCCATTTCTAGGAGGTTGGGTTCTTGCTTCAAGATCTTAGTACCCTCTTCAATGATGTACAATGCCTGCTCCTCTGTAAGGCGACCTTCTCGGTAAAAGTGTTGCTTCAAAAAAGCCAAATTTGGCTTCGAGGGGTCTTGGGGAGAGAAGAATTGCTCGTCGGTCGGTGGGTGCATTGCGGGTGCCTGTACATCTACAAATCCACATCAGCTTTTGCCTTATTCATGACGAAATTGCTGCCAGGGTGGAGAGGGATTGATTTACCTTTGCAAACGCGCTCCATTGTGCTGACTTGCGTGTTATCTTCCATGGTATGGAGTGTGAAGTCGATCTCAGGGACTGGCTTCTTTTGGTGAATCGCTCTCAGAGCATTGTCGACCTGGGCCCGGTTCTCCGTCTTCCCAGGCACCAGGGGGTTAGTAGACTCCTCGCCGTCCATGGTGACGGTGATTGAGCTGATGAGGCTCTTGATGGCTTGTGATTCTAACGGCGCGGCGAAAATGAACGTGTGGAGATATCGCGTTTGCGGGAATTGGAAGGTTACAAGGTCCTAGGTGAGGATTTGGAAGGGGGGTCGTTGGGCACGAGTGCAACGGGGGTGGGCTTGGTAAGCGCTAGAAACCGGGGAGAATAAATTTGGCGTCGCTATTCCAAAAGCAAGTCAATCCTTGCGAGGTGTACTGATGGTCGTGGGGTTTTGTTCGTGGTAGGGCTGGATGTTGCAGCTGACTACGTAAAGTTTGGGGAAGATTACAGGTGGAATTGAAGGCGGCGAGAGGAGAGGCTCGTGAAGGTGGTGACTTGGCCGACTAGTGCGCTTCGAGTTACTGTGCGTAGATACGTACAGTAGGGGTCAACCCAAGCTTTTGGGGGAGGAGCGAGAGCGAGAAACATCAGACGAGAAAGATTCAGGTAAACACCAATTGCCATGTGTTTCCATGTATTTCTATGTGTGAAATGAAACGAAATGAGGCAATGCAACGCAACTTGGAGTGCCTGATATCAACCTCGTTTACAAAGCAGTTTCATCACATTTGAAAGTGTAGAGCTGACTGTCTTGTTACCTACCGATCAACACGACAAAGAACGGAAAGGAGAGGGGTTTCGCTCCTGAAGGTTGCCTGACCTTCACCTTCTTCCACACCTAGAAGGCTGCATGAATCAACTTAAAACTTGGGCAGCGAGTAGAGCCTTACCTTGAGCTTAGATACATTGCATCTATCAATACACGGCTTTTGACTTTGGGTGGAATCACCCCATCGCGAAGATGCATGAAAACAGTAAGTACCTTCTATGCACAGCTTGACCCAAGCTAACCGCTCCCCTCCTATCTAGAGCCGCATCCACTCCTGGCCCAAGTGCCATTGACTGTATCACCCTTCGTCTCCCTCCCAGCCTCAACGACTCTCCCATACACTTATAAAACCCTCCCCTCGACCCTTCCGCCATCATCTACAGGAATCACAGCATCAGCCGGAGGCGAAGACAAAACCCCATATATCGTATCCTCATCAGGCCACGCAGCGCATCCAGATGAGATAATCAAGTCTTGCAAAGCTCTACAATCATATATACAGAAAGTGCAAGATGATGCTGATAAAGAGCTTAAAGCATGGGAGGATTCTATAGCTGCTAGGGAGCTTGCAGAGAAGAGGAGGGTTGCGCCTGGCTGGCTGGACAGTGAGGCGAGAATATTGGAGCCGGAGAGGAAGAACACTGGGACTGGAAGTCAGGAGCTTGCACATGAAAATCTTATGGACGCAGATGTATCAAGAGCTGAGGCATCTGGGTTGCAAGGGACGCCAGTTGCTCTTCCTAGGGGTGAGGGGGATGAATTAGATCGTGCATTTGGGGGCTTAGGTATCAATCAAATTTGAAGATTCAAATACGATAAACAGGAACTTTCATTGCTTTAATAATCCTATAAATTCTGATATGTGTATAGCATTTATGATAGCTGGTGGTTGAGCTCAATAATAGCTCCAAGGCTTTGGCGGCATTAAATGTGGGCCCGAGCTCAAGAAAGCTCAACCTCGCCCAACCCAAAAACCCTTCCCCTCGAGCATCACGATGCCTCCACGAATACCCCGGGTCGGAACCTGCCTCTCTAAAACCTCTCGAGTGGCAATCGCGCCCAGAAGTTCACAAATATGTCCAATCTGTTCCCTGTCGCGGACTGCACGCTCTGCGACTTCAACTAAACGGCGACGTTTTCAACCCAAATTCCTACTATCAAGCTGCCGACAACAATCCGGAACCGCCAGCGCGTCGACAACAAATGACCCGCCCAGAGTCCCACCAAAGTCCCCAAGATTGGAGCTCCACGATGCCCTCCTCGAGCTCCAAAAAGATGCTGCGAATTACATCAACATCTCCAAACTCCAGCTCGCTCTCCGCGGTCTTGAGCAAATACCGGGTGAAGAAATGATACGAGTCGCAATACTAGGAATAGCAGATGGTGGGGCATCACTTCGGAAAGCGAAAGAGTTGCTCAGACTACTTCTCGCGGATCCGTTGAAGTCAGAGGAAGAATGGGAGAGGGTCTTACTGGATCATCGGCCGAGGAGTAAACCGATCCTTATTCGCGTGGGAGGTAATGGTGTGGAGGAGGGAGGATATAGTTCTCAGATGGTGCAGGAAATACATGTTTCGTCGCCGACGATCGGAGGATATAAGCTGGAAATTTTGGTGCTGGAGCTGGGTGTGGAGGGCATGGCAATGGGACAGCAATTAGATCGGTTCTTGGACTCTGCATTGGTGCCGACGATGGAGATCCCGACGTCGAATACGGGAAGGTATACGCCCATTACTACGCCTGTGCATAGGTCATTACTTGTTGGGCAGGGTATACGGGGTGCCAGCGAATTCTTATCGATGTCTTCCCTAAGCACCTTGCAGGAGGAGCCATTTCATAGCTGGAATATTGTCCAGCCAGCTGTTGATTTCCAGGGTGAAAATCCAGCTGAGAAAGAAAAACTGCCTATTCAGTTCATTGATATCAGTCAAGCTTCTTCTGCGCTTGGCTCGTTCAGAAAGAGTGTAAACAACGCTCTCGATTACGAGCGCAACTGGTTTGCAAGCGGTGTTCCCGCACTTGTTGAATGGATGAAGATAGGCAAGGAGGCTCCTGATGGAGTACTCAGACGTCCTATTTATTACCTGATTGAATCACTGCTTCTCAATACAGAGCATTCCATACGTCTCGAATCAAGGCGTCAGCAGGATGCACACCTTTCTAGGAAGATATCCTCAGTAGTTATCCACCGTCTGCGGAAAGGTCTTGCGGAATGGGCAGAAGGAGCGCATACTGAGCTCCGCGATCAGCTGGATATTGCATTCCATGGCCGCCGTTGGCGGAAACTGGGGTGGTGGAAGCTGTTTTGGCGCGTGGATGATGTATCCATGATTGCATCTGACATTCTGAATCAGCGTTTCCTTACCGAAGCTGAAAAAGAACTCATCTTCCTCGCCGGACGCATCGAAGAAGCTGGAATATTCTCCGTGTCGACCGCCAAACCTGAGAATTGGGCATACAAACCTATTCAGCTCAAGAAGAAAGAGCTTAAATTGGGTGTTAGGCCACCGAGGCCAGATGTTACTGATTTAGTTATACAGGAGGATACACAGGAGGGCAAGATGAAGAACCAGCCATGGCCATTGAACATCCCACTCACGAGATCCTACATTGCCACTGATACTGTTCCTGCTCTGCAAGCACTAGCGCAAAAGCTCGTCTTGCAAACTCTTATTACATCCTCGTCTTTCTCTGCCTTTGCAGCTCTTACATATATCTCTACACTCTCAACGGGATTGTACGAAGCAGGTGCTGTTGCAGCAGTGGGTATTGTGTGGAGTTTGCGCCGGATGCAGGGGAAATGGGAGACGGCGAGGACGTTCTGGGAAGGAGAAGTGAGAGAGGAAGGAAGGAAGGCTGTTAGGAGCGTCGAAGGGATTGTGGGGGATGTTCTGAAAGTCCCTGATGATATAGTACCTGTTGATCCGGAACTAAAGAGAGCGGAAGAGGTTTTGACTGAAGTAGCGCAGAAGCTTAAAGCTTGTGACAGTGTATGATAGAAATCAAATAATACCACTCTTAATTCGTCCGGATGGATTTCAGTTTCATTTACCTCTCCCTAATAGGTATCCAATGATCTTCTAGAACTTGAACAATACCGGGTGAATACGAATTTGGCGTAGCATGGGTTTTGGCGCAAGCTAATTCTGCCGCTGTACACAGCCCTCAATATTTCTACTAACTCGTCATTCAGCTTTGCAACACAACTCCAACTCTAACTTCAACCCCAGTATCTTGAATTGGACGTGACGTAAAAAGCACGATTTCGCATTCAAACCTATTTCCTTTGTCACACTGAACCATTGGCCGCGCCACGATTCTAATTTACCACCATGGCCGAGAATACGGCGCCATCACCAGCCTCCGGAAAACCGAGAGACAAATCGCCGAGGCTGGATACAGACGCGCCCGAGCAGTCTACCACAGCGATAGAGTCAAAAGGAGTTCCGCCCACGGATCTCGAGGATGGCGAATACGAAGAAGGCGGCCAAGATGAACCAGACAAGCAGAACAATAGCAACGCACCACCACTCCCCGATGAAGCCCCCCCTCTACCTTCGGAAGCCCCTCCCTCAGATGACGGCTGGGCGCCCATCTGGGAAGAAACTGCTAAAGCCTTCTACTTCTACAACCGCTTCACGCACGCAACCCAATGGACAAATCCACGAGTACCCGACACCTCAACAAATACAACCCTACCACCACCACCAGGCCTGTCTCCCGCCCCAGCTCCAGAAACCTCGCAAAGCCCTCCCCCTCCAACAGAGGCAGTAATAACAGGCTACAACCCAGCCATACACGGTGACTACGATCCCAGCGCCTGGTACGCTCAGCCATCCGCCCCTCCACCCTCTGCCCCTCAAGACCCAAACTCCGCGGATCCCTACGCAGCTACCGCAGCCTTTAACAGATTTACCGGACGCTTCCAAGCCCCAGAAATCAGCACGGATAATTTTAACGACGAGAATAAGTCGAAGCGGCAGATGAATGCGTTCTTCGATGTCGATGCTGCGGCGAATAGCCACGATGGGAGAAGTTTGAAGGCCGAGAGGAGTGGAAAGAAGTTGAGTAAGACTGAGTTGAAGACCTTCAAGGAGAAGAGGAAGGCGAAGAAAGAGGAGAAGCGGAGGGCTTGGCTGAGAGATTGAGAGATGGGGGATCGGCGTGGAGCATTTACTGGCGTTTTATGGAATAGGGATGGTGCATTTGGATTGGATGGGATGGGGTATAGGGAGTTTGGATTGATGAATTCCAGGAGCTGGCGAAGAGAGGTTGGGTGTTGTACAAAATAATTGAGCAAGCTTGCGCCTAGAAGAGAAGATACTAAAAGCATATTATCAAGGCCTGTGGCTCAAATGACACAAAGTACTCGCTATCTAGCAACGTTTATATATACCCTTGATAGGAGAATTTCTTGTGAGTGCATGGCTATTTCTGCATATTTGGTTTTTTGACCTGCAACAACTTTTTCTGGTATGAATATTATTTTTAATTGATCAATTTATCTCTTAGATATGAACTAAATTGAAGGAAAGCCCGAGATGTGTAGAGACCATTGGCCGAACTATACATATAGCCTTAGCGCCGCTTATAACATCCACTTTATTCATCACGTTACTACAGTATGATCTCCCAACTCCTCATATATTCTTTGGAAATTAAGATACGTTTAAGTGGACTCGTAAAGACATGTTAAATTGTCAGGCTCGGGAGAATTCACACGCTTCATTCAAGCTTCTATCGCAGGAGCTTCAAGATTTGACTTGAGTACCTTACTCAAAAGTTTATATATACGCTGCCAAATATTGAACCAATTCTGAAACCCTATATCCCTCTATAAACACCAGGTTTTCCAAGTCATAACTCCTTATCAAAATCTAGTATCTTCATTCGAACAATCCGAAAAGACGCCACCACCAAGCCATTCATCCAGAACATCATATTTGCCTTCAGCCCTCCATACAATCGATGAAAGTATCAAAGTGAAAGAGGTTAAGTTCTTGGTACGTCCTTAACTACAAGGGTAGTTGGCCCCAATATGGCCCTCATTCCAGTTTTTGAAAATCTCATCTTCACTGCAGATGGGGATCTGAGTGACGCCAGGCAGATCAATGCCATTGCCGCCAAGTAGCAACTCGCTTTGTGTGTTAATTGCCACAGCTGGATCAATCTGTTGCCAGCCATTCTTCCCACCATTACCAGCTTTCCCTGCAACCGCACTACGAAGCAAAATTAACTGGTGCTCTTCTTATCTCAAAAAATACAAAGTGAAGTGAAGGACTTACCTCTTGACAAAATCGTCGCCTGTAACGCCGCCCCATTTCTTGCCATCGAGAGCACTGCTTCCAGGGACGTTGGTGAAGGGATTGTCGTCGCATGACTGGAACATAGTAGCAGTGCAAGATACGGATGGCCCGGATACCGAGACGATATAGTATAGTTTATTGTCCGCACAACCCCTTAAGGGACTCCCCTGAGTATGCTTCATTTTTGGGGTTTGGTCACAGGCGACACCAGTATCTCTGTATGTAACATTAGCTAGCTAGAACATTTATTATAGGACAATAACGTGCATGATAACGGGCTTAACGTTGGTGTTGGAGAGTGCCCAGGCTTGTGGAATCATATATCCGTAAATGGTCTTCTGAATCGGACCTTGAGCATCGACGTCGCTGATTGCAACGTCGCCTGTTAGCATCTTCCCATCTGCGATCATTCCGCGTAGTTGTTCGATAGAAGCTGCCGAGCCGTTGAACATGTTAGTATTTAATGTGTCAACTGTGTGTTGCCAGACAGTCGCCATTGCATCCATGTTAACTTCAAGAGTATTCGTGGTGGTTATTGACGTCTCACTGTGTAGTATTAGTACAATATGCACATTATAGATATTAGGTTGCATATAAATACGCAGCTGTGTTATCTTTCGTAATAGCAGTGCTTGCAATGACTATGGGACCTAATGTGTCCTTGATTGCAGCCAACCCTACGCTATCTTTTATAGCAGCAGGCATCTTGAGCATCACTATAGAAGAACAGTTAAAATATAGTTTGACTGTAACGATATGACATGCTTTACCATTAGTCCAAATGGGTCCAAGTGCCAGGCCGGCTCCCAGTGAGACGAAGCTGATGATGGTTTTGAGCACTTGGGAGCTGTCATCGATTGGCGCAAATTGGGCGCTGAATTGTCCCATATCCGGCGTGAGATGTCCCTCTGCATTATTGAGCGCACCATAGAAATTGACATTCATCTATGGCTGTAAGCAAACGGACTTCACATATTCCAGAGAATGTCTTGGGGGTTACTTACATCGCTTATTAGCCTCAAGCTCTCCATAACCATCCACCCCGTTGCAAAATAACCATTCTGACATGCCGTACCAGACACACAAGAGTTCTTGACCGCTACCGTACCGCATTGGATATCTTGCGGTCCGTTGAAGAATTTGCTAAGTGTTTGGATAAAGCTCAGTCCGGTGTTCTGGTTAGCATTCCAATACGCAACGGCATCCGTGTATGCATCATCTGCGTACATATACGACCATCGGCTCTTTGGGTCTTTAGTTGTATCACTGTAGTAAGGCGATCGACAGTCTCTGGCTTGCCAGGACGGCACTCCGTAAGCGACGTGGGCCAGGTTCGTGAAGCCTGGGGGCGGAGCCGTGATGCTTTCCGCGCAGTACGATGTAGTACTTGCACTTGATGTAGCTATCTGGATATTCTAGGTTATAAGCGAGTTAGTATATCCCTTTCAAGTGCTTGAGAAAAGGGGCACCTACCGCCATAGTCTCGCCACATTGGCAATAGACATCTTTGGTAGGTGTGGGGTCGGGCCAATTGCCTGTCGTCCTATGCAGAGTGTTTAGTATGCCCGTCCCAAATAGAATGTAAAGCTCTTACGTAGTAAAAGTACAAGCCGTGTTTGTGATTGTGGTGTGCGAGGTCAGGCTGATGGTCTGTGTTGGTATCGTCTTATAATCACAATATTTCGTTGTAGAATTATTCAGGGCCGAAAATGGGCCAAACATATTGCAGAAACACCAGGACGACGGCTCATTGTTCATTCCCATCAAATCATTGTTTCCTTCGGTGCAGACTACTGAGAAGTTTCCCGTGAGAACACTTGGAGCACTAGTAGTGCGTGGTGCTGACGAGGCGGATGTTCTTGACGTTGTGATTCCACTCTGGCGTGTTAAGAGAGTAGTTGTTTGATGGCCATTGGTGCTAGACTGTGCATCTATTGGAGAAGTCTGTTAGATGGCTTGAAGTCAACGATTATTTATGGTTATCGACTTACAAGTGGAACCGCTAGCGAGGACCAAAACCATCCAGACACTCAACGGCGCCATACTGTGGTTTAAAGAAGGAGGTTTTGCCTGAAGCAAAAGAATAATCTGCAATATAACAAAGAGGGGATAGTAAGTTCTTGATGCTAAAGAGGGTGATCTTATGAGAAAAATCGACAATAACCCAAGAAATAGAATGGACATATGAATGAATAGGCTTATATAGATGATCTATATGTTCTAGACATTCTCTTAGAAGGATCATAATAGAAAGCTTCCTTCGCGCGCCAAACATATATCAGCTTTCTTATCTGCCTATCTTGGGATAGCTTCATCTCTTCGCTTGCCAATAGAGAAGGAACCGAAGAGCAACCGAGGAGGAATCAACAAACGAAGGAAGGAACGAACGCTAAAGGAACAGAAATAAAGAAAACTGATAAGAAAATTGGCAACATACAGATCCAGCTTTGTTATCGTCTTTCCCATGGCTTTTAAATAGGGTAAAAGACAACTAGCTTTAGGGCCAGCAACATGAGGCATCTCCAAATAGATTTTGTGTCACAGGGCCTACTAGACTGGGACTACCCTGAAGCTTTTAAAAAGATTGCGAAATGCTACTAAATTCAAGCCACTCAATTTGACCCTGGATGAGATAAGTTGAAGTGTAGTAGAGCAAGTTATAAAAGAAATTACGCTAGAAAACTTGCAAATTGCTTAGATGAAGAGATTCGAAAGAAAAAACAGAGCTGACGAAGCTCGTAAGGGCCTTAATTAACAGATAATAAGTTCTATATACCTCAAGGGTGATGGTATCTTAGACCCAGTGCACATTCCCATTGAACTACATTGCGGGGCATTGACATTGCCACATGCAAAGCTTTGGCAATAATACATAGAGAAAAGAGCAATCGGGCAAGTAGGGAATTGTGGTACGCTGCGAAACCTCTGCCACGGTACTCGTAACTCAGACGCATTGCAAGGCTGGTTGACCGGATCCTTCAATTGGGTTCAATGCTAGGGATGCCTACCTAGGTAGCTATACCTACAGGATTCTACAAATATACGCCAAGTAGTAGATTTATAGTGGGACTGTCAGACTTACGAGTATATGCAGCCCTACAATAAAGTGTCGTTCTCATGGCCGAATGAGGCCACCCATTCGCCATGTAGTCAGCTGATTCAGCAATCCATATGGCCCGAACACGTTACTCCAGGCGCCTCCCCTACTGTACGTGTAACGCCGAGTCTTCAAAGAGATCTAGGAGGTGCGACCTTGATATTAGAGATGTGACATTTCCAATCCTCGCGGATGAACAGAGTGGCGAAATAAACACGCGAGTGTTGTTGCGCTTATTTCTTACACACCTTTTGCCTCTTTCTCCTACTTGTAAGCTTGGCTGTTTCAGCGCAGGCGCTAAGCTAATGGAGGTTACATTAAGGAATCTTACCTCAAGTGGACATTTCGTAAGTTATGTCCTAATTCGGACTCTGATAGGCTCATATCTAGAGCATCCTCTAGGCAGCTGCTCCCCTAGAGATCCTCTAGAGTAGATTCAGATCACGCTAAATGCATCTGTCATACCCTGCTAAAATAGAGCAAATGGATAGATATACACGTTATACTCTCCTTTTTCTTTTTCAAGCCTGACAGGCCCTCTATAGATCCACTACTTAGCGTAAATTGCTAGAATCCTATAGATCTGACTGGCTCTTTTACCCTAGTATAGGTCCTTAAAACCACAGAATAAACCAATCTTAAAGTGAACCTAGACCTCTTAGAAGCCCATAATCATTAGATCTGAGCTTTTAAGTGGCACGGAGTATACATTTATGGGTAAAATTCAGGTGGGGCTGTCAGACTTAAAAATGGGCGAGTAAGCATAGGAGTTAAATCCCCGCCGGTACATATGCGTATTAACCTTTATAAGGTGTTAACTTCTAGCGCGGGCTGTATCTCAGCAGCTTTTCTACGTATCATGCCATGCTGAATTGAATACTTCACTGTGATGGGCTATCAAAAAAGAATGCGACAAGATATGCGACAAGGACGTGACAGGGAAGGGGATGGAACGAAACCGACTCCATCGTTCTTCTAAAAGGCGGCAACTCGTAGCGGGAAAAGGAGCTATTGACAGAAGGGCCTCGACTTGAGAAAGGAAGTCGACATTTCACCCAGTGGCAATGTTCCACCTTTGAAAACGGAATCCATGTTCTGCGTACGGAGCATATCAAATAATTCAAACCACGACCTAAATCCCAAGAACGCCGCTTATAATCCACAACCTCCAACCTCATTACTCATAATACAATCCAAATCATCCCGTCATCTCAACATCGCTATCCTCCAGCAAACTCTCCACAAGCGAGTCCCGCGTGGCTTTCGCATCGACATCCGCAATAACAGTCCCCTCGCTATCTTCTTCCTCTTCCACTTTCACAAGCTCAGTCTTATCACTTTCAACCTCCGCGTCCCTTTCAATCGCCATAACAGTCTTTTCCTCATCCGCAACACTAGGCGTAACACTGCTTTTCCTCCCACTAGCAACGGGAGCCTCCTCCACCAGTGAATTCACAATCTTCCCAAGACTGACATGGATTTTAAATAAAGCATTACGACCCGTGGCGTCACCGATTAGTTTCTCTTCAATAGCGGCTGATACTTCGTCGTAGAGTTCACGAATGAGGGATTCGGTTGAGGCAGAGGATATATGAAGTTTTGCGAGGAGGGGGGCGATTGTTTTCTTTTCTTCGCCTGTGGAGTGTGTTAGTATCGTCGGGAATGTAAGTGGAAAATGAGAGGGACGTACGACTAATGCCCGAGTCAAGCTTCTCTAGAAGATCTCTGGCAAAGTATAGATGCACATCGCCGTTTACGGCTTTCTTGGCACCCTCGTCCCCCAGAGTCAGCTGGTTGCCAGGGATGTAGCATTTTCGCGGATCCGTCCAGTCGACTAGATGGGCACCGATTGTGCCGAGACCCACCATTTCAAACTCAGCTTCACCATCGTCATCCATAGTCTCTTGAATCTCGAATAGCTTATGCATCGCATCTAGTGCTACCTTTCGCATGCGGTCCTGGTTCTCTTTTCGACTGAAGCAATAGACAGGTAGGAAGTAAGAGAGTGTCTGACGGACACCTTGATTATGAGCCGTACTTGGGTCGAAGTAGAGAACTATGAGAGTTTTAAGCAGGTCGTCGATGACGGTCGAGCTATCAGCAATCACACGTCCAAGCATGAGTTTTGAGACAGCAATTGTAGCGGCAGCTTGCACCTCAGGAGATTTCGATCCGGACTTCAAAGCCTTCAAGTAGACTTTGAGAAGGGTAGGATTCGTATCGAGGAGATGTGCGCCATGTTGATTTAGGATATCGGTGAGGATCTGAAGAGCGGTTATTTGCAGCGCTGAGTGACCCTTACTGAAGAAATGCATGAACAATGTCAGATTCTCCTCGGCGAGTGACTTGTCCAGTAGAGAGCAAAGACCAAGACACAAAAGGCCACGCTCTCTAACCGGTGCTTCGTGGCTCCGAACAGCGGGAACTACCAAGTTGTTGAGCATGGCTACCAAGTGGGCATTTTGCTGGAGATTGCCTTCAACGTTTTCGAGCATACACTGAACAATATGTAAGCATTTCATGTTCACCATGATCTCTCGGACGGCTTTCTCTTGGTCGTCCTGTTCGGGAGTTTCTGACTTCTTCCTTGATCCACCTGCTGTACCATCATCGCTGACTTCAGATTTTGCAGAATGGAAACTTTCATCCGCATCTTCTGAACTTGGCTCATCCATAATCGTGTCGTGAACATCAGCAACAGCCTCAAGCACGATACTGCAGAATTCTCGCTCTCCAGCAGCATCTGCAGCACAGATACCTCGGAGAGCGTCAATGGTAAGCTTTGTAACTTCTTCAGGCAGATCTGGAATCGAAAGAGATTGTCGTAGCAGAGCGAACATCTTACGGCGACCAACTTCGTCGGAATAATCCAGTGTCTGAGCAATGTGAAGCAGCTGTTCTACAATGAATTCCTGCTCCACAGTATCCTCTTCTTCTACGTCCTCGGTAGGCTCCTGAGCTGCGATACGCTTTATGGCCTCAACTAGAACTGCAGTGTATCGATGAAGATAATATGCCAGCTTTGTTACTTCGGGCATTTTCTCTTCAATCAAAGCCTCGTATTTGCCGTTTTCCCCATTCCTGCAGAAGTCATTGAAGCTTCTTGCTATAAAAACGGCCTCAGCGCTCAGTGTTTCCCAGAAATAGTCATCAAACGTGATAGAATCTCTATAGTCAGGGCGACCTTCCCAGAATCCCTTCATAGCCTCCAAAGCGACTCCATTTTCGACACCAGAGTTGACAACGTCAATACGTTCCAGGAGCTCGAGCAAACCGTCGAAACTGGGACCCTTAGCCTCTGAATTAGGAGCTTCGGCACCCTCCCCGGCTTCTGTTTCTTCGGGCTCGCTAGCTCCAGCACAATCTTCAATCCAGCGTTCACGGAATAGCTTTCCGGCAGCTTTGCGAACATTCTCGTCACGGTCGCGAAGACCCCATCGCAACAGCTTCTCTCTCATCGACAAAGAAAGATGTCTGAAATCGCCAAGAGCAGGCAAGAGACGGGAGTACAGCGCTCGGCGAGTTGCAGGATCCTGGTCTCGAGCTCGTTCCAGTAAAAATGGTAGCGTGTTTGGTAGGATTGGCAAATTTACCAATAGTGACCTTCTAACATCGGCGCTGGGGTCATTTTGGAGTACATCCAGAAGTTTATCCAGCAGACCAGCTCCAGAATCATCATCACTATCCTCAGCCTCCCCGTCGGCTTCATTGCCAGCAAGTCTTCCGAGTCCCAAGACAGCCTGTACTCTAACCATGGCCTCTCTATCATGAATCCTCTTCAATAGCCCATGTCTTAATAGCTGAAACAAATCATCATCAATCGCCTCTAACGAATTAATAACATGCGAAATCAACTGCGTACTCCTGAACCTTACGAACTTCTCCTTGGAAGTTAACAAGGGCAACACAGTATTCATCAAGGTAGTCGTAAGTCTCGTACTCGGCGTCTCAACCATAACACCCATCGTCTCGTCTTCATTCTCATTAAGCTCATTATCCTTCTCATTCGCATGTTTTAGAAACAGCCCAATAAACCGAATCGCGCGCTCCCCAACACTCTCAGTCTTCTTCACCGGCATAACCCTCACTACGCATCGTGTGAACTCCGTCGTAAATTGCTCTTCATCGAAGTCTTCAGCGCCTGTCTTTTTATTTTTCACGCTGGTCGGTTCGTAGCAGCATGCTTCTTGGATTTTGCGCAGGTTGATAACCAGTTTGCGATGGGAGGCCGTAGTTCGTTGCGCATCGCGGAAGATGGAGGCGATTTGGGCGCGCAGTTGGTTTTCGGGGCTTTCTTCGGGGACGTCGATGGAAGGGGAAGAGATTCGGGATGTGGTTGAGGCTCGCGAGTTGAGGGTTTGGGTGGAGGATTTGTGAGAGACTGCTGCAGAGGTCCTCGTGGATCTGGATGATACTCGTCCTGGCATTGTGAAATGTGTATTGGGCTTTTGCCGATATGGAATTCGTCTTGTCGTAATTCGTGGCCCAATTCAGGGGCTTTTCAGAACGTTCATTCAAACCTTTAAGCCGTCTCTTTCTGGATGGTTTTCCAGCGCGTCTGTTATCCGGAGTTTGTCAGAATGTAAATGTCGCGCTGTTGAAGGAAGTCGCGTCGGATGTTTTGGTCGCAGTTTCCTCGGCAACCTCAAGTACAAAAGCACGTGGAGATAAACCTCCGATACGGTAGGTGGGCAATTGCGACATCAATCAACTTTAGAAATTTTCAGACAACATCTACAATTCTCAATTGCCTTTACAAAAATGTATAGACTCGGAGTTCGACGCTTCGCGACCACGGCGCGGCGGGCCGCGGAAACAGCAGTTCAAATGGAAGCACCAAATCAATACGGAATTTCTGTATCAAAAGCTCAAGGCATCGTCAAGGGTCTAACAGGAGGCCAGTGTTCTAACCCCTCCAAGCCATAGGAAACACCTCTAACAGCCCACAGCTATCGGTAACACGCCCCTAATACGCTTAAACCACATCTCCGATCAGACCGGTTGCGAGGTCCTAGGAAAAGCAGAATTTCAGAACCCAGGCGGCTCCATCAAAGACCGGGCCGCTTTGTATGTCGTAAAAGATGCCGAAGAGCGAGGACTGTTACAACCAGGTGGGACGGTCGTCGAAGGCACAGCTGGAAATACCGGTATCGGACTCGCGCACGTATGCAGATCCAAGGGATATAAACTTGTAATCTACATGCCAAACACGCAATCGCAAGGCAAGATCGATCTATTGCGGTTACTTGGAGCAGAAGTGTACCCCGTGCCAGCAGTTGCGTTTGATAACCCGGAGAATTATAACCATCAAGCGAAACGACATGCCGAAAGGTTGGAGAACGCGGTATGGACTAATCAGTTTGATAATATTGCGAATCGAAGGGCACATATCGAGACTACGGGACCGGAAATCTGGGCGCAGACTAAAGGGAAGGTCGATGCGTTCACTTGTGCCACTGGGACGGCTGGGACTCTGGCAGGTGTGACGCGGTATCTGAAGACGGTGTCGAATGGGAAGGTTAAGTGCTTCCTAGCTGATCCGCCGGGGAGTGTGTTGCATTCGTATATTCAGTCTGGGGGGAAACTGAACGACCGGACGGGCTCGAGTATCACGGAGGGCATTGGGCAGGGGCGGGTTACCGATAATTTGAAACCCGATATTGATCTTTTGGATGGGTCGATGAATATCAGCGATGAGAGGAGCATTGAGATGGTCTATCGGTGCTTGGATGAAGAGGGATTGTATTTGGGAGCTAGCTCATGTCTGAATGTTGCGGCAGCGAAGGAGGTCGCGGAGAAGCTTGGAAGGGGACACACAGTGGTGACCGTTCTATGCGATGGCGCTTACAGATACGCGGACAGATTGTTCTCGAAGAAGTGGTTGACAGAGAAGAAACTGCTTGGTGCTATCCCAAAGCATCTGGAGAAGTACATAGTCCTGCCATAACCTAATTCTACATCATACATTTTACAAACTCGCCCCAACATGTTCAATACAATCGCAGATCTATGACTTTGGCCCCAGATGCGTTTCATACGCGACAATCCCTCCTCGTGGGGATTCTTTTGCCCATTCAGTATCCACAAGAGCCTTGTATGATGAGTTGATCTCTTCCTCTAGCTCTGTCGCCTTGCCCTTCAGTTCAACGGTGATATCCGAATCTGGACCCAAAACCTCCTGCGCAACCTTCATTCCATGTAACAGCGGTACTTTGATTCCAAGGGTTTGATTATGGACAAATGCAAGTCGTTTAGGGGTTGGTTCGGCCGTCAAGTCCTCAGAGAACTTGTACGAATTCGAATAACAATCCAGTACCCTCCTAGAAAGCTGCTCCACTTTACCATCCAAATCCTTGCCGTCTTGATGTTTCGAGGCTTTCACGGCAGCTAGTTGAAGAACATACCCGATAATTTCTGGCCGTTTTCGAGAGTCAAATAGAGGCTCTTTTGAACTTGGCGAGTGTTTCGGATCCTCGAGCAAGTCCAGTACCTGCTCTGACCATCGCAGGGCTTTCTCAGTTTCGGCCGCATCCCATTTAGACTCAATAGCTTTCTTCGACATCGTATCCAAGACCTGAGAAGTAGACCAGAAGTCTCTTAATCGGATGTCAGTCTGAGAAGCTTGCCGTAACAATTCCAGAAGAATATCTTGTCTACCAACGTGGCCTAGTGTCCGGGCAATCATTGAGTTTAACCATCGTTGTTTCGGCCGTATTCCACCTTTGCGAAGCCCCTCGAGCAATCCTGACAGATTTTGCCAATCAGAGCTATCTTTCATGAGGCCCAAAACTTTCAGTAAACTCTTTTTGGTGGCGGGGATGCCATTCATGACATCGATATGTTGCAAACGAAATTCTTCATCGCCGATCTTTGCGACCACCGGCTCGACTTCTAGAGTTTTCTTGTATTTGTCCTTAAAGATGAGGTCGCGTTGCTTTTTGGACAGGTAGTTTGGCAGGATAACTTTGTCACGCAATTCTTGGAGGACTGTGTCGAGCTCTGGGGAGGAGGTAGGTTTGAAGACCGGAACAATGCCTAGGGTGGTTAGCAACATATTTGCCAACTTGAAGATGAGTGCATACTGCTTCTTTGCCGTGCAAGAGAGCTTGTAAATGTCCGTAGCAGCATTGTCCGACATTCTGCAGCATTTCTCACAGTCCATTGACTTCCCCGTAAGGGTATGAGTCCTCTTCCACTCATTGTATCGTAAGGAGCTCAATGTGAGCTTGGAGGAGTTGGTGGTGTTATTTAGGAAGATGAAGGGGGTTCAAGGCTGCTGCTGATATATTTCTTGACGGTTGGCAGACACCAATCAAAATCACTCAATGTCCCTCAGTCCCCGCTTTATTCTATAGCTGCACACCATCTTAGTAATAATTACACCTCTGAATATCTGCAGATTTATGAGAACCTCAAGAAAGTCAAGCTCCAGACCTCACCTCTCCAGCCAAACACCATGGCCCCAACAACCCACTCATTACGGCCATTGAGCTGCTGGAAACCCATATTCCGGCACACCAGATTGCAGAAAACTGCCACACGGTCGTTGACCACGCAAATCACGCAAATCAAACCCAAGCGTACCTGTATGTTCATCGCAATCCGCGAAAACAAGCTACTGACCTCAATGCAGTCGAAGAAAGCAGGGCCATCGCGCCCAAGAGGAGAAGTAACTTTAAGATACTTGGACCACCTCCAGCTCTCAAGTTCAAGGAACCTATCAAAGATGTCACGGCCGCCCAAATTGCCATCCTCGACCCAACCAACGCGCGCAGCAACCTCTTCTCCAAGACCAACCCCGAAGCCGCACACGTCGGCGACATTCTCCTCGTGCGCCTGAAGACCGGCGATCCCTTCGCAGGCGTTTGTATCAATATTCGTCGACGCGGCATAGATACCGGTATCCTCTTAAGAAACGAATTGACGAGAATTGGAGTTGAGATGTGGTTCAAAATTTATAGTCCGAATGTGGAGGGTATTGAGGTTGTGCAACGTAAGGAGAAGAGAGCGAGACGTGCGAGGTTGACATATATGCGGAAGCCAAAGCATGATATGGGAAGTGTGCAGAACATTGTGTTGGCGTACCAGAGGAGTAGAGGGGCTCTTAGGGGTAATGGTGGCGCGGGGACGCTGGGGAAGGATGAGTTGAAAGGTGGAAAGAGGAAGATTAAGGGCAAGGGGAAAAAGTAGAGAGGAGATCGCGGTGTATGATATATGTGATACTAGCGCCTGAGGAAGTCGAGGGGCTGTTGTTGGCTGTCTACGAACAATTTTTTCATTCTATGGGAAAATTTCTTCGTCGAAACTAACTGTAATAGCCTGGGTTATTTAAATGCGGCGCTAGTCTGACTTCTCATGAAAGGACTCAATGTTATCACAGCAATTGTCCTGTGAAGCCATGGACAGCCGCTAATATTCTAGTAGTCGTGTTTTCGTCTTCAGATGTATGGAGGGGAGTACTGAAACTCTTCATCAGTGTCATTAAGCATCTGAGTTTCAAGTGACTCGCATTCGTTCTCTCAACATCGTATCCTGTCATTGGGTTATCATGCGATTGTCAGAATCATCTGCTTCCGCACCCTCATGTCACCTCCCGCTAGTCCAACCTCCGTTTGTAGTCCTTGGCTCAACTACTTGATGTTTTCATTTCATCCTCTTTTCTCTGCTCTACCTTCAAGTTCAAGATTTTGGTTTCTTCAGGAGTCCTAATGGCAAGTATGAGTCTTGCTACCGCAATGGGCGGGTCAGTCCTTCCCGCTCCTAGCAGAACAAATAGACTTCAAGCTCACGCTCACTGAGTAGGCTCAGATTGTCGGAGAAGTATTCAGACATGGGTTTAAGGTGCGGTGATACGGTGTTTAATGTTCATCGTGCGATTATTTTCACAAGATCAGCCGTGTTAGCTGCGGTTATTGATGGATCATCAAAAAGAAAGGCTCGAAGCTTTGAGCCACCTAATTTGAAGACAAACAGCCATCTCTGGAGCTCGAAAACCCAATCATATTCAACACAAAGTTCTACTTGATCGCTGACCAGTACAAAATCCCCAGCCTGAAAACTTTGGCGGATTTCAAATACAGTATCTCGTTCTCCAAGTCCTCATGGCATAATCTCACACAACTTTCACACAGAACAGTCCATTCCAATCTTCCCCACGGACATCTGATAACGACAGAACTAAAATTATATATATGTGCCGGGATCTTGTATGCATGGTATGAAAGAATAAGAGGCTTTGACTGTGCTGCACTGCTACTTTCTAATCCGTTGAATTTACATCTAGTGAATTTCTCCTAATTGCCTTTCCTATCTGCTTGCATTTTTGGTAGTTGCGTTCCCTTCAATTCCTAACCTACTGTACTTCATACAGTATAATTGAGACTGCATCCCAAGGCCTGGCGGCTCACTTGCAAACAGTCATAACTGTCTACCCTTATGACACACTACTAATCATTTCTCGAATACGCCGAGCTCTGACGCCAACGGGATCCATAACGCATAATCACCACAGGGAGAGGAAACATTGCCAGACATATCGCCCCTAGAACCAGAAAGCCATACCCAAGTCCAAGCGCATCAGTCAAAGGAGGAATAGCTAGCGGTAGGAGTGTTCCCCCCAGACAACGAGAGATCAGAACCATAGTCAGTGCGGAAGCGGAATAGAGTCCAAAAGCATCCACGATATATGAAGCCAGAGGTACCCATGTCATAATGATTATGAACCCAAACCCGCCCACGGCTAGTAGAAGCAGCGCAACGGGCCAGGAGGCATATGCTACCCATCCGTAGAGAACGACCACAGCGGGAAGAAAGGCGGCGGCTCCAATCATGAATGGTAACCGATATTCTGGAAGAGCAGCTCCTCCGGAAGACTTGCCCAGCTTCAGGTATATACTGTCCAGGAAATGATTGCATAGTACAATTCCGAAGGCTGCTCCAATGCCTATGAACGTTATTAGTGCAGAACCAATGAAGGGTATAGATACGTACTGAATGCCAAGAAAGCCAGGCCTATCAAAGTTGGCGAAAAGTCATAGACCTCCTTTAGTATGGTCGGTAAAGTTGTTGCCATAATATAATTGAAAGAGAAAACCAATCCCCCGTAAATAGAAAGGAGCTTTAGCACAGAGGAATCCAACAGCACGACTACAGGTCGTGAGAATGCAGCTCGCAGTGCCAACCAGGACATCGCCGAGCCTTCGGTATCTGGTTCCCAGGCGCATTTCAACGATCTGTCGTTCGTCTCCTTGCGCAAGCGGGCCGCTCTGCGCTGCAAGATCGGGACCTTATAGGTTTCACGAAGCATTGTGAAGAAGAATATTTCGCAGACAACGGCTATGACTGCACTGATCCAGAGGATCATTCGCCATCCAAAGGTTTCGGCAATGGCACCGCTGATAGCCGGTCCAATTGCACCACCAAGGAGCGGAGCGAGCATGACGAGAGACATACCCGAACCGCGCTGTTCAGACGAGTAAATGTCACCTATGATAGCAGGGTTGAGCACATTTGAAGCAACAGCGAAGCCGGTCAAAAAACGAGAGAAGATGAACAGGCTTGCGGTCTCGCTAACTGCTGCAAGAACAACGCCAATGATGAAAATGATGTTCGCTACATTGAATACTGAGTAGCGGCCATATATCTCGGAGAGAGGGGCAATGAGCAAGGGTCCAGCTGCTTCCCCAAGCTCCCAGACAGTCACGAGTAGAATGCTTGCAGATTTACTCTGGCTACCCTCCAAATCAAGAATGATTCGGTCAGCAACTGGCACGACTCCGATACACGTAAAAGTTCTAGGTACCACTATCAGCGAATCATAGGAACGCTGGGGGCTTGAGTTCATTATTACACTGTAAAGGCCATGAAGAACAGCAGAGCAACAACACCCCACTTATAAGGCTTTGACCAATCCATTGGGTTATCTGGATCGCCATTAGGATCGAAGTCCACGGACGGTTGGTCGGTAGTCCTGAATGCTTCCTCTTCTAGATGGCCTAGTAAAGGTTGCGTCTCGCAAGACCGTACGCGTTCCATGTTGCGGTTGATATGTATCGACTGCTAGGTAGAGAACGCTATATTCGTTATAGAAGAGCCGCCGGGTCGATATCAATTTCAAAAATCGCTTAAGGGTGGTGAATATTTCGTGGAGACTTCTAATTTATTACGCGGTTGAAACCTTTAGATTAAAAATTGCAGTGGGATTTGTCATAAGCTTATTGCTATCATTAGAGACAGGGGGGCCCACTCAGCTAGTATATCTTCACGTGACATTCAGACCCCTCACTCCCTGGGTTAATTTCACACGCCAGTCTAAGCTATGCACTCCGGATTCCGGAGGAGAAGTTACCAAGTATTGCTCCAGATGATTCAATAAAATGTGGTCGATTTTGCCTTGTGATTCATTTGTTTTATCGCTAGTTGAAATCTAGCCGAAGAACCTTCAGTTGACATATCACTATCAATTTTCTCTAACTCTTATGCATCATTCTTCTACTCAAATTGTTTATATTGGCAGATGGAGAACGCTGCATCTATTATCATTCATATCTAGAGTCACGGGGTTCTTCTGGAGTAAAAGGGGCTTTCGCCTAATAAGCGATCCAAGATTTTGGCGGTGAAATGGGCAAGCATTAGGTTAATTCTCGGCGCTATATTTTGGTAGGTAATAAGATCTATCACTTCGAGCAGAAGACTTTAAATCAGTAGTCTTTACTAGAATCTAAATTCATAGTGTGGAGGGACAACACAACCGCGGACTCTAGGCTAGGATCTGACTTATAATTTCATCATTGTATAAATATATATATTAATCAATCTGTATAAAAGAGTGTGTTGTAGAATGGATGGTGGTCCAAGTTTATCGAAGTGTCTGATTTTATAAGGTACGGTGTAGTGCTAGCTACATACCCCACTTCACGTGACAGCTCTGTTGGACCCCACCACAATAGAGCCATCCGAGAAGATTCCGGCCATGCGTTCTTCCATCCCTCTTATCCATCCACTCCACTACATGCAATATCTCCAATAACACCACCCAAGACTGTTCTCATCGAAGGCAACCGCTCCCCCAAAATCTGTATAGGTTTTCTCTTGCGCGTTGTAATTTCCGTATCATCTTCGTCGTCGTCCAGATCTTTACCAGTAGTCCTTTAGCTTTTTGTTGACAGACACTTTCTCTTTGTGCGGTGTATTCCAAACGCGCACATTCCGTTTCGAGAAGTCTGCCAGAAAGAAGGAGAGGTGGTTTGCACTTTCGGGGCTGCATGGCACTCTGGAAAGCAAGACGGCAACATCCGAGAAATAGATCTCTTCGTCAATCTCGTGTTCAAAATACTTAAAGAACCCTACACTAGGAGAACAGATTTCAAGTCCCTTTATTGATGACGCCGTTGGATACAGGCAGTTATAATAAGTATCAGCCATGGCTAGCAGCGATCAGATCATATGCTTCCCTTCGCCATCGTACAGTCAGCGTTTGGAAGCTCATCCCAGTGGCCAGAAGCTCCATACTCGGCATGTATGCATAACTCAAAGAGACGAGCACGTAAGATTTGCGTGAGCATAGTCGAAGGCATCCAGATACCCCATGAACTGGACCACAGCGGCGCATACCACCAGAACGTGAAAGATCGAATGGGAGCCCCATAGGTCGAAATTGCCAGGATATCGACTTTCGGGAAACCTGGTCTTAGAACCACATGTGTTAGGGTCAATTTCTCCCTTGTGTGCGAATGGGAGACTTACTGCATAAAAGGCAGTCCCAGATAGAAGGCAGCCTGCTTTTGCCAGAGTATAGGGAAAAGCTTTTCTCATCATCTGCGACATGCCGAACACACTGAGTCCATGGATCAAGGGCGCAACACCGGACAAGCCAGTCGCCACGAACATCAATGCTCGGAAGAGGCGATACTTTGAGCCCTGGTACTTGGGATGCATTGTCATGAAGATGGTCAACGTCCCGAAAAGTCCAATCTATCAATCAAGGAAAGAAGAGTGTTAGACTCAAGTACCAGGTCTGAGATGAGGAGAAACAAAACTGTGCACATGGAGATTAACTAACCATCGACCAGTAGAAATTGCGTGGCAAAGGTTCACACCAGAAAACCATGTATATTCCCAAGACAAGGTCGCCCAGTATGAAGATCACTACACCCAGCATGTCCAGTCGCAGGCATAAATGTTCCACGTGGTGGGAGTGGTTCATCAAGGTGTGGTACGTCGCCGACAACGACAGACACGTGACGGCCGCCAACATGAAGATGGAGAAAGCAATGAAATCGGCGCCAGTGACCCCGGAGTATCTACTGGTCAGGTACTGCTGGAGATACCACTCGCCGAGCAGGAAGAAAACGGCCGGGATGAGGTGGGTATAGATGTTGACCGACTCGTTGTGGATATACGACCAACTGCTGAACGAAGCGTGAGCCGAGCCTGAGATGGGCCGATAGCCATGGAGAATCCACTGGTTGGATTCACGTCGGAACCACTCCGGCATCTCATCGAACGAGAGGAGGACTGGGCGTCCTGCCGTGCCGGCCTCGGATGCGGTGGATTCCATTCCGTGCGGCTCTGGCGGCTGCGGAGGCGGAACTCGAAGACGGGAAGCGGATGCCATCTGCTCTCGTGCCTGATGATCATGTGATGCGGGGAGGCCGGACTTTGAGAGTAAGTGGAAACGCAAATGAAGAACGAGGTTTCTTGCACTGCTGCCATTTTCTTCACTTGTTTCTGCTAAGCGCCAGCCTTGCTGCAGTACAGTAATTATTGCTGACGCGCATGTTTTATGTTGCTTGTTACTGTACAGCCCCCACGGCTCGCATGTGTGTGACGGCGGGACGGGCCATGCAGGAAGACCAACCACATCGGGTTGTTCAAGGAAGGATGGTCAGCCAACTCAGCCTTAAATTGTGCAATTGGTCCTCCTAACAAAAGGGGAGAATCTGCATGTATAAATAAGCGATCCAAGATTTTAGGTGATAAAATAGGCAGGCATTAGGTCGATTCTCAGCGCTATATTTTAGTAAACAGGTCTGCATGAGAGTCCTGTGGGTGTCCTGGCTCATGCGGAACATGCTGATCCCTTCGATGTTGACTTGATCGCTCTGAAAGAATTCCTTCGCCGACTCGTGGACCAGGTTGACTACATCCCCTTCAATTTTCACCAGTAGCCCGCAGAATCTGAGCTGATTCTTGATCACTTCAGTTGCCGGAAAGGTACCAGATGTCTTGATCCCTGTGGCCACTGTCAATCCATCCACTGTGAGGGGCCGGGCAGCGAGAACAATCCATTGGAGAATGGGGACCAGCGCTTCCTTGTCGGCAATTTGCTGAAGCAGCCGCTGATAGACCCCACCAAGGCCTTTAGGAATACGACGGAGAATTTCAGTGATTTGGCCCCAGCTCCTGCCCTGAAGCTCATTGGTAACAAATCCAACCCACAAAAAGGTGCTATCAGCGCCAGCCAACAAGGCCTGTTGAACTTGCGCAGCCATTTATTCTGAAAGGTTTTGTTCGAGTGCCAGTTCGGCAACTTTGGCGAAGATGTATCTCTCGACATCATGCGAAATATCTGTATCGGGATCGTCCAATTTGATCTGCTGATATTGGCCGAGTTTGCTCTCCAAAATAGCCGGCTGTGGTCGGGAGAGAAGAATGAGCTTTAGTCGTGGCCTTGAAATTTCCCGAGAGTTCAACAAATAATTCCCGACGGCATCGAGAAGCTGCCCGAGCGATTCTTTTTCGCATTCATCTAGACCGTCCAGCACACAGACTACCTTGGAAGACCCACTTTGCCGAAGCAGGGTTAGGAAAACCCTCCACAAGGAGACAAAGCTGGAAGCCGTATATTTGTTTGTTTCAGTCCCCTCGAAGGAGTTCTTGATATATTGTGCCAGGTGTGGTTGGAGGCCAATCCATTGATGTATGATGCCTCTCATTATGGTCAATGCGGTGTTCCGGTTCTTATCCCGGTTACTACAGAAGTAGTAAAGGAGAACATTTTCAGCGGCAACCACTGGCTGTAGCATCTCGGTAATATGAATTGCCAGCATGGTTTTCCCTTTTCCAGGGCCACCTGAATTCAGAGTAGTGGTAGATTGGCGTCTGCCAGCCACTCTTGATAGCTGGGATATTGTATGAGCCATTCGCAGGTGCTGTCAACTCTCCGCCCTTTCAATGCAACGAGGGATTTTCAGTCAACTTCGGGTCTAGTCAAAAGCAAAGCGTCGAGGACCGGCGCGGCCCCAACATATGTTTTTGCTGCCAGAGGTATCATTTTGGGAACCGTGAGAATGAAGGAAAGGACCTTTTTTGCATATGCTGCAGCAGCTACTGCGGCGTAGGCATGCCAGAGCTTGGAACTGTGCGAATCTGCATAGTCGCAGATTCCTCGGATGACCAAGTACTGGGCGGAATCCTTCAGGCCAGTCGCCTCCGTCTCCAAACAGAGAACGCCTTGCTTGTGCGCCAACTTGTCCCTAGTCGCTCCGTGGCGTATCAAATGATGGCCGGAGGCAATCAGGCCATAATGAACTATAGGGTCCTGTACCACTCGTGGCTTCCGGGGCCGGATCCTATCCGGGTCGCAGTGATCGCAACCGTTTTCTTCGGACTCGATGGTTGTATGATCACAGTTCGGCTCAAAGAGGACGTCTTGCTCTGGGCCTGGATGGGCAAAGGTGACGGGGTCTTTCCGCACAATCTCGGAGATGTACTGGGGCATCTGACTTTCATTGAAAATGGCGGCTGTCTCGGCCTTTCCCGTAGCTGTGAGAAGTAACTGAGTCGGCTGATCTAACGCTCTGCCGCGAATGAACTGATATTCCGCTCGCTCCCTGTTCACGTCGTATTGGTCGACAACCAGAGAGTCAGCTGTCGATTTACTTACAACGATATCGCCGAGACGAATATCCTCCTTCGTGTCTGGCACTCCTCCCGCAATACCAACCATCAGATTGAACCGGACAGATTTGAAGCTCGCGTGCAACTGCGTGGCCACGCCCGCCACCAACGTTTTACCATACACGCCGAAATTTGGATACGCAAGTACGACATTGTGGCCTTGGAGACTCCCTAGAATGTAGTTGTTGTTATCGTCTAAGTTCTGATCCGAAGGTAGGTAGTCATGAATGCGATCAAGCGTTGCTTTGGCTGCCGCGGCCTCTATGGGCAGTGTAGGGCAGTGCGCAAACCCACCCGATTAAAATTAAAATATTATTAGGAATATTCTTTTATCTTACAAAGGTTATGCTTAATCCTTGCTAGCAAGTCTGCTGACATGTTGTACGGAGGTCAACCGTGTCATTAGGTCAGACTTGAGTGAGCAAATGTCGAGTTCACTAAGCAGGTGGGCGAGTCTGGCCAGTAAGGAGGCTGGTGAACAAGGGTAAAACTTGCCTAGAGAGAAGAGGTGAAGCGAAAGTAAAGATCTCGGACGCTGCTCAACCAATTCCAGCACGGCGCCCAGTATCATGCAGGAACCTATGGCTTTCACAAGAATAGAACATTAACGGTCTTGCGTTACTTTGCAATCCGCGTACTTCATTTTCTTACGACCATTGGCTGCTCTTTACATCGAATAGAGAAGGGATGGTGGTAAATGTCCGAATACACAGGACTTTAATCACTAGTCCTATCCAGGGTCGCTTCCGCTTAGTTAATATCGAACACCATATTAAGCTCTGCTAGAGCATGCATTTGCTATTAATGGACAGATTAGGAGGTCACATATATCTTCCTCAAATGTAATGCACACGGCTTCTCGATCAACCGTATCTTATTCAATCAACAATATCCTGCATACAAGCCCCGATGTTTGCAACTTTGCCTTAACTTAATGAAGATCTTAAGAATCGAAAGGGTACCACACGGAGATGTTCCTTTTTCAAATACATAATTGACAGCTATAAACTCTTCCTCCAACAATATTAATAGTCCGAACGTTATCAAAGAGGCATACGGGAGTGCGTTCAAGGTGGAGTGATGATCTACTTATAGGTCCTGGTACGAAGGGCATAAAATGGTAAAGAACAAAGAAATAAGTGGAGGGACGTTGCCCGAATATATAGGTCCGAAATGGGTCCAGCTCATTTACTCTTCGGTTCCACCGTAGCAAATCGTTTAGTGACGCTTCAGGGCTCGCTTCCGAAGGTACTCTGTAGCCCCTGAAGTGGATCTTACCTCAACCTTCAATACAGCTTCAATTTGCTCGATGAACACCCTGAAGCTGACACACATCCAGTGTATGGCAGGTTGTGAAACCTTGCAGCAGAGCAGTCACGTGTGTGTACATTGCGCATAAGATAGCGACATGAAAGATCTGGTGCGAGCTTCCCCAAATATCAAATCTGCCCGGTGCCAAACGCTCCGGAACTCGTAACTGCAGGTGTTCGTCAGATTTCTTGTCTCTCAGGGAATGGAATACGCGGTGAGCGTGTAGACATACCGCGTATAGGCTGACTCCGATGCCATAGAAAATAAGCTCGAGCAGATACCATTTCATTCCCGAGTATTGGAGCATGTATTCAAGCCCGTATCGCTGGGCTCCATGCAGCAGGGGTATGAACGATGAAGCGCCAAAAACAACAAAGGCGCCCGCCTTCACATTCCGCCAGCGCGGGGTTCTGAGCGAGGGATTCGAGATAAGAACACCGGTAGCAGTGCCTGTGGTTAAGATCTGGAATTCATATTAGCGCATTGTTGGCCATGACCCGGCTGCCGGTAGGGTTGGATGAGTGGTAATGATCGCTCGGAGAGACTGACAATAGCCCAGTGCACTTTTTGCAAGCTCGCTTCACAGAAGAACACATAGTAGGTGCCGGAAGAAAATGTACCCATTGTCACAATGACAATACCGAGCAGATCCATTCCATGCCAGAACAGTTCTACGAGATGCGAGTGTGGTTGCATCAGGTGGTAAAGTGCGCTTAAGACTAAACAGATTTCCGCACACCAGAAGTATATTCCAAACATAGCATAGTCCATGGACGAGACATTGAGAAATTGAGGTTCGGCCAAGTACCGCGGGACGAAGGGTACGACGAGTGGTAGGAGGAGAGCCCCGACCAGATGAGTGTACACATTGCAAGTTTCGTTGTGCAGAAAGGTTAGGCTGGTAAAGATCTCCAGATAGTCTGCTTTCTCTGGTCGATAGCCACGGAGGATATACTTGTTGTCGAGCTGCCATTCAGAAGCCTCCTGCGACGTTACGGTTCGCGCTTTAGCCTTTGACTGGTTTGTGGGGTCGTCCGTGGTGCTCATATTGACTTTCGGCACTGGCCGTTTTTTGAGTTCTGTTCCTAACATGATCCCGCGAAATCTGAGCTGCGGTGACAATGAAACACAGGAGAAATAGATGATGGAGACGCAAGGGCCAGATTGCCGAAGGGGCTGGGGAAGGGTAGAGGAACGGATAAATGTCGCAAAGAAGCTACGATGCAATAGCAAGGGACGCGCGAGACTTGCAACAAAGTGATTGACGAGGTATTTCAGCGCAGAGACAAAGAAAGAGAGGCTTAAATCATTTATCCGAGGCAACAGTGGGGGCGAGGGAAAATTCGACATCAAGACCAAATTACGACTGCAAGCTTGTCTATGGCCCCCAATGTAACCCTAGCA